GCATTTAGATACATTAGATAAATTGTTATCCCCGTGAAATGAGGGAAAATTCCCAAAATAATGTTTTTTATTTATTTACTACCAATATGGTAGTTTTATATATAATGACACAGATATTGTGTTTTTGTGGCAAACAGACGCGGGCTCGCAGGAGACTCAATTTTACTAGTTTGAAATGCGGATCCGAAATGGACTTGGGCGGACTCGCGTGGGACTGGTGCGGAAACGCATGGACTAAGCGGACCCACATTAGTGTCATACGGATTCGGCCTGTGTTTTACCCACTCCATCATATATATTTTCTCCTCCATTCTCCTCCTTTCAGTATCACCACCCCAAAAACTTCTACGAAAACGAGAGGGAGGAGCTATGCTGGTTGCTGCAAAGATGGCTAGGTAAGAGACATTTATTTTTGTAATTATATTATTAAAATGCTATTATATTTTTTTTTAGTTAGTAATTAGTGCATTTGTTTGTTATGTAGTGATTTTAGGAAACCACCTAATCTCAGCCTCAGGAGCTGGATGATAAGGCTCGTTCTGCATCATGCCAAACTGTCGGAGTACCCGATCTGGATGGTGCCACATCACTACTGAAAAGCAGATCAGTGGAACCACTGCTCGGAAGGTATCTGACTAGGGAACGGAACCCCTAAATTGCAGGTCTCTCTCCCAGTAAGGCAGCCACTACACAGAAAGGTGGGCACATTATTACAACTTAGTCTAAAACAAACTAATGTGAACCAAAAACTATTCTTGTATGAAATGTTATTACTAACCACGATCGTCTCCAGCTCGTCAAAAAACAACTTATAACTGAAGAGCTGGTCACCATGCTGACGGGTCATGGTCGGAAGCCATCGAGCACCACGTGGAGATGCGTCCGCTGTAATAGGCTCATCCGTCACTGTATGTCGGGGTACTATCAATGGGAATCGCTCCCACGCCCAGAGCTGCAGCAAGGCGACCCAGCCACCAAGGTCACCTCCGGTGGAAGAGGACTGCGTCATATGCAGAACCGACCTACCCATCTCACGGTACAGGTAGGCTAGAACAGCTGCTCCCCAAGCGTAGCCTCCTGCGGTCCGCCAATTCTCCAACAGGAGTAGACACTGCAGGTGAACTGTAGCTCCAGTCCGATCGGGGAACAACATAAACCCAATCAAAGATAGGGCATACGCTCGTGCAAACTGCCCTGTAATCTCTGCTGATGCATTTGGCGGTAGATTGTTGAAATGCTCCCTAAGCCAACTAAGCCTAACGACACCCCCGCTAAGATCGTTAAGAGCATGTCCTAACAGTCTGGTACACGTCTCCGACCACTCACGATCTGGTACGTCTACTATGACGGCCTCACCGTCGATCGGTAAACCGCTCAGTGTGGCAACGTTCTCAAGAGTGATCGTAACCTCACCGACCGGCATGTGAAATGTCGATGTCTCAGGACGCTGACTCGCTACGACACAACACCTAACAATGGCCAAGTGTAACCAATGGAAGGGACTGCAGTATAGTGGCTCAAGTGATAAATATCGAATCCACGGGTCTCTAGAGTTACTATTACTCAGCTTCAGTTTATTATTTAGCAAACCAGATTAAGATGAAAGAACTAAAACTACTCTAGCAAACTACAGTTAAAGTTAATCTAATTACAGGTTGGGAACTCACTTAGGTATGATTCCCCCTAGCCACTAGCCAGACTAACGATTTATGATTTCTAACTTGTTTCACTTTCATTCACAATGCGGAGAATCCTTGACTAGACCTTGAGTCTCGACTAAAGGAACAAGGCCCTCTTGAGTCAATTACCTAGAGGGACGTATCCTTCTCTAGAACAACTGATCAAGGCGTTCTGAACTAGACTCCCTCTATCGAAAGAGGTTCTCAATCGATACAAAGCAGTGAATCAACCCTCGACTAAAGCAATTGATCCACTACTATCAATCTATGGTGCTCTATTGACCTAATCAGGTATTCCCTCTCATAGGATCAAAACAGAATCAATAATCTCGACTAAAGCAGAATTGAATCATGAAAACATGCATAGATTGAATATGAACTCAAGATTATCAAGTAAGAGTACTCATACAATCATCCAATCAAACAAACATAGCTAGGGTTCCTCAAAACCTAAGTGAAGGGAAGTTACTCCATAGAGAAGAGAGAGACTGCAGTAAGAATCTTCAGATGATCAGTCTTCAAGTCCGGGCTTGTTCCTCGAGCTTCCAAGGCAAAGAAATCCTCCAATTCCACTCCAAGAATGCCCTCAAATCGCCCTCTCTCTCTCTCTTTGGTTCGTCCCTTGGGTGTTTGGGATCCAAAACCCAGCTCCCCCTCTCCTTTGGCTCGAAATTGGCTTAAAAAACCCGATTCTGGGCAAAACACGGTCGAGGGCACGACCGTGCTTTGGTTTTGCCCGCCCGTGCTTTGCCCCGTGTTAAAAAAACGCCCGCGCGCGTCGGCCAAAACACGGTCGTGCCTAAATATGGGCACGGCCGTGTTTTGATTTAGGCGCGCCCGTGTTTTTACTGCCGAGCCTGTTCCCCTATATTCAATGCTTCGTTTCTCCCTCGTCCGGACTCCGAATCAGTCGCCGTTTGATCCCAGACGCTCGTAGTCTCGTCCTCTTTCTTTTCATGACAAGCTTGCATGATTCTTTGTCCATAAATTGAGGTAGAAATCCATTCTTCTTCAGGTCATGCCCGAGTTTCTTCTCCCGAATCGCCAATTGATCTCTGATTGACTTGAAACTTGCGCCTATGCTTCACTTTATGTGCTAGGACCTGAAATGTGACAAAGGGACACAACCTAGCGTAAAATAGGCCAAAGACGCGATAATTAAAGCTCAAAAGATCAAGAAACAAAGGGGAAAACATGTGCAAATATCGAGTCATCAGACGCCAACGCTCTACTAGAGCGGTGATCAAAGATGCATCTATACAACCAGTCATAGGGACCAACTGCTGAACGCTAAACAAACCGACATCCTGGAGATACGACTCATAACGTGGATGGTACGTGACCAATTTGGTCGTACCTCGAGTCTGGTAAACACGATCACCAGCCTATAGTGCACAAAACTTATATTAATTCAATTTCATGGCGTAATTCTATTTTCAGAACATATTGTAAAATCTATCTAATTTACTAAAAATATATGTAATGAAAACTAATACTAATTTCACATGCAATTATAATATTTCAATTTACCTAGTAAAATCAATCTAATTTAGTAAAATATATCTAATCAAACTAATACTAATTTCACAAAATTCTAATCTAACTAGCTAATGAACTTTAATGAAACAAAATACATAAATACTTACCTCGTTAATCCAAACTGAGTCGGCACGATGTTGACCATGTGCCCAAAGGAGTACTGAATCGACCGGAGCTGTATCTATCGTCGCAGGTGGTCGTCTCGTGGAATGCCTGTCAAGAATCCTATGAACTGCAAAAACAAAAAAAAAAAAAAAAAATTAGAAGCAGAAAAGAAGATAAAAGGGATCTTCTTTTAAATGAGTCTCCTGCGAGAGGACCGCGAGAGGAGGGAGTCGCCGCTGCGGACGAAGGGGCGGGGTGGAGAAGAAGATAAAAGGGATCTTCTTTTATGCGAACCCGCGTGAGTCTGGCGTGGTTCCTCCTTTCTTATGCGAACTCGCGTGAGTCTGCTGCGGGTCCACATAAGTCCACTTTGGATCCGCTTTTAAATGAGTCTCCTGCGAGCCCGTGTCTGTTTGCCTACAAAAACACAATATCTGTGTCATTATATTTAAAACCACCATATTGGTGGTAAATATAAAAAAACATTATTTTGGGAATTAACCCGTGAATTGAAAACTGAGTAAACAAAAAAAAAAAAAAGAAAGAAAGAAAGAAACCTAAAAAAGTCTAATTGCCTGTATCTGGACAGTTTCTGATTGCCCTAGCAGCTCCTGGGCCTGGAGGCGAATCCTCAAGTTGCGACCCTCTGGTCCATCCTTTACTGTTGATGCATAATTCTCAGATACTGTGGGATAACAAACCTATGCCTGTGTTCAAAGTTTCTATCGTTTGGAACACCTTGCGAGTTAAGTATGAGATGGTTGATTGGGCTAAGTTAATCTGGGGTAAGAATTATGTACCTCGTAACAGCTTCCTAGCCTGGATGATTATGCTAGATGCTGTGGTCACTAAACAGAAGCTGATGACGTGGGGTAAGCAGACAGATGGCTTATGTGCATTGTGTGGTACTGAAGTTGAAACACGGGAACACCTATTCTTTGTGTGTGCCTTCTCTCGTCAGGTGGTTATGGCTTTACAAATGGGGATGTTCTGTTGTGATTCCTGGGATGCTACTGTGGCTGCAGGTATTGCTAATTGTAAAAGGCCAAAGATGGGTAGGATAACAAGCTTGATCTGGTGTTTATGCTGCGCAGGAATCTGGAAGGAGCGCTGTCGTCGCTTGTATGGAAATACCAGGAAGCAAGTTGAGGAGTTGATAAGGGATATTACATGTGATCTGCGGATTATTTGTGAAGACAATGAAAACCTTACTGAGGGGTTGCTACTGCTTGGGTTGCAGGGAGGAACTTAGAGTGTTTTCTTTGAGTTGTTATGAGTAGGTCTATGTGCAGTGTGTGGTAGGAGGTAGGAGTTTTTATCTCGACTTATGGGGCTGCTCTCCTTGAGCTTTCCTTTCGTTGTATTGGTTTGACCATTTGTACCTTGCAAATGGTTTTCTTTTTACACAAGTAATAAAAAGAGGAACTGATTCAACGAAAAAAAAGTCTAATTGATAAATAAAGGGTAAATTGCAAGTGTGGTCACTACAAATATTTAATTCCATTCGTGGTCACTAAGATTAGTTCAATAGTTCAAGTTTGGTCACTCTCCGGTAGTCTCCGTTAACTTTTGCTGATGTGGCAGTCAACCTTCATAATTGACCGTTAAATGAGTGACGTGGCTATTAAAAATAAATAAAATTTAATCTATAAAAATTTCCACCTCATTAAACATTCATTAAAAACCTAATTTTTACTAATTAGTGCCCCTTTCTCTTCTTCCCCTAGTTGTGAGTGGTTGCCGCCAGTTTGCAACTGGCCCTTATGGGAACCGCATGTGGGCAATCCGCCGGAATCGGGATGGAGGCAAGGCAGGGGAATAGAAGGCATGGTAGGCGTGGTTGGAATGAAAGGGAAAGGTGGGAACTTTGGGATGTACGATGACATTCTCTAATATGGGAACCCCTGTCCCGCTGCCACTCTCCCGCCGACGGCAATACTGTTGTCATTATTATTGTTGTTATTTTTATTTCCTCCTTCAGCGGTGGCAGGGGCACTCTCTCCGCCGCCGATGTTGGGATTACCTCCGGTGGTAGTGACAATTGAGGGAGAGCGGGTCGTTGAAAGGAAGGGAAATTTGGGAGACGGGGATTAGGGGGACGAAAGGGAGCTCCGTTAGGCCTCCTTCAGGGAGAGGGAAAGTGGGCCGGTCGGCGGCGATAGGGTTGATTCCGTCGTCGTATTGCTGTTGGGGTTTGATGGTGGGAGGAGTGGTTGTCGAGTTGATGAAAAGAAAGGGGAGAAGAGAAAGGAACGCCAATTAGTAGAAATTAGGTTTTCAATTTATTTTTTAATGAGGTGGAAATTATTGTAGATTAAATGTTATTATTTTTATTATTTTTTAATAGCCACGTCACTCATTTAACGGTCAACTATGAAGGTTGACTGTCACATCAACAAAAGTTAACGGAGAGTGATCAAACTTAAACTACTGAACTAATCTTAGTGACAACGAATGAAATTAAATGTTTGTAGTGACCAAACAAGAACCTTTTTTTTACTGAATCGCTAAATGTCGCCCTAAGAATTGCTAAACATCGCCCTAACTTGAATGTACAATTACTTATATACCCTTAAACAAAAACTCCCAATTGACTTAAACAAACAAACCCTTACCAATTTTCAAATTCTACTCCCCCCAACTCCTCTCACCACTACAGTAAAAAAAAAAAAAAAAACTGCTCTCACCACCCGCGACCTCCCTCACCGGCCGGACTCCTCTCGCCAGTCCCGTCGCCGCCGCCGATCTCGCCCGCCAGTCGCCGCCGCCCGCCACTCCCGTCGCCGCCCACTCCTGCCCGCCAGTCCCGTCGCCGTCCCGCTCCACAGTCGCCGCCGCCCATCGCGTCGCCGTCGCCATCCCGCTCCACAGTCGCGCTCCACAGTCGCCGCCGTCGCGTTCCGTCGCCATCGCCCGCCAGTCGCCGTCGCCCATCGTCGCCGCCCATCTCGTTCCACAGTCGCCGGAGAAGAAGGTAAAAAAAAAAAAAAAAGCCAACCGCAGTCCAATCGCGGTTTGACCGACGGTCAACGCGCGGTTGAACCGACGGCTGACCGCGGCCAAAGGGCGATTGACCAATCTATTGACTCAGGGTGGGCTAGGAACAAGTGTGTAAGCACGTTACGATCGTCCATATACTGCACATAGTAACCCTTCTCCTGCGCCACGCGGAAAGTATACTGTAAGGCTGTCATCTGACCAAGCTCTTCTTTCCTTATCTTTTGCAACTCGTTATAAATCTGCTTTCTGTTGTGTGTTCCATTTGCACCTTTTCTCTCATTCACTGCCTTGTGGATATTCCTTGGTGGGACACCGGCTGATCTCAGCTCTCTGATGTATTGCTTATCCTCTGTAGTCAGAACATTCCTTCCCTTTGATCCTTCCGGAAATAGCTCCAACTGATGATTGTGGAAACCCAAATTAGCACCAGGATTCTTTGTATTTGCCACCCCTAGGATCAACCATTATCCATCACCTGACCGCTCAAGCTTGATCTGAAACTCGCACCCCAACTTTTCAGTAGATGTAAGAGGCCTCCTTTCCTTACTCGGATCAGGTTCCGTCGACTTCTTCTTCCTACCATGAGTGCAATGTAAGTAATGTCGCCAAGTACCTTCATTCTTATTTTTTTTGTTTGATGCCCTCACCAAATAAAACCCAAAACCCTTGGCAATCTCAGTAGCTGCTTCATATGCTTGCAACTCCGCAATTGGAATTTTTTTTTTCCAGTTTTTCTTTAATCGTTCATATTGATGAGAACTAAGAAGTCAAGTTTCATTCAAATTAATCACTTTGACTAACAGTTTTTACATAAATTATAAGTAAAAAAGCAGTAGGAACTAGAATGAAGAGTGCAGTAGCAATAAATGCGAGAATATTTACTTCCATAATCTCATCGTTTTGTTTTTCTTTACTTCGCAATAACTCGGGATTTAATCCCATAGAGATGCTAAACCCTTTGCCTCGAAATTCATGGGATGAATTCCATCTCGATGATATCGAATCAGATCAATATCATGAATAACAATATCTGACCTATGAAATCGATTCATCGTCGAGAATTGAATAGTATAACATAGAAAGCTCGTTTATACATAACGAATCAAAAAACGGACTATTGATCCAATCTACAAGTTCTTTACTTGAATTTCATTATTCACATTATTTTTTTTCTTTTCCATTCGTTGGTTATTTCACGCCATCAATGAAATCCGAGGTGTAATCATGACCATCAGGATTGTAACTTCCAATATCCTGCAATGTTATCAGAATTTATAAGTGATACCCCACAAATTAAAAAAAAAAAACTTAACATTCTATATCGTCAATTTAATGAGTACCATATAATAAATTTAAAATTTCATAACTATATTAAATTTAATAATCATCATTTCATATGCGAATATATTATTTATGCAATAAATTTAATCTTAATTTGTAATGCAAAATCTAATCTTAATCTTCTAGATTAAGACCAAATTAAATCTAATCTTAATTTAAGGCCAAATCTAATCTTAATTTCTAATGCGAATCTATTATTTATGCAATAAATTTAATCTTAATTTGTAATGCAAAATCTAATCTTAATTTTCTATTTAATCTTAATTTGTAATGCAAAATGTAATCTTAATTTTCTAGATTAAGACCAAATTAAATCTAATCTTAATCTAAGGCCAAATCTAATCTTAATTTCATATGCGAATATATTATTTATGCAATAAATTTAATCTTAATTTGTAATGCAAAATCTAATCTTAATTTTCTAGATTAAGACCAAATTAAATCTAATCTTAATTTAAGGCCAAATCTAATCTTAATTTCTAATGCTAAATCCTTCAATTCCAAAAATAATTATGCAAATAAATCTAGAAAATTATATAAATCAAAACCCAACAAATTATCTCATGGAACAAATCATAAATCATATAAAAAATAGAAAATTATTCAACGAAAAAAAAAAACCAGAAAATGCCCAACCGCAAGTGACCTGCGGTTGGACCATGGCCGGACCGCAAATCACCTGCGGTTGGACCATGGCTGGACCGCAATTGACCTGCGGTTGGACCATGGCTGGACCGCAGGTGACCTGCGGTCCAGCCATGGTCCAATCGTGATTTGCGGTCCAGCCATGGATCAACCGCAGGGGATTTGCGGTCCGGCCATGGTCCAACCGCAGGGGATTTGCGGTCCGACCATGGTTCAACCGCAGGTCAATTGCGGTTGGGCATTTTCTGGTTTTTTTTTTTCGTTTTTCAGTCGGTATTTACCTCGTCGGAGTCGCTACTCATGATTCAGACGTCCTACCGACGATATCGGCTTCAAAATGACGATGGTGGATTTTTCTCTCCTTAGATAGTGTTTTTTTAGGTCAAGTGGTGTTTGTTTGATAAAAAGAAGGTAAAGAAGATAGGGGATTATAAGTGTAACTTTAAACTTTTTTAGGGCGACCTTTAGCAACTCCCTTTTTTTAACCCATTGACCAATTATGCAATTTACACGATAAATAAACAAATATTTCTGGTTACAGTCACTTTATATAATAAAATAGTATAATATATTATATTGTATTTTTTTAATTTTTATAGCATTTGCTGGCCCCCGTTTGCTCGCTATTTCAGTCTCTCATTCATTCTTTCATCCCCCGATTTAGAGAGAGAAGACGGAAGCGTACTTGGCAACACTGTTGCTCAACTCTGCGCACTTCGTCTCTCAGATTGCCCCCACCCTCCAAAGTCCAAACACCCAAATTCGCCCCGTCTTCCTCCTCGTAAACGTCGACCGTCGCCGCCGCCGGTATATCGATCGAATGCGCACATTTCAACTCTTCCTCCGTCAATCTCCACCGCAGCAGCAGTCATCTCCGCCAATTTGACCGGGCTGACTGCCAGTACGACGGCCTCAATCTCCATTGGATTGATTGGTTCCTTCGTGTAAGGAATCAATTTCTGGATTTTTGCTGGATTTCCCAACTCTGTAAAGAAGAGGCAGTGAAAGGAAGTGAGGTACTGAAGAAAAGAAGAAGGGGGGAAAAGAGCGGTGATAATGGCGGGGTCGACTTCGTTCTCTTCTCCGTTGTGCACGTGGCTGGTGGCGGCGTGCATGTCCGTCACGTGCGGCTCGCAGGACCACCGGACCAGCGCACACGCGTTCCGTTCCTCCTCCTCCTCGAGCTCCAAACTCACCACCAGCCGCAGGCGGAAGCCCCTTCTCTCCAAATGCAACGCCTCCTCCGTCGCTGCTAGTTCGCACTCGCTCTCCAGTCGCTTCGTCGCTTCTCTCTGTGGATCCAGATTTCAAGATTTGATGAACTCTTGCTTGGCTTTCGAGCCTTGTAGCCAGTACTACACCTCCAATGGCGCCTTCCGATCCCGAGCTCTCAACCGGAAGCAGAGACGACTCGGTCGCCCTGCTTATTCTGGTAAATGGTCTATGCTGCCTTAATTCCTTACGTTTGTTCAATTTACATACCATTTCTTCGCCTACATTTTGCTTGCCATTTCTGCTCGGTCTCTCTTTCTCTGTTCATTCTTTTTGCGTGAACTGGGCTTCGGATTGTTCTTTGTATCTATGTGGTGCGTTTGGAGCAAGATTTGCTGTTCACTTTTTGCTTGGTTAGAACTCCAGTTTTCCTCGTTATTATCGTCACTTGCCCTTTTAAGTTTTCTCGAAGGTGAAGACCAGTCATGGTACAATCACTTGGATGCCAATGTTTCTTTGCACTAATGGAATTTAGAAACTATTACTGTGGTTAAGAGTGGTGTACATCCAGTTGCTTTCTTACCAATTAGTTTGGTATACCAGCTCATAACTCAATTCTTTTGATCAAACCGATGCTCAGCCTTTAGGCCTCCAAATGCTTTTTGTATTTGTGTGATCATAGTTTCACGATTTGGGTTGGTGTCCAACTTATCTGTTCTGGAAAATAAGAGAGAAAAGGAGGGAGGGGTGAATAAAAGATCAAGGAGCCATGGAATCAACACTGTAAAAAATGTAGTTAATTTGGACATCTCCAATGCAAAACATCTCGTGTCTAATTTATCAATGCTGCCTTTGTCAGCAGAGTGAACTCAACTCAATCATACTGGTTTTTATAAAGGCACGGACTTTTCTTTTCAGTTACAATGTACCCATGGTAATAAATCTATTCAAACGTTTCCAGGGGAACCGATGGCCGTAGCTGTGCAACCTGCAAAGGAGGTTGCAACCAAAAAGAAGCCTGTTACTAAGCAGAGGCGAGTGGTTGTGACAGGGATGGGTCTTGTTTCTCCACTTGGTCATGATGCAGATGTCTTTTACAACAATCTGCTGGAAGGTTCCAGTGGCATAAGCGAGATAGAGACATTTGATTGTGCTCAATTCCCAACAGTAAGATGCCAAACAATCATTGGATGACTAGCAATGTGTAGGTGCCATGTTTTCCTTGGCTCACTTTTCCTATGGTTTCTTCTTTCATTTCAACTGATCAGAAAATTGCTGGTGAAATCAAGTCTTTTTCAACTGATGGATGGGTTTCACCCAAATTTTCTAAGAGAATGGATAAGTTCATGCTTTACATGCTCATTGCGGGGAAGAAGGCTTTGGCAGATGGTGGTATTACTGAGGATGTAATGAATGAGTTGGATAAAGCTAAATGTGGTGTTCTGATTGGCTCAGCAATGGGTGGCATGAAGGTAACGCTTCAGCCGTATATGTTTTGACCCTTTTAGGCAGAATACTAACACTAGGAGACAATCTATGACGGCCACTCAATTGTCTCATCTTATAGAGTGGCACTTTGTTGCTTTCCTTTCTGGCCTTGCCAAATCAATATCCTATCAGGGTGAGGGGAGCTAGAGCAGCCATATTGTGATATTGTTGGCGCCAGTGTCACTTTTGCTTCCATACCTTTATAAAATAAGAACTTACAGTCTATTTGCAGCTCACGTTTACTTGTGCATAGACTCAATTCAAGTTTTTTTATATTATTATTTTGATGTCATATTGGTGTAGTTATACACTGTCAAGTCATGGTTATTCCCTGCGTCAGAACACTAGAGCCATTATCATTCTGTAACTTAAGATTTGTAGTGATCATCTTCTTTGGATAATTTATGCACAGGTTTTCAATGATGCCATTGAAGCTCTTAGGGTTTCGTACCGGAAGATGAACCCGTTCTGTGTACCATTTGCAACTACAAATATGGGTTCTGCCATGCTCGCAATGGATATTGTAAGTTTTTATTCCGGGAAATGGCGAGTGTAACATGCTTAATCTTGTTTCTGATTTTCTAAATTGAGTTGCAGGGTTGGATGGGGCCAAATTATTCTATTTCCACAGCTTGTGCTACAAGTAACTTCTGTATACTAAATGCAGCTAACCATATAATTAGAGGCGAAGCTGTAAGTCCTTTCTATTAATGCTCAACTGTCAGTTGTGGGTTGTCCAAGATATAAATTACAAAATTGAAGGCTCTGGTGACCGAAGTACTTGTGTTCTGTCAATTTTCAGGATGTTATGCTGTGTGGTGGCTCAGATGCAGCTATAATTCCAATTGGTAGTTGTTTCCTCTTTCACTAGGATATAAATCTTCCATACTTGCACTGTCAATTAACATGACTGGTTCTGTTTCTCTCGTTACAGGTTTGGGGGGCTTTGTGGCTTGCAGAGCGCTCTCTCAGAGGAACGATGATCCTACCAGAGCTTCACGGCCTTGGGATAAGGTAATGTTTTGATACTCTTGAAGCGTAAAGATGGTTCCCTGCTTGGCTGCTCGGAATTCTGGCCTGATCATTCTTACGAATTATCGTTTAGTTGGTTTTAAGTGAATCGCCGTGCCATTGGCTATGCTGCAAGCGTATTCATTAGCGAGACCTACAATACAATTTTCAAACTGATAAATTCTGCACACTAAGTTCGGCTATCAATTAGTGAGATGAGTTCTAGTCCATTGCTTTAGCATCGTCGACAAACTCATAGCGGCCTAGCTGTGGGCTATGAGCCCAGAGTGTTCTTCATATACATTTCTGTGTGCCATCTCTTTACTGGTGTGTGTTGCTGAGACCAGTGAAAGCAAGTATATTATAAATGGAACTCAGAACCCTTGAACTATATGAGATATCTGGAAAAACCGAAATAGAAGCGACCAAATGTTTAATCATTCTAGCTAATCGTTTGGCTCTACCAAAATCAATAAATTAATTGCTTCATATTTGCTGACTGTCTGTTATCAACTTTGAAACCTCTGTCATAATCATCAACTTCTGGACCTTAATGGTTGCGATCTAAAGTTTGTAATATTTCTGATTTAGTATTACTTAACATAGCTCTTGTATGTCTGTTGATGATAGTGTCCTGCTGTAGTGTATATTTTCTGTACATTTTACATTCCTTGTTTTTTCCTACCTTATTGCTTTCGTTGTTTAATAAAATGAGCAGAGTCGAGATGGATTTGTTATGGGTGAAGGAGCTGGTGTTCTACTTCTGGAAGAGCTTGAACATGCAAAGGTACATACTTCTCGAAGCCACTGCAAGTGGGGATCAGATCCGAGTTGTTTGCTCCTAAAAGGGTCTATAGAGCTGTATCCTTCACCGTATAACTGCTTGCTTCATTTGTTTGGTTTCATCTTCACTGTAATGTTCCCCATCATTGGTGTCTTTTTTTTCTAATTTCCACCCTTTGCACCTCATGCTCCCAACAGCTTCTTAAAGTCTATATGTTCCTTTCAAAACACATAACCTTATCACTGATGCTGCACCTTCAAAAAATTGATCTAACTGTAACCTTTTCAATTTCCAGAGACTGATGTAAGTTTAGTATTACCTTTGCAGAGGAGAGGTGCCAATATATATGCAGAGTTTCTTGGTGGAAGCTTTACTTGTGATGCCTATCATATGACTGAGCCACGGCCTGACGGTAATGGGGTTGTGTACTAATTGCTCTACCAGACAGTTTATTCTCTAAGTTGTGCCTTTGCACTAATCTTATTATTATATGTTGAACTACCATGTGTACGCCAGCTAACATTCCTTTCAACGTCATAATCACAGGGTCTGGAGTCATTCTGTGCATAGAGAAGGCTTTAGCACAGTCTGGAGTGTCCAAGGAGGAAGTGAACTACATAAATGCACATGCTACATCAACTCCTGCTGGAGACCTTAAAGAGTATCAGGCTCTCATGCACTGTTTTGGAAAAAATCCTGATGTGCGTATATGAATGCAATTTCAATTCTTTGTTACTATCTGGAAATTTGAACAATATTGTAGTCACGGACTCTTGTCATTTTCTTTACATTTCAGTTGAAGGTGAACTCTACGAAGTCTATGATTGGTCACTTGCTCGGAGCATCTGGAGCTGTGGAAGCTATTGCAGCTGTACAGGTAACCAATGTTGAATGCTGTGCACCAATGCCAGTGCCCTTTTGTTAATAAGCAAATACAGTGAAGTACCTTTACTTGGAGCTTGAGCTTTGTTTATCAACTTTCTGATGCTGGATCTCTAATCAATGGCACCTTAGGCAATACGAACAGGATGGGTTCATCCGAATATCAATCTGGAAACTCCTGATGAAGGGGTGGTATGTGTTCCATTTCCATAACTCATACTTATCCTATGCTTTTTCTAATGTTCCATTTACACACTGCATATTTGTTTCCTACTGTTGTTCGAACGATGCAGAATCCGAGTGTGCTGGTGGGGGCGAAGAAAGAAAGACTGGACGTGAAAGCTGCATTATCGAATTCTTTCGGGTTTGGTGGTCACAACTCGTCGATCATTTTTGCTCCGTACAAGTGAGAGAAGTTTGGATGGCTTCAAGTTTACTTACCGATGATGACTACTTAAGGTGCGGTACATTTGGTAACTTGCTCGTCTCTTTTATTTTTATTTTTATTTGGGGGAGTCATTCTCAAGGAAGAGAAATGCATTGGGACCCAAGTGAGGAAAATGCAAGTCATGATAGATACTTTGGTAGTGATGGGTCGGATGACCTCTAATTGAGTAGAGATACACAAATCCAAGGAAGTCAAACCTTAGTACAATAAGAAAATGAGAGGGGGGGAATGTAACTATCATGGACAATTGTAGAGTACAGTAGTGAGTAATGAGTCAGCTGGTGGGCAGAGCAAACAGTTGATGATGGCGTGTGTGGTTTTGGTAATGGACAGTGCTCTTCAGGGAAGAATCCTGATTGCCAAGTAAAACTGCACAGCTCAATGTGAGAATTCTGGAAAGAGTGGATGGGGGAGAGCTCATTTCCCTTCCTGGCATCTGACAAAGGAAAGAAAGGCACGGTCTGTGTTTTAGAGTTAGGATATGATATGAGGAAAGTAGATGGCACCTACCTAGCTACATTTTTTTTCACTTGTTTGTTTTGGTTTGCCTGTGTAGATGGCCTGACATTGGACTTTGGTTTTTATAGTCAGTCAACTTGTACTCCGAATTTTGAGCAGACAATTGCCGCGTTGCCTTTCCATTTCCTTGCTGCTTTCCTTCCTTTCTAAGTTGAAGGTTGATATGGTTGAAGTTGTGGTTACCGGATTCCAACTAAGGATGGAAATTGAATCGAATGATTGTCGTCAATCGGTTCTTGATGTTAGCCGAGACATTGAGGACTGTTCTTTCTACTGAGAACCCTTTGGAGCGGGATTCCTTATTTATGGTTCGTGTTGGTGGAATCGTTAGCCACCATAGCATGTTTGCTTCGAAGTTGTGATGGACTAACACGATCATTTGTGAGAGTCGAATGTCCATCGAGACTTCATCTCAACCACCATCGTACTTAGCTGTATCCATGCGAGAGGGTCTACGGAGAGAAATAATCTATGGTTGTCTCCCAAATTGGCTCCTTCCTTTCTCTATAAAAGCAGAGACTTGAAGATGAAGGGTTCCTTGTCCTTCAAACAGATGCCAAGTCTTGTATCCTACATACGATGTAAACCATGATTGTGGCCATGAGTTAGTAGAGTGCTTTTGCCGTTACACCGATCATTGCTATCAACGAAGACAACCCGGCTATCGTGCTCACAGGTCAGCTACGAGAACATACTCGTCATTGGATTGCGCACAATGATCTACGTCAACCTCAGCTCCAACCATTCCAGCATAAGCATATTGCCTCCGACTGCGACTACATGACGAGGAAGTGGACGGTAGATTCCTTCCTGCTAAAGAATCGAAAATGAGTTGGCTGTCGGAGTCAGAAGATCCTATAGCACGCAGGATATGCTGCAGTTTTATGCCAGCACGTTGTGAAGATAGAGAATTGACTCGTCCGTTGGAGTTTACATCAGATTCATAGTAAATGTCGAACAGCAACCTCTGGCACTGGCAGACACTCATTTTGGACGAAGCAGACCAATAAGCACACTGGTAGGATTGGAGCCGTATCTGTCTTTCATAGAGTGGCATCTTTCGCATAAAACAGGTAATGCAATAAATATCTTTTAAAGCTTTGTTTGGACTGATTTACTTTGTCCATTTTGATCATAAATAGTCTGTTTATGAAATTAAGAATGTCATTCTCAAAACCAGTTCATTACTTCCACACCAAGAGCTCACTATAGTAGCATCGTGACCGACCGTTTGGTCGGGTATTACTTGGTATAATAACAATAACGTATAATATGAAAAAATCGGAATTGTTTACGTTTGTCTTACTCGATCTGTTTGAGTCATTTATAAGAGTTATGACATTTCATCGTTAGAAATGTAGATTCGACAGCTGATGACACGTTATTTTAAAATAGTACGTCCAACAACCCAACAAATTCATCAAGTTCTTTTAAATGAGCATCAATAGAATGATCCGTACTCACGATGGAATATGGCGTTTTTTTATCCGACTAGTTGGTCTGATGAATTTCATTATCTTGCTCATAAATGTAAACATTAGTAGGCGTGGCGTCCATGTTATCTCACGATCTCGATTGTTGGATATATGTATTAATGGTATTCATAAAAACGTTATAATGTTGCACCAAACGACGATGAATATTGGCCTCTACGCGGTTTGAAAGGCCAGAACATGAGGAAGGCCTTCTTTATCGGGGGCAGTCGAATAGTTATGACAACATTTTAGGTTTATTTTGACACTTATCATAGGCCAACAAATATTAGTCTTTGGCGTAAAACTTCACTACCTAATTGTTAACTTAAACGTAACATACATAATTCTCTAATATTAATTTATGAATGCTTTCCTTAAAATGTGTCTCGGCACGAGGTCTCATTTCAGAACATTTAAACTCATTGTCACATATCCTAACGTTGCACCTGGCCAATTGGTCAAATCCTTTTGAATTTACATTTCAAAACTACTTTATACTTTTGTTTATGTTGTTATAAACATGCGAGTGAAGGATAACTTATGTTTCAATGGTTCAAAGCTTTTGCTTATCCTAGAAGCACTAATGATAAATTGTTGATACTTTTCTCTAAAGAAATCACCAATAATTCTTATGTAAATCCAAATATTCTTCAGAAGCTTTTGCTAACTCGAATCTAACATCCAAATCAATTAAGAAAACTTCATTATTTGCTCACATGTATTTTAAAGTTAATGTACTTAACGACGTGTATGTATTTTCTTGTAAAATATGACGAATAATATTTTTTTATCTAAGCATAAACCAAAGCTTCTACAATGGTGACTATAAGTGATAAAGATTCGATCCGCGGTGGAGAATCAAGTGAACGACTTATGACTTTTTACTTCAGAGTGTTCAAACTTCATAACTTCCCAACACTAAGAGAATTTTAACCATTGAAATGAACAAATATTAAATTATTATTTGAAGACTTGAAAAGGTAGAAGGATATTTCTGTAGTGCAAAGTGGAGCTTTGAATTGAAATTGCGGAAGGTTTAGTGAACTCATATTTTATGAAACGATGGAAAGGAGAACAACTTGTAATTGGGCTTACTTTGTGATGGATTGCACCCACAAAGTAAAGTAGAAGTGGCTAGGCTTTGATTATTTCAGTGAGATAGTTACAATGTTTGTATTCTTTAGAATTCGTCTTTTTAATTTTAGGGTTAATATATTTATATGGTCAGAATTTTGATCAAAATAAACTTACTAGTTAATTTTTTCGATCTATAACATCCTAACAAAAACTGTATATCAAAATAACTAAATTGGCCAAACCCAATGTTTGACCATTAATTTGAATGGTCAAACGCGTTGATTAACGGTCAACGCGCCATGTAACTGCCAACTCAGCAAATTTCAATTTTTTTTTCATTTCTACCTATTATCATTTTTTTTTTTGAAAAAATAGAAAAATGCTTTTAATAAACATCCTGGCCAAATAGAAAATTAAAACAGAAAATTGAAAATAAAAAAAATAGAAATTAAAACCATTAAACCCCAAAATAACGAGTACTCTTCAGACTATTATTTTATTTCCCAACCCGGCTGCTCCCTCATCCCCGAGCAGTAGTTCCAGCCCCATCTCAGCTCAGCCCAGCCCTCCCACCCCTGATAAACTGAGACAAAAATAATCTCAACTCAACTATCACAACAATCACAGTTAAAAATTGAGATATAACAATCACTCATTTTGAGTGATAGTTTCTGTCATATCGCATAAACAATCCAATAATCCATGTATTGTTTCAGCTAAATTTTTTTTTAAAAAAAAATGATGCACTATAAACATTACATGTATAGTAACAATCTCACCAAAACAATCACAAATTTCAAAGGTACAATACAACAAATTTATCAATACATATATAATGCGATACATGAATCCACCACTTTACATCAATTTAACAGTCGGAGAATTCAAATGGCACAGGTTGGTTAACTTTCTTTGGACAAACAGCTTCAATCAGAACACTTTGAGACACATCGACAAACCTCTGGAGGCTAATTATCATAAATGGTTACAAACCTATTCACTTTGTACAAAACGGTCACAATCCTTTAATTTTGTACATTTCGATAAAGCAAATTTGAGTGAATAACGAATTGGTCAATCCGCCCACTTCCCGTCCAAAACTCTGTTTTCTTTTGCCCAATCAACATGACACGTTGTTAAAATTATTAATAAAAAAAAATCAATTAATCATACCATTAACCTGCACAACCCAACCGGTCGTACCCTTGATACCCACCCCTTACAGTAGAAGAAGAGGTGAAAAGTGCACTGACCGTAATGTAGACGCCTTGGACTTCAGCTGTGACAAAGCCTTGCTTCTTCTACCAGAAACCACCGTCTTCATATCAACATCACTGTCTTCTGTTTCTTCATCTCCTGAATCAGAAAAAATATTCTTGTATGGTTCCATCTGCTTAACCTGAAAATGAATATATAATTAGCAAAATGTACTGTCATCACCGTTAACTTAACTACCCATATGACACATCTTGATACCCCGAAGTAGCGGTCGCTTCAGACAAATGAAATTTTAAAGGGAATTTTCAAAAGAGTATAGGTACAACTCGAAGTTGTACCATAGAGACAAAAAAAAAAAAACTAAAGCACCAATGCTTTAAAGTATTGTAAAATTCTCGTAATTACTGTGGTTGGTTTGTCGGTGTTGGTTGAATTCGCTTTAACTTGTGTCGATTACGAAATTGACGTGAACCACATTAGTATGATTGGTATGATTGATTTACGCGACATTCAAGTAAAATGGCGTTGTCTTCATGAATTTTATTAATAAAAAATAATTTTATTATTCATTTTGTAAATTTATATGTTGATGTTATTTATTGGATTCAAGTATAAACGTCTGCCTATTGAGTAGGAGTGTCTGAAACCAAACAACCTAAACCAAACAAGCTAAGAATTTCAACCAAACCAAATCAATTATCCAAATTAACCAGACCAAATTATCCAAATAGTACTGGTTAAGACGATTACCATGGTAACCACACCGTTTGAACACCCCTAATCAGTTGTAGTGAAAGTTGACAGTTGTTGCCAATTTGGTACAATTAATTATTTACACTTGGTAACTCAATATCTAATGGATATTAGATACATAATAACTCATAATAGTCACGAATATAATTTCTTTTTCGCACCTGAATTTGATGATTATTTTGTTGCGATTAGTAGACACGATGATCCTTTTAATAGTAGTAAAACATATTTTACGTGAAATTGAGACATGGACTATTTGGGTGAACTACAATCCACTCCCATTAATTGGGGAATGAAATACATGGACTCACATTGATTCGAATTTTTGATAAACTGGTTGATCGTAGCCCCATGGTTTAACCACCCGTTTACTCTAATAACCAACGACAAAAGGTTAAAACTTCATTTTCAAGAAGAAGAAAAAAACTATAAACTGTTGCCACCGCTCTTGCGTTGCCTACTAGTAGGGCAATTATACCAATCTAAATCATTGTCATGGGCTCGCTTGATAATCACGAATGTTGAGATTTAATTTGCTGTTTGTGATGGATTTTCTTTCGCAACGAATAAAATTGAATTAATAATGTGAATTTGTCAAACTAGTAATTAGATACTGACAAAAAAAATTAACTTGGAAAACAAGAAGTGGTTCTAAATAAATAGGCATTAGTCCTATTGCATTAATCTTTTATTACAGTTGAAAAGGAAACAAATGAGAAGAACTTTCTCCTGCAACGAAAATCATGAACTTGTTCTGAAACTAAAGATTTTCATTTCAAACGAAATAGTTTGCTCAACAAAATCTATTGAAAACCCAAATGCGCTTAACTCATAATTGCGATCAACAAAGAAAAATGGCTTTAATTTAAGTTGTACATGTTGTGCAAGCCTTAAACTAATCTTTGTTCATTATCTAATTAACCAATTGATGACATTCACACAGCGCATATCAATACACAAATTCAACAATAAGAATTGATTTTTCTTTTCTTAAATGTATAAAACAACGTCTCCCACATTGATCCTTCGTATCACTCACCTCAAGCAATTATCATCAGCTTATATTAATAATACATATGGCAACAATGGCAAGAACAATAAGAATGACGTCGCAAAATTTCACCAATGTCACTCTAGGAAACTATCTTCATCCCCATTTTGCGGCTGTCCTGACCGTGGCGATCATCTTGCTGGTTTGCGTGACGATCATTTGCATCGTGGCAGCGTCCTTGATTGCGGTAATCATTTACATCCTTTTCGAGTTTGTATACTGGCGTGTGGTGGAAAACGGAGGCGGCGGCGACGACGTAGAAGTCGAGTCTAATCTCGAGGAAGGAGTTGAGAGAAGGAGAAGACGTCGTCAAAGGAAGTATTGCAGGTTGATGATGGAATTGCCCTGTGTTGAGTACGGAAGTGATGGTATAGAGACCACATCCAGAGAATGTGCGATTTGTTTGGAGGATTACGACGGGGGCGAACCATGCAGAATAATGCCGGTGTGCAAGCACATGTTTCATGTGGCTTGTATCGATGATTGGCTTCGCATCAAAATTGCGTGCCCTGTTTGTCGACGATGCGTATTCAATGTGAAGAACGATAGATGACGATTTGATTGAATCTTACCATCGTAAAATAGAGATATTTAGTTGTTACTTTTTTTTCGTTTGAATCTATCAAATCGCCCACTACATTCACTATCTTAAGAATTAATTTATCATGAAATGATGAACACATTTTTAAACATCCGCAAATTCGTAGCATGATAATAAATTAATAATGCCTTTCAATACATAATTCGTGTTGAATTATGACAATTGAAACGAGACAAAATCACAAGTGGTTGTTGCGATGCAATTCAACGATTACAAACAATACGAATTTGATTGAATGTAGTGTCTCTAGATTTAAACTCAAAGATCCTGGGTCTCTTTTGTTTGATTATCTTGGGGAAACCCTATATCCAAAAACCTACCGGAACAGCTTCCTCTCTCAGTCGTAACCACTCACAAATCTCGTTCATCTTTGTATTTTTTTTTTATTTTTTTTATTTTTGTCTCTGATTCAACTTTTAGATCTTATGGTTGTGGATATCTTCTCTGATATTGGATAAGCTTGAGGAGAATTTATTAGTGGGTTTTACCATAATGAGAATCATGATGCCTCCCAAAGGTACTAAAATGCAAGACTATCACTCAATACATGTAGATGTTTTAAGTGAGAGGTAGGATCCTTCTCGTCTACATACTTGGAGCTTCATTTTGGGGACTAAGGAAAGTTCGTCTAGTATTTGTGGAGCAGATTAATATGATGCAATAGGGATTGTCCTCTTAGAAATCTATACACCAATCTTTGGGGTTGTATTGATCTTATAAAAAATATACTTTATAGGTTCAACTTTTTGATGTTCATTCTTAAAGTTCTTGATCTATCATTGAAAGGATTAAGAGGATTCAAAACTAGTTGGTGTGGTTAGGCACTATGGGTAGTGATGGTAATGAGGTACGATGGGACGGGTACCTCAGTTGTCATACTCATTATGTACTAAGCGTGGGTCAGGTCGAGTAATACACGTGCGGGTACGGGACGGGTCAATTCATTCTTATATGTTATTTGAAAAAATAGCATTGATATTTAACTCTTTTATGAGAACATATAGAAAAAATACTTCATAAATGAATAATAAATATAGTAGAAAAAATAATTGAGTCTGAATAGTTGAAAGATAAATTCTTAAAATTTATTTGGGACGAAAATATGATTTTAGAAAGATCAAAAGAAGAGAGAGACATATAGAAAAGTCGAGAATGAGACGAGATAGGTGGAAGCAATACCCATACCAGCTCGATGCTACTGCGAGTAGGGTAATACCCGTCCCAAATAGGTCAGGACGCACTGATCAGGTAAGAAATTATCATCACTAACTATGTGCAGTAATCAGGTATTTAGGTGCATTTTGTTTATTTGGATATAGTGAAAACCTTGAGAGGTTGGATAGTTTTTTTTGGATCATAAATGTTTTACTTTAGCCCCCTTATCCAAGTGGGTTCGTTGCTTTGGGAGGAAGGAGATGCTTGGTGGAGAGGGGCGACAACTTGTTTTTTAGGTTATTTAATAATTTCGAACTTTATTCTTTTTTAAAAGATAATTGGGCCGATCCAAAAAATCCGAGAGCAAGTATGCAAAGCAAAGTAGGATTAAGAAATTCGAGTACAAGTTCGAAGCAAAAGCAACTCACACTGTGAGTCTGTGAGTCATCAATCCTTGCAGCCAAGTCCATCAGTTTGACGGTCCTGGTAACTCTCTTCGCCACAAGCTTACTGCTAAAACCAGGACAAGAACTGACAGAACCACCCAGAAACAATGACACCACGTGAAGGCCGAGTAACAGAGGCGGGAAAGCACCCGGCAGTCGACTCCTAGGATCCTCAGTAGACCAAAAAATCTCAGTCTTACCCACATTTAGATGAAGGCCAAACCGAAAGCCTTCCTTCCATAATCACGTCTAAGAGATATTATTATAGATGTATATTTGGGGAGGGAATGAGATGTTTTAGATGATGATTTGTAATAGTAGAGTAGTTATTATTGTTAGGATTCATATTAGCTGAATACATTTAGATTATGAGATATTATTAGATACACCGAGAGTACCATGTACTCATCAAAATATTTTTCACAGTCCTGCATTAGAAAGAAGGAGAAGGAGAAGAGAGGATTTTCGAGTCGACAACAAGATCTTCATTGTTAATGCAGGACAGTCGTCCTCGATCAGAGCTCCAGATCAACACTGTGGTTCCTAATCGGCGATGAAAAGCCAGTCGGCCTTTTTTTTTTTTTTTTTTATGAAACAGGTGCAAGCACCACTACCTCTTATTCATAAATCGATCGAACGGTAAAACCGCCAACAGAGTCAAACATGGTCCAATGACAAACATCAGGGTCCGAAACATGAACAGAGTGAAAGCCCGGGGTCAGAGAGTGCCCCTTGTGAGCAAGACAGTCAGCCAAAAAGTTGGCCTCCCTATAGATGTGAATGATACGCACATCCCAGTCCCTACGGAGCAAGGCCTGGAACGATAAGGTAAGGTCGGCATGCTGGTGGTTGTGCTGTCCTGGAACCTGGAGAAGAGACATCGCCGTCCTAGAATCAAGCTGGAGCTCCACTTGTCGATGTCCTGCTTCCCAAGCAAGCTCGAGACCCTTCAATGCCCCCCAGATCTCTGCACGGGTGATGGTACACTTCCCCAGGTTCATCGTATAGGCCCCTAACAAGCGACCCTGCCAGTCTCTAAGCGCTCCTCCTGCAGCGGTAGACCCTGAGGGCCGTAAGAGCAACCCATTAGAGTTCACTGTGATCCACCCTGTCGGGGCCGGTCTCCACCCCACGGCCACGTCTCGACGCGACCCCGACCTCCCCAGTGAAAGAGTTTGTTCCGCTTGCTTACTTTGCTGAGCGACGACCTCCCAGGCGAGGATCTTTTGCGATAACTTGTTAGGGCAGTCTGGTTCCCCCTCCCCGTCGCTTTCCATCTCATCTTCGAGGTCGTCCTCAATCTCCTCCCTAACTTGCTCTCCAGTAACCAGGTCTTTGTAGGAGCGTGTCGGCTCCGCCTTGGCCGGTTCTACTGACTCCATCACCGTTTCCACCGAAGGGGACGAGCCATGCAAGGTCTGAGGCGGAGAGCGTTGCTCCTCCGCAGGCGTCTGGTCCACTTGCATCGCTGCACTGCCTGTAAAGCCCTCATTCGTCATGGGCTTTGCCTTCTTGTAAGGCCGGGACGGGGATCGTTGCTCCTCCGTAAGCGTTTGGGTTGGGGCCAGGCCCCCCCGGCCTCCGGCGTGCCGCCGGCGGCACTCATTGAAAGGTTGTCGAAATCCTAGCTGCGGCGCGATTCTTGAGATCCGAAAAAGGTGGAGCTCTCTTATGTTTAATTGATAGGAGACCTTTTCTAATGAAAAAGGAAAACCAAAATCAGTACAGGCAAGCCAAAGCCAGTCGCCCTTAGTTGTGGTTCCTAATCGTTGATGGAAACCGGTCTAGAATGCAACTAAAGTGCGTTGACATGATGAGGACGACATGGGTGGTTGGGATTTTCTCCTCGGATGACCAGTAGCATATATTTTTTTATTGAATATATGTTTTTTATATAATTTTTTTTAATTAAATAAGCACAAGACACTATGATATTGGTTGGGTCTACCACATCATTAATGCTATGTGGTACTACAGGCCCAGGGTGTACCTTATAATCCCGCTTAGATTATTATTAGATGTTAGAGTGTTTTCCTATATATATGTATTTGGTCGGGAAATTAGTTAATGCGGGTTCGTTTGGAAGTTGCGATAGTTTTGTTGAGATTGTCATTATGCATGTATTGTTTACAATGCTTAGTTTTTTTTTTTTTAGCAGAAACAATACATGGATTGTTTCTATGATGTGACAGAAATTATCACTCATTTTGAGTGATTGTTATATCTCAACTTTTAGTTGTGATTGTTGAGATAGTTGAGTTGAGATTGTTTTGTCTCAGCTTTTAGCTGATGCGACATACACAATCACACATACCAAACGTTGTATTCTACAATGCATCAAATTCGACAATACATGTATAATATTATACATGCATTCTCAACAATACATCTATTTAACAAATCGCAACTTTCAAACGACCCCAAAGAAAAATATATTTCTGTTATTTTTTATGCTTTTACCAGGAGTGGACATAATAGTAGAGTTCAATTTTCTTATGCACAAAAATCTACTTCTAACAATATCTTTTTTGTTACCAACATACTCATCAACCATATACATAATCCAAATTCCAAACTACAACATATATGCTATATTTTCCATCCTTACAAAAGTTGTCTACATACATCTCTGCTTGTCAAAGGAGGCTGCCATGCTGCAATCTACTTGGGACATCATCAATCATCATAAACTCATTTCAGCCACATTTATCAGAGAATGAAAGTATATTCCTTTCATTAATCCAAGATGGTCAGGCAAGGAAAACAACATGCTGAGAGGAGAGGGGATTATCCTTTCTTGTGGCTAGCAACAGGCAACAGCAGGCCCAGTTGCAAATTCCAATCTCCTTATGGGCCCTGCTGCTCTGGGCCTCTCTTCGTCAACTCTCAGCCAGGAGATGCGCTCCAATGGTCCCGCACCCAGATAAACGACACCATAATGCAAGCCCCAAGATTGTCCTCCCACCTGACACGTGTCACATGCTGCTAAAAAGCAATCCGACTATAATGTTCGCAATAAATTTTGTTAAAAACATACTTTTAAAGTGCACAATTGTCATATTGCATGCTATACACTCAATGATTATCATATGGTGTCGATGAACAACGGCAAAGACCCCAACGCACAATACTATTATTATGAATAGGGGTGTCCATTCCGGTTTGGTTTTCGGGTTTACCCGAAACCGACCCCATTATATACATTTTTTGTTTTTCGGGTTTGGGTTCGTTTCGGGTTTTGGGTTCGGTTTTTCTTATCGGTTTTTCGGGTTTCGACTAAAAACCTCCAATGAATAGAACTCAGCCAGTATTCTTAGCCATTCGGGTTTTCGTTTTTGCTTTAACCGAACCCGATAAAATTTTTTCGGATTTCGGGTAATCGAAACCCGCAGGTCCTTATCGGGTTCGGGTTCAGTTTCAGTGATTTTCGATTTCGGGCTTTTTCAAACCGAAATTGACCCGAACTGACGCCCCTAACTATGAATGATTTTAGATATATAAACTCGTTCTCTCGTATCAAGCTATGAGCAATTTAGCCAAATTGGCTAGAAAGCATTTTGGAATATAACTTGGGATCTAAAATTAGTACTAAAAATATAAAGAGATAAAATGAGATGAGGTCAGGTTGGGTTCCGCCGCAATTTAATCAGGAGTCGCCTCACGGATTCGGTGTCCGATGAGGTTCCGGCGAGCACTACTCCCAAGACGCCCGCTTCGAGTCCGATCGCCTGCGACGACGACGACGTGGTCACGAAGGGAAAGTTCGTGGCGTATTATCGCGAAGAGGAAACGAGGGAGGAGGAGGATGTCGTTGTTGACGACGGGGAAGTATTGGACGGTGGTAACGGCGGCGTGGGGAAGGGGTGGTTGGAGACGGCGTTGAGGGTGAGGATGGGAGGGGAATTGGAATGGTACAGGTACCAGGACTTGACGGCGATCAACGGCAGCGTCGTTAGGTTGTGGGACGGCGTTAGGAAAGGGGACGGAGAGTGTTACGATGATGGCAGCATCAAGAGCAAATGCAATCCCAGCTGTTGTTTAGTTTGGTAGGTAGGGCTCTTTTTGTGAAGAAATTGTATATAAATTATGATAATAATAATGTTAGTGATGGCAATGGGTCAGGTTGGGTGGGTATTTCAATACCCATGCCCCGCCCCACATTATTACAAGTCGGGGCGGGTAATACCCGCGTAGGTATGGGGCGGGGCGGGTCGACCCACTCTTATATGCTATTTGAAAAAAATACAAGCAAAATTTTACTTTTTACAATAAAATGAAGGAGAAAAACTTCATGAATGAATAATAGTGATAATATAATGGGTAATTGGGTCTATTTATTTGAAAGATCAAGTCTAACTAGTTGAAAAAAAGTCAAAATAGGAGATATATGAATGGATGGTGTAAAAAATTGATCTAGAACGGGCCAAGAATGGTGCGGGGCGGGGCAGGGGGATCAGAAGTTGATACCCATGCCCCGCCCCATGCTACTGCGGGTCGGGTAATACCCGCCCCATCGCGGGTCAGGTAATAACCGCCCCATCGCGGGTCAGGTCGGGTAATACCCGGCGGGGCGGGTTCAAATTGCCATCCCTAAATAATGTAAGTCGTTTTTCCATACCAATTTGGCTATAATGTTAGATAACAATGTTTAGTTTGGGATGGTTACTCGTTTATTGCCTTGTTGTAAATGTCTACATAGGGTAAATGCCATATTTTGTTACTGAGATTATTCAATCGTGTTATGTTTAGTCACTAGAAAAATTTAATATTAATTTTGGTCACTCGAATTACTGAAACTAGTCATATTTAGTCACTCTCATGGAGTTGGGCGAAAACTAACGGGAGAGTGACTAAATGTGACCAGTTTCAGTAATCCGAGTGACTAAATGTGACATGTTTCAATAATTGGAGTGACCGGAGTTGGACAGAGGCTATGTGAGAGTGACTAAATGTGATATGTTTCAGTAATTCGAGTGACCAAAATTGATATTAAAACTTTATAATGACTAAACATGACACGATTTAGTAATTTTAGTGACCAAATGTGACATTTATTCATTAATGGTACCTAATCTTTTCGAAATCGTACAAAAATTAAATGTCACTAAAATCCACAAATAAATCTCATGTATCTATTTAGTCCAACCAAAAAAAATTCTATATATTCATGATTTATTTAATCCAATTAACAAATCTCTAATTACATCCCCCAATAATATACAGTACACTTTTGTGTACTTTTCTCCATTTCAAATTTCCTGCAACGAGAGTGAAAGTAGGAAGGACATTTTCGTCTTTACAATTAATTATTTATCTCACATAAAAAATATTAACATCAGGATTTGAACCCGGGTCTCTTCAAACAAAGACAACAATCACAACCATTTACACCAAACAAATTTTTTGTATCTTTTTTAATACAAAATATACACGAAGTTCAACTCTCTGAAATTCGCAGGACTTTCCATCATGATTAGCAAGCCCAATAAGTATACTGTATGTATTTTTATGGTGCTTGATACTTCAATTTTTGTAGTAGAGTTTCGTGTAATTTTCTCAATTTTAAAATTCTTTCTTTCTCCTTAATTTTTCCTAAAGGTAAATTGATAATTGGCTAACATGGAAAAAACTAATTTTGTCACTACGTGTTGTGTCCTTGCATTTTTCAATTTAAATTTTGTGGTTTTTATCTTTGTTCTTATCTCTTTCTAAGTTTCTCGGAATTCCCTCCATCGTACAATAGTTTGCGCCCCTTTCACTTCCCAGGACAAGGCCGCCTTTGAAAATCAATAATCCGATATCTCTTGGCACGTTGGTTTTATTGTTGGGGATTTAAGTTGGGCAAGTAAAAGAGTTTAACAAATAATAGAATTGAAGAAGGAAGATTAGAAAAAAATTTGGTTGAAATATAGGTCTCTTCAGATAAAAATTTGTTTGTACAACAAAGAGGGGTGGCTATTGGATCTTTATGTTTATGATTTTTAATCTAGGGTTAATACCTTATTCTGGCCCGAACTATGATCATATAGTCAAATTTGGCCCGTGGTTTGAGAAATTAACATCCTGGCCCGAACTTTGCAGCATATAGTCTCATTTGGCCGGAAGCGTGGTTTGACCGTTTGTTTGGACGGTCAACTGTCCAGGTCACCGCCATATAAGCACCAAAGGAAAAAAAAATTGAATTTGAATTTTCTTTTATTATTTCCTTTACCTAATTAAAAAAATGAAAAAAACAAACAAACAAAATTATTTTCGGCCACCCACCACCTTATCCCCTCGCCTCTTTCCTTCTTCGAGCAAACCGAAAAAATCGCTAACCCTAACCATTCTTCTTCTCCTTTCTTCCCCGATGAGCAGAATCCTCCACGATGTTGTACTGCGGAGCCGTGGGATTTCTTCTTGGTGGAGAACCAGACTCCCTTTGCGACGCTCTTTTCTCCGCCTCCAATCCTTCCCGCACCGCCTACGAGCATCTCAAGCGCAACACTTGCCCCAATCGACTTCTCCTGGTCCAGCTCTGAGCAAAATCCAAATCGAAGATAGCGTGAAGAAGCTGGAGAGCCCCAAGACTTCTCCTGGTCCAGCTCTGAGCAAAACCCAAATCGACTCCGCCGTTGAACATTTAACCAATTGGGTCTATGAATCGTGTGTGATCGTTTCATTCTCTAACCTCGAGCACCCAAAGTTTTGAGCTTTCCTCAACGAGGTCGGCCTCCCGCCGCGTCGTGTTTCTCACAGCCTCTCCGTCGTCAAACTACGCAGAGGATGTTTGTGGGAGACGGTCAGAGGAATCTGGGGGAAGTAAGGTATCAAAATAATTTTGAGGGAGGTGATGAAATGGAAAATGGCGAAGAGGATCTGTAGAGGCGGAGGAGAATGATTTTTGTGGAGGAAGTAAGAAGAACAGAGGAAGAACGAGTTTTCTGGAGGAAGAAAGAAGAACAGAGGAGGGAATTGAGAGATGAGTGGGGCGGAAGAGAGATGGGGAGTTCTTTTCATTAATGACAATTTTATTTTATTATTATTATTAATGGTAGTTGATAGTTTGAGTTTTATTAATTTATTTAATATTTTATTAATTTTTAATGTCTACATGGCATTCACGTCAGCAAAACATGCTGATTCACTAACGGTCAACACTATTGACTGTTTAATTTGACGCAAATTCACGAATTGGGCCAATTGAGTATATATGTTGCATAGTTGAGGCCAAAATGTTAATTTCTGAAACCACATGCCAAAGTTGATTACATGGTCATAGTTCGGGCCAAAATAAGGTATTAACCCTTTAATCTATGACAACATGTTTATATCTTAAAACGAGGAATCATTGATTTATTGAAGTAGGTCGATTCTTTATTCAACCTACTGGAACTGATAGACAAGGAGTGTCTAATTTTGCGCCTTATTACTTTGATTGAGTCTATTAGTATGTTGGAGATAACCTAATTTTGTCGTTTGCTCTCAAGTTTTGATGGTCCCCTCTTAGCTGAGTTGTTACATCAATCAAACCAGGAAAACCCATACCCGTTGGGAACAATCAACAACTCTCCATTTCTTTTTGATTAGTGGCACATTGTTCATAAAAAGAGCGTGTTAAACCCTTATGTAGGATTGTGAGGTTTAAGATTTAGTTTCAAACTATCTATGGGTCGTTTGGAATTTCACTGAGCTTTTATACCCTCTTTCTTGACAACCAACTAACCAATAACATTTTAACGAGGACTTAATTATCATTATGAAAATAGAATTAATGATACATTTTATATTTTATATTCTTAAATGATGATGGTATTTCTCCGAATGTTAGACCTATATATTCTTTCTTTATGTATCATCTCGATCAAAGGATTGTCAATAAAATTAAACCGGTTGATTGACTTATACGTAATATAAAAATATAAATAATCGAATATGAACATTCCGGACAATGGGTCGGGTACTCGGGTTATAAACTAGTAATCAAATACAATCAATTTAATAATCGATAAAATAAAGATAATGGAGGCAGTCAACCATTTCGGCCGAAGCGGTGGTAAAAGGCCCTGCCAACGGGCCGGCAAATCTGTAAGCCCATTTTTATATTCAGCACAGAAACATTGGGCTTTTTCTAATATCGACTTAGCAACAAAGGGTTAATTGCAAGTTGGTCACTCGAATTGCTATAAAATTTCACGTTTGCCACTTAAATTAATTTATTCCATTTATAGTCACTCAAATTAGTTGAACAGTTCAAGTTCGGTCACTCTCCGTTAACTTTGACTGACGTGGCGGTCAACTCTGACAGTTGACCGTTAAATGTGTGACGTGGCAAATAAAAAATAATTAAAAAATAAAAATTAAATTTTTAGAAATTACACATCATTATCACGAAAACTTGGCTCTCGGTAAGCAGTGAGCCGTCACCGGCAGCATTCAGAACGTGTTCCCAGCACCGGCATGGGGGCCTGCCGCCACCGCCCACATCGCCGTGCCAATGTTGGATGGACGCAGTAAAGAAGTAGAGGAAGCTGATGGCGATGAGGACGCTGACACTGCTTCTTGTTGTTTAGGGATTCTATTCGGAGATCCCCTGCCGCCGTCGCTCTCTCCGTCCTGTTGATTTTCATCCTTGAACAAATCCTCCCTGAATCTTTTCCGGTAATTCTCCCTTGAATCCGTCGCTCCACCGCCGCCGCTATCTCCGCCGCTGGCACTCGGCAGAGCCTCCGCGATTTGATCCGCCGACAACATATGCTGGTGGTGGTGGAATCCCAGATGCGCGACGGAAAACCGTTCCTCGTAATGCTGTTGTTGCGCCGCCGTCAAAGCAAGCGCCCTGTGAAACGAATGCAGCGGCGCCGATTTCGACGACCGAGCGGAGAGAGTGGATCCGCTGCTCCGCAGCGAGACATTCAGGGTGGAGAAATTGGCCGGGATGGTGCCCGTTCCCGTCGCCACAATTATCGCCGGCTCCGCCTACTGGAGCAGCCACTCGATCGTCTCCCCGTCCGATTTGTGACCCAATTCCCTCGTCCGATTTGTAATTTCTAAAAATTTTATTTTATTTTATAATTATTTTTTATTTGCCACGTCACACATTTAACGGTCAACTGTCAGAGTTGACCGCCACGTCAGTCAAAGTTAACGGAGAGTGACCGAATTTGAACTGTTCAACTAATTCGAGTGACTATAAATGGAATAAATTAATTTGAGTGGCAAACGTGAAATTTTATAGCAATTCGAGTGACCAAACTTGCAATTAAGCCTAGCAACAAATATTGAAATGATTCTATAAAAAAAAACAAATATTGAAATGATCTCCCCGTTTCGTCCAAATCTCTCGAAACGAAAACCGATTCTTATTTCTTATATATATTAAAAAACCGATTCTTATTTCTTAGAAGTTAAAACCCTACTACTCCAGAAAATCAACGGTTTGCCAGTTTTCTCCGATTGCAACTAACCAGTTGCTAGGAGCTAATTCGTCTGCCGAATTTTGCTCGCAGTTTACCTCTCTCTATATCCAGCCGAAGCTCATACGTCTCCAAATGGAGGGATTGCAGAGTTTTGTCCGCAACGTCTCAAAGGAGATACAGTCCGTAACTTCCGCTCCTTCCTCGTCGGAGAACTCGTACGATCTCGGTGGGAAATTAGGAGCCGCCACTGCTACTTTATCTTCTTCTACTGCCAACCACTCTCGTGTTCTGACGGTCAGGCCCCCCAGGTAGCTAAGCTTACTTTTCCCCTCCTGAATTCGGTGTTTTCCGCCATGTATACTTGTTGAAGTAGCAGCTGCTTGCTTTTGAGTTCCATCTTGATTTAGCCATTGTTTGGATGTGGAATCATTGGGTAGCTAGCTTTTGAATTCCTGAATCGGTAAGTTTGGAGGGGTTCAGTTGTGTTCGTTTTCTTAGGACTGCAATTTTCCCCCTATTCAATTGCTTGCCAACACTATGTGGTTGAATGTCTTGGTGATCATCAGTCATCAATCTGATAAATCATGCATAATAAAGCGCTAATGTTCTACTGCTTGCTTAAACTAAGTTTATATTTCACAGTGAGCCCAGCCAATTGCCACTAGATTTTGAACCATCTAGCACCATTCACTTGGTTGAGTTTACCTGGTGAAACACGCCCTTCCGAAATGTGCAGAATGTTGGATAAGTGAAAGCCATAGGTTTAACCGGTAACTGGTCTAGTTATGTAAGAGTTACTACTATCTTTCAATGCATTTGGAATGTGTGGAATTCTGTTCTTCCGCGAATCTTAAGACCAAAGAATGCGATTCTGGTAATCTTCTTTGCATCATTGCTATATTTTCAAGCCTTTTGAGGTTGGATGGTTGTGTTTGTATGTTAGCAGGAACATGGTGTCTGCATGGACCTGCTCCAAGCTCTGTTTGTTTTTCTTTGCTGCTGGTATCGTGGCTGGTTATACATTGAAGAGGCGTGTCCGTGGCTGGGCTTCTAGGCTGCTCAGGAGGTTGAAAGATGACTGACAGCCACCAGTAAGGCTTCTTCATCTGTAATTCGTTGGACAAAATTTTGAGAAATTTAGGGCTTATAGTTCCTTACACAATTTCTGTTGATGTACATGTGAAGCTGAAGCAAATCATACCGTGAATCGCTACTGTCTCAGCTGTTCATTAGCAAGTAGGGAAGAATTTCAACTGTCAGATTACTGCATTTCTTCATCATCATCAAAGTGTTATAAAATAGCAAGACCCCATCTTCCCTTGTCCCTGTTTGGTTATGAGCCCCAGTTATTCTGTCGAATTTTGCTCATCCCAGTTCTGAAGTAATGTTACCGTTTACCATAGTTACCTAAGAGACAAAAACATGTCAACCCTCTTAAAAGTTAAAGCCCCCTGTCTCAGAACTTGTTTTGTTGAAATATAAGGGTTTGCACATGAATTAGCTGCTGGTACTCCAGCTTATTCAATCATCTGAGGTTCTTTCAGTCATCTCATGTTTTTCACTTCTAAATCAGAAATTTGATTTGCAATGCTGTAGATGCTTGGCTAAACCAAATCAAATCAAACTGTTTCATCTAACTATCAACCCAACGAAGTCAACCTCATCATCGAGCAAATTGCTTGAAAACTACAATCTCCTCTTCATTGACTAATATTGATCCATTTTCATTTCTTAGTATGCTACTAGCTAGAAACATGCTGTAGTAACTAGCAGTACTCATATATACATACAAAGAAACTTTTTTTTCTATTTCGGAGGTTTATACTTCATACCACTGCAAAAAGCTGTGTTGAATGTGACTTGATTTACATTTCCCTTGAGCTCTGGTAACAATTTATATGTATACATATCTATGTATCTCTTATGTCTCGCTTTTTCGAATTATTTAACGTATTAGTTACAAAAAGAAAAGTGAGTGTTCTTTTTCCGGCAAAATGAAAAATCATTGTGTTGCTTGATTGTCTCAGAAGTCTTCCTTGTGAAACTCGAATCTTGTCGTCGTCCTACGAGTCAGCTCTTGGGATAGTTTCTTTAACTCCTTTGCCAATATAGGCATCCCACAGTAGAACACCCCTGCAAAATGATCCAGTGGTTGCTTGCTCAAGGTTGTTTATCATACCTATTGTGTCAACCCAGATGGTCTGTGTTGTAGAGAAGATGCAGGTTAGCTTTTTAGTTTGTTTATCATACCTATTGTGGCAAAGGGGTGCTTCGAGGCTATTTTGGTGAAAACTTCTCTCCAATTTGGCCTGGCAAAGTGTGTCCTTACCTGTCAAGAGTGAAATCTAGGGTTCAAGATGCCAACTTTCTGCCATCAGTTCTAGGTATAATGTTTTGGGGGGAAGGGATGCATATATATTATAGTTCATACTCTAGTGCCCGAGACGATGTCAACTCCATGTTTAGCGTGGTTGAGAGCTTGAACCATGGTGATCAAAGTTGACCTTGCATCTCCCTCTTCGTATACGCTTGTCAAGTAGTTGTGCATCTCGATTTGACCCTTTTTGCCATTAATATTTCCCAATGTTAGAAACTCGTTATAGAAAGTAGAAACCCCAAATTAAGATGGCAATCAATATGGAAATTGATAGTCTTTTGTGAGCTTACTTTGTGATCCATCTCTGCAACTTCATCCATGACTCCTCTAAACCATTCAAAAGATCCAGATTCTCTTGTAACCCAGTAGAAGTGGGCATTGGTGGTTCTCTGCGTTTTCTTCTTGCCATTGCTCCCTCCTGTGGCTCTCGAAGATGCTATATAGCTATTTGAACTGTTATCTGATATACTTGTGTCTGTATTTGAGTCCTGCATTGTTGTGCACACAGAAGAAGTCGTTGATTTTGAAACATAAAGAAGGTTTGATCTGCATATATCACCGCGTGTTCTGATTTGGGGGAGGAAGGAAATACCGTTTGATAGTCTGTCGTTCTGGTGTTATTTAACAGATCCCTGAGGATGCTGATGAAAGGGGTAGCCCCAATTCCCAATCCCACAAGGAGAAGAACGTCATAGTTCTTGTAGTCTTGCGCAGGAGCCCCGTATGGACCATCCAGATAGAGCTTTGGTTGTCTGCAAAACAATGACTTGTAAGACACTGAGAATTTGTTCGTCTATATGTAAATCAACAACGTATGAGATGAGTAAATTCGAGGTGAGCTTTGTTATTACCCTCTGTGATCTACGCTCCCAAGGTGACCGAATTTAGCTCGACCAATTATGGTCGATGAGTCATTTACCTCGGTGAAAACTCGCTTCAACTCCTGTGTCCAGTCACCCACTGTCCGGATATGGACACTCAGATACGGGTCTCCTGGTGCTGAAGTTATCGAAAACGGATGCCTGCAGTTCAGAAGCAAACCGTTGATGCACAGATCAACTGGAAGCAGGTAGCCAAAAAAGGTCTTGGTTTGAGTTGCGCGCATTCGCTCACCATTCGAAGGAAGAAATGGCAGGGCATTGCAGGAATATGTACTGCCCACTCTTGTACTTGAATCCCTGTGGCTTCGACATTGTTAAGCTGAAAACGTCTCCTGGCAAAACCGATACCCTCAGTATCTTAGCAGAGCAATGCTCTAATCTGCAAGTGCGCATGCTCCTCTCTGCCAAATACACCAGCAGTGGAGCTGAAATATACATCCATGTCTGCAGAATCCCACAATCACAATTCACAAGCCATTCAGGTGCCAAATGAAGATCCAAGTTGAGTGTTGGAGATGCACAGAAGGTGGATACTGAATCAAGAAGGAAAGCTTACATTTCTCTCGTACCACTTGGTGGCGAAGTAGAGGAAGGTTCCATGGACGAAGAGCATAATGTAGACGAAGCAGAGAAGGTGATGAGAGTACAAGAACGCGTTGAACCCTGTGAGCCTACTGAAAGGTGGAGGCAGCCTCACCACGTTTCTCCTAAACTGCCGAGTCGCCAGCGTGAATGCAATGGCCATCAGCACCACCATGGAGATCCCTGTTACGCCTTCAACGCTGGCCAACAGATCAACATATGTAGGCCTCTCGCCTCCTTTGAAATCGGATGCTATGAGGTCGAATTTCTCGGGGGAGGCATTCGCCAGACGAGGGAAGTCGCAGGCTAGATGGTTGCCTCCGTGAACGAGGACCCCCATGGCGATTGCAATCGCAATCACCTTGTGGAAGTTGATGCTGTCGTCAAAAGGAACGACGGTCCTGGCCGGAGTGGAGCGAAGCCAGGTGAGGGTGTTTCGACAGACGGGGAAGAGGATGAGGGCCATGTTGAGCTTGAGGGTCTCGGCAGCACCTTTGGCTGTGGCTAGGCAGTTGCCCATCACCTGATAGGCCGCTCTGTTTCGGTAGGCGGCGAACCTCCACGCGAACAGCCATGCCATTGCCGTTAGCCAGAGGGTCAGAATCCAGCCGCGCTGCCAGTTCTCGAGGACGAGGCACTTGAGTTTGAAGGCGAGCCTGCGAGCCATGTTGTGCGGTCTGAATGTCGTCAGGTTCTGGCTCCAACCACTGACGCTTGCCGAGCTCAGTCGCCTGCTGTAGTTCATGTACGTGTCTCTTTGCAGAAGGAGTGCTTCTAGTTGCCATAACTGATCAAAACCAAAAAAACAATTAAGAAAATATGAAAAGTCTGGAGCTAAATGGAATCCCACTTCGGCAAATTCTGTGGTACCGTGCCGTCATATTTTTCTAACTGGTTCAAATAGCATAGCGGTGGCGGAGCCAATGCCAACAGCCAGAATCCCCAATGAGATCCTTCACCCTCGATTCTCCCAAGTTCACTATTGGGTGTTCGAATGTCGGCCACCGAACTAATCCTGGGCATCGAAAACGAAGTTGGATGCAGGAATTTGGCTCGGTTCATCTTCGAACGGCGGGAAAGAGACCAACAAATTCTTCCATTTCGTTCTTGTGCTATTAGAATCTGACGGAAGATCCTGTTGCTGGACCCCGTGTACATCGCCGCAGCCTGGTGGACAGTGATGGTGGTTGACGGCGGTGGGAGAGGAGCATGCAGAGGGCTTGCGGCGGTGGAGGTGGATGACCGGGCTGGTGGTGGGGCTCCCCGACGACGCTCCGCACTTTGAAGAAAAATGTATAAATCTTCACAACGTCGACATTTTTGGGGGTAAAGTAATGATGAGATGAAAGGCCGAAGAAGATGGGAGGATTGAGTTTTTGGTTCAGGGAGAGATCTGATTGTCGGAGATTGCAGCTATTACGTGAAGGATTTAAATATAAAATAAAATAGGTTTAACCAAAGATAATAGTTTCAATCTATTCTGGTTAAGTGGTGGTTAACAATCAATGGTGCTCATTAAATACAATAAATCCAACGACTGAAAATCAGGCGGCACTAGTGTCGTGCCCGCATCCAAGATTGTTGTATATTGTTTGGTGTGTTTATTAATAGTTACTGGTCAACATACCTCAATGTATCCAAGATTTTCAGGATCCAATTCCTCCATTATCAATGATGCATACTCTTCAGCTTGTTCTTTCAGCTTCGAAAGCTTGTTGGCCGACGCACTCAGCATTATAAGCTGTATGCAACGCACATATCCGTCATTTAAATAACACAGTAGTAATATAAAAATATCGACATGTATTTTAATTAAGAAAATATTGAACATAACTTACATAAGAAATAAAATTTATTAAGCAAGATTTTAATTATTTTTGTATTTTTCTTTTTCCCCCTGGAATCATGCCAAACATGAATGCCTAAAAAGAGAATTTTGAGCATCTATCTTAGCATCAAACAAACATGATATCAATAAATAAGAAAATTGTATACCTCCTGGACCTCTTCTCTTGTGATTCTTCCATCATCGTTGCTGTCTGCCCTGCACAAATATCATTCTACTCAGTCAGATTATTTCCCTATCGCGAAAATAGGGAAATAAAAACTGGAAAAAGGATAAAAATAGCTTCAAATTCATAACGTTCACCAACAATTACTATCGCGACCGTTACTCACATGTCGAAGAAAAGTTGAAGGCGGGCGTCGAAGCTGTGGTCTGTAATCTGCAACCAGAATTCTCTCAGCTCTTGCTTGTCGATCTTGCTGATCTTCTGCCTCTTCCTCCTCGCCAACGCCTCGAATATACTCGCCGCGAATTCCTTCGAATCCACCATCCCTGCCGGCCGATCAATCAATTCAAATTTTCAAATCCCAGTTAATTACTTACTTATTTTAACCAACCACGACGCCGTACCAATGCACTCTCCGAAGTCTTCCCTGGCCAGGAACCCGTGCCGGGCCAGCGAGTCGAACCGGCACTCCACCCGCCGCCACAGCTGCTCCACGTCAACCACGCCTCCTCCTCCGCCGGTGCTCGTCTTGCTGACGAACCTCAGCCCCTTCAGCGCCCGCTCCGCGCTCGACTTCGTCCGCTCCAGGTTCGCCCGGATCCTCCTCTCTTCCCTCGCCGTCATCGCTGCGCCGCCGCCGACCTCCGACGAGGATCCCGATCTCAGCCACCAGAACCTCGAACTCGCCGACAAGCTCCGCTTCGCCACCTGACTGCTACTACGTCTTCCTCCACTCCCCCCGCGGTGGCGGTCCGACGGCGGAGTGGCGGCGGCGGAGGGAGGGGTGACGCTGCAGACGACGACGGAGTCGTGGTCCAGCTCGATTGTGACCTCGACCATCTCCTCCTCCTGCTGCTGGCCGCCGCCGCTGCCGTTTCTCCTTAGGCCGTCGAGGAAAATCGGCAGCACTGCTCCTCCCCCGCGGCTGAGCTCGTCGCAGTCCCTGCCTGCGCCAGCTGATTCATCGACCTCGTAATTATCGCCGGGCAGGTAGAAGGAGCGGCAGTAATTGGACGGCTGGGAGCTGCTTCTTGCGTAGGACGGCGCCGATCTCATTTCTTCGTCCCTTCTTCTGCGGGTGCGCCGCACTGTATCTTTCTTTCCCTCCCTGTGTCCCACGCCTTCCTTCTTTCTCGCTTTTTCCGTTATTGCTATAGCTAGCTGTTTGGCACGGCGAGCCAGCACGCATTTAATTAGCTGCTGCCGCTAGCCGGCCATAAAAGGATGGTGCGTGAGCTACAGTACAGGCGTAGCTTGGAATAGAATGGTGATGAAGGGCGAGGCGCTTGAAGGAAGAAGAAGAACAATGGCGGAGAAGGGGAAAAAAATTAAAAGAGAGAAATTGTGGTTAGTTAGGACTACATTACATTACCAGTTTACCACAGAAAAAAAATATTCAGAAGGAAAAAATGACCAAATAAGACGGACACCCTCGAACCGAATAACCGATTGACACCCACGATTTCAACGCCTCCGCCCTCAGTCGTGCTTAGGATTTGACCAGTGGTGGACCTAGGATTGTTGGAGAGGTGTGTCGCCGCTAACATAGAATAATAATTAAATAAAAAAATTAAGTAGAGATTAAAAGAAATTAATTTATGAAGTTCACAATGTCATTTTACAACGAATCACGACGACTTTTCATCTGCTGAAATGTCTCTAAAATACATTCATCACTTATGCTGCAAAGCAAATGTTTTTCAATATACACAACTTAACAATCATTTATAAACAATGATATTATACTCTAACCCCCAATGTGTGAACCGCAATCCCCAATTCACTAACCTAACATAAGATTCATTTAATCTTGAAAAATGAAAATCAATGATTCTGATTCGTCGAAATTATTGTTGAGTTTCATTTTAAGATTGACCAAATTTTGCCGTTTGGGTTAGAAAATTAGGGATTGGGGTTCACCCATTAGAGGTTAGGATATAGGATCATGCCCCAAAGTCGGGTTAATTATTTATCTAAATAGCAAAACCCAATTGGCATACGGTGGTCGGACGTACGCTAGCCTGAACTTATATTTATATTTTGATAACGTATGACAATAAATTTCCATAAACACAATGGAGTTGTGTCGGATACAATGATCAGAGGTGTGTCCGAAATCCCGAGATCAAAATTTTAGTACCGACGAATTAGGGGTCTTTCACAAAATTTTCGGACGGAGGTGTGTCAGATGACACACCTCCCTTGTGCCTAGGTCCGCCCCTGGATTTGACCGAGGCTGAAAGACAAGGATCGATACTTGAGGATCATTTTCAACTAAACACAAATGTCGCTTTTAGTTTTTAGGGTTAATATATTTGCATGTTCTCAACTTTTCACATAATAAACATTCTAGCCAACCTTTTTGATTTATAAAATTATGGCCTAAACTATACACCAAAGTAACGAAATTGACCAATCATGTTGTGCACATACACTGTTATAAACGCGCTGCTACGGATCGGGAAATCGCTGAAATGATACCTCACGTCGATGTGCTTAGTCCTCTCATGGTGGACTTGATCCTTGGCCAAGCATATTGCACTCAAACTGCCGCAATACACCACTGCTTGATCATGATGTAGACCAAGATCACCAACCAGTCCCTTCAACCATATTCTCTCCTTAGCAGCTTCTGTCAACGCCATATACTCTGCCTCAGTAGTAGACAATGTCATCGCCGACTGCAAAGTTGCCTTCCAGCTCACTACAGAACTCTTAAGAGTGAATACATAACCGGTCATCGATCTCCTCGTGTCAGCATCTCCAGCATAGTCCGAGTCAGAATACCTAGACACCAAGCACTCTGTATCATTGAAGCTAATCCCCACATCAGGTGTACTCTTAAGGTACCGGAAGATCCTCTTCACAGCCTGCCAATGCTCCTTCCCAGGTTGTATCATAAACATGCTGACAACACTAACAGCATGTGCAAGATCAGGTCTAGTGCATACCATAGCGTACATCAAGCTACCTACTGCACTAGCATATGGGACTCTCGACATATACTCCTTCTCAGCCTCTGACTGCGGTGCATAAGCTGAGGATAGATGAACATTTGAAGCACTAGGAGTATTTAAGGGCTTTGCTTCTTCTTCGACATATCCCTGTAAATCTCCATACTCAAGATCTTCTGAGCAGCTCCCAAATCCTTCATCTCAAACTCAGCACGGAGAAGCCCCTTAAACTTCTGGATATCAGACTTTGACCTCGCAGCTATGAGCATATCATCCACATACAGAACAAGATAGATCATCGAACCATCTTCCACCTTGCAGCGAGACCCCCGATTACCAGTCGTAGCGGCTGATAGTCCGATTCAAGTCACATCAACATACACAAAGCTCCACCATTCATATTGCATATGTTGTTGCGTTACTTCAGATTGAGAGTTGACATATGATCGTTCTATGTTTGTTAGTAAAATTGTACGGTGATTTGTGCTATATGTATGTCATGTTGTTGCGTCACCCTCCCAAGACCATTGTTTTATCTAATGGTTTTAAGTTAGATAAGACAGTTTATTCAAAATGAAAATAAAAAATAAAAAAAAAGTTGTTCATTCTATTATAACACCACTTCACAGCCTTGGCATAAAAGCTTAAAATATATATATAGCTCTAATACTGACTAACCAAAAGAGAGGAATAAGCGTAATCAGTTGCGTTGATACTTGGGGGGACGTTGAGGTAGCCGCCTAGCCCTGCCCCTGATTGTCTCAACTGCGGCAAGGAATGCGCGCCCCACCGCAATATTAATTAATCGGCGGCCGGTGTCGCCGTGGTGACGAGGATGGTTTGTTGGGAATGATTGAGCATCACAGATAAATGAGTAGTAGTAAAGAGTAACGGGATTATCAAAATAAAGAGAGGGAGAGTCTGTTAGGTCACTTAGGTTAGGACTTAGGATGGTTTAAGCTAGCGAATCAACCTGTGACGTACTTTTATATAATATATATAATGCGATGATGATTACCTAACATGAATATTTAGGATTAAATGCGTTGAATTCGTATTAAAATGGTTGTATGTTTATTGAAGATAGCTCTGTAGAACTTCCCACATGTGTATGGAACGATGACGAGTATAAATTTGAGTATGTGAAAATAAGAATAGGAAATGACTTAGAATACATGCATATTTTTCTAAAAAAAAAAAGGAAAACATGCATGCCCCAATCTCGCCATTGCCATCCCTGTCGGTCCAAAGCAAACCTTTATAGGCTATATGCCTTCAGTCTAGGTTTGGGCTTTTTCCCTTCCAGACACAAAGCTTGGACTAAACAAGCAGTATCCATTAACGATCGTACGTTATACTCAAATTGGGCTTTAAGCCTTTATGCGACATTGGGTTTCGCAGCAGATTGCTAAAGTCCACAAGCTTTAAGCCCACTACTTGTATCAAACCTTCCGATCTGCAGTTCGGCGCCGGAAATTGACGTTTAACGGCGGGTGCGTTGTCCTTGGTTTTGGAACGTTCGAACTTCGAACCCTAACCGGCTAAATCCCCTCTACCTTCGTCCGCAATTCAAAGCGAGAAACACCATAAACCCCAAAAAGAAAAAGAATCCAATTCCTCCATGGATCCATGCCAGCTGGGAAGAACGCACTGATCTCCCTGCCAACTCGTTGGCGATAATCGCGTCCATTTCTCCTTTGGGTACGCCTCCTTCTGCCCTCAGATAATTCTTAGTCGATTGGGCAACGGCCTGGTGTTTGAAACGTTTTGCGATTCCTCGCCGCCATTAGAAGTTGCGACACTATTCTCTTTCTTCGAGCTTCGTGTTTGCTTTATTGAAGTTCCGAACTAACTTGTAGACGACGTGTTTATGGAACAGAGGAATTGATTTCGGCTTCCGTTAGCAAAGGAAAACAGCAGTTGAGAAGCAGCACTGGCAACCTCCCGATTCCAGTAACTTGCGGGATTGGTTTATCCTGCTGAACTTCACCAGGTTTCTCGCTTTCCCCTCTAGTTTACTACTGTGTCTGCATTCCTTGATGGTGGCCCTGCAGTAAGCTATATTTTGGTCGGTTTAACGAGCTAAAAAGACTAGTGCAGTAGTGCTTTCTTTTTCGGTTACAAAAAGTGTCCACATGCTGGGCACAATCACACAAGGCCAAATTAGAAAAGTCAGGCAAGATTAACACCTGAGCATGAGTGGGTTTATATTTCAGAAGCTCGAATGCTTTTCTCTTGAGCTTCACCCCATTGGAAAGCCATGTTTTTAGTTTATTTTTTGTGGTAGCAATGGTGCTGAAGTGAGGAGATTTTGGGGTTCTAAAGTGAATATGATATTGAATAGGTATCAGATATGGAAACTTTCCCATTGGATGCCTGAAACTTCATTGGTATCTATGAGACAGTTGCTCAAACATAACGGGGCAACAACTTCCTATAAGCAACTGCCATCCCTTCACCTTGAAAATTTACTCATACCTGCTCCTAGGTTGCTCTTGCAAGTTTTACTTTTTCCTCAGCCCCCTGGAAAGAACGGAAGATTGTGAGCTGCTAAATGGCTTCAGCTTGCTCTTTTCATTGGCTATAATTTGCTTAGAAATGAGAAGAATACCAGCAACCCTGACTATGAGTTGAATGTGAAGGGCTGAGGCCTTCTTTCTTTCATACGCTGTTCAGCTATTAGTTTTGTCTGCTAAAACATCTTCTAATTGCTGTTGAAGGCAGGTTTTCATAAGCTGCACCAGCAAGCATGTTACCTTCTAGGCTTTTTCGAGTTGGCCTTGGAGCGTTAAGGAGCCTCTCACGAGGTATGTGCTGTAATGCCTTTCCTGTTATGTTTGTGGGTAACCAGGAAAAATACTCTACCCATGCAATATTTAGTGTACATTTCTGTCAATATCAGTTGTGCTTACTGGGAATCGCTTTGTCTTTGTCTTTCTCTTGTTCACAGGAAGATGTAGACCCGTGTGTAAAACAGTAGCGATACCAAGGCCTTATGGTCATTATTTGCAATCTCGGGTGAGTGTATCTATTGTTTTTCCTGCTGTCCTGATTTTCATTTAGATTGGTCTGGACACACCGATATAAACATTCAACTCCCATAAAAATCTTACTATAATAGTCTTAATGAATGTCTGGAAATTGAGGGTTTTGTATAGATAGCTAAACTTGAATACTGGCGAAGGACTAGAATCAATTAATTAATACATCATGCATGTTTGCTGACGCTATTTTCACACTTCTCAACAGATTCGTAGCATGAGTTGGGGTTTGGGATTGGCCAACTAATTAACTTTTGACCATTAAGATTCATGGTTGAAGATTAGTCCCCACATTTTCTTGTTTAGGAGATTGACTGTTCATCAACACATTGTGACATTTAGGGCATTATTTGTTAAACCTGGGTCAGGAATTAGTAGTATAGAGGTGTGCAATTCAACGGTTAATTTAGGATGGCAAGGGAAATCATCTTTGTTGTCTTTATGTCATCATATTCACTCCACACTTCATTTATAGTGGAAAGATTTGTGAACTCATTCTCAGTGTCGAGGGAAGCTACGATTGTCGTGTTATTCATCATTCTATGGGGAAAGGTGTAGGGAGTCTTCTTACTGGCACTGTGTTATCCGTGATATGTGTTCAACTATTCTAAATTGAAGACTCCATTTGGTTGTTTGCTTTTGTGGAGCAGGTTCAATCACATCAAGTTGAATTGTATGAGGCTTCCATTTTTCAGAAGCATCATCATTTTTGTACTGGAGGTTCCAGTGGCGAGCCTTCAGACGGAGCTCAGGAGAAGCAATCGTAAGCAATTGTGTATGCAATGGGGTTAATACTAATATCCCTATGATGTGGTGTAATCACAAGTTATGAACTACTCCTTGGTTGGCATTTGTGACCATTGGCTACGTATTTTCTCAGTTATGAATCTAAATGGGTTATTGCTTTTTCATAAGAAACCATGCCCTTAGTTGTGTCAACCTTATTTAGCAGAATCTGATGTCTATAACTGCTTCTAAAATTTGTGTTTAAAATTAGCAACTTTTGGTGTACTCTGTAGCAAGTGTTCTGTAGTGTCAGTTCTTATACTATTAAAACATTGGTTAATTTGAAACCTTGCTAAATCGGTTATCCTTAAGTTTGGGACAAATTTGAGAATTCCGATAATGTATACACTCTCTAAAGTTCTATTTGTTCATGTTGCTGCTTCTGCTGTTTTCCCTCACACCAGGTTAACTTCTGCAGGATATCTGTAACTTTTGTTGACAAGGATGGCGAGGAAAAACTGATCAAGGTCCCAGTGGGAATGTCCATGTTGGAAGCTGCCCATGAGCATGATATAGAACTAGAAGGCAAGGACGATTCTGCTGATTTTCTCCTAATATTTCTTACTCAGGAGTTATTTATTTTATCACAAGGATGAGGAACTAACTTTGATTCGCCCTCTTGATTGTCATCTTCAGGAGCATGTGAAGGCTCGCTTGCCTGCTCGACGTGTCACGTTATAGTGATGGTTTGTTGTTTGAGCCTTCAACTATTACTTGACGATTATTGATCAGCGAACTTGCTCATTGTTTGTTGCATCATCATTAGGATGTTGACTATTACAACAAATTGGATGACCCAACAGACGAGGAGAACGATATGCTGGATTTGGCCTTCGGGCTAACAGAGACGTGAGTACCCCTGCAGAAAGTACCTCAGCAACTTGGATTTGCGTGGATAGAAAACAACCTTCACAAATTTCATATTGGATATGTTTTTTTTTTGTTTGTTGCAGCTCTCGACTTGGATGTCAAGTGATTGCAAGTCCTGAGCTTGATGGGATGCGGCTAGCTATTCCTTCCGCCACTCGGAATTTCGCCGTTGATGGTTATGTACCGAAACCACACTAGTAACCCCACAATCTTGGGTTGGAGAATAGCTGGAGGGGATCTATCGTTCCATGTCCCAGTTTTGTAGCTAGCATTGATGAGGAACGTACCTTCTCCAGTGTCATTAAATTTCTCCCCTTTACATTGCTACATGTTTGTCTGATGCAATAATCTGGGTCGGGAGTGCTGTTGATCTCGTTATCCTGAAATAGAAAACATCTGAAACAGAAATCAACTGTTCCACTGTTGTAAGGTTCTATGCTCTGTATTGGGGCTGACTACTGGTTTTGGTTCCTCGTTATAAAATATTCTTTTTGTGTAACCTCATTATTATCATATTGAAAACAAAGATGATGGTGGGCTGGTGGCTTTCTTCCACCGCCTAACAGAACAGCTTGTGGATTTATAGAACCGATTTAACCCTTATGGCTGTTAATTAAAAGCTTTCAAATTCACTTCAGCGGCTCTTTTAGCCTCCAACATTAGAAAGAAACTTCATCTTGTTCCAGTAAAACAAAGAACTTCTCTTCTTTCCAAGCTTCTCATAATGTCTCAAACTAATCGTCCTCCTCCATATTGGAAGGAGGATGAAGATTTGTGCAAGACTTGAATTGAAATTTTGAATTAAAACAAAATCAAGTGAATAGGTATTCGACTATCCGTCCCCAACCCATATCCATTTAGAATATAAATTTTATAAAAACAATATTCATACCCAACCCAAATTCATCTACAAAATCCCAAATTCATAAATACTTCATCAATACCCTACCCAACATATATAATGAATGAATTTACTTGAATTACTAGATAATTGCCATTCCTAATTGCAGCAAACTATGTTTAGATAGATGAGAACCACCAGGGAACATGGGCACTTGGACTATGAAGACAAAGTTGGCCATTACAACAAGATGAGAGCCCAATTCATCAAAGATCAACAGCCCATCAATCTTTCTTCTCCATGCTAAATTCCCCATTCCTTTTAACTCCCCCCATCTTTTCCATCAAATCTTTTAATTTTCCTGTTGAAATATTATAAAACGCACAAACATAACCATCTGGCCGAAAGCATCGCTACAGCCATGAAATACTTCCCAACACCCCCTCCTCCACTTTTTTATTATAAAAAAAAAAAAAAGAGTAGCTCCACCATATTTTCTTGCCCCAAACTCGCTTTTGGGATTTCATTACTAATCCAGAAAACAAAAAGGAGGAAGAGATAATTAAGAAGTATATCATCATTATCTTTGCTTCTCTTTTTTTTTTTTTTATATCTATTTTTGCCCCACACACCCAACAGAAACAGGAAGGAAGAAAATAAGGATTCTTCTTTCTGATCCCTAGCTCCTTGATTCTCCCAAGAAAGGCCCGTCGATCGCCACCGCCAAATTCCGACATGGATCTCCTCTTTTCCGTTCGAAGCTGTTAGTCGATCGATTTCACAGTCTCCATCCCCTGCTCTCGGCAGCTCCAGGTACGTTAATCATTTTCGTGATCTCAACAACAGTCTTGTTCTCTTTGGAGTTTACGAGGGATTCGATTAATTCTGTGAAACCGTGATCGATTTCCTGTATGATATTGAGATATATTTTTTTTTTTGTTATTAAAGGTGCAATTGTCGGATTCAATCTCATAAAATTGATTATCTAGAATTTTAAGGTTTGCTTGGAACATCCGACCATTCACGAACCAAAGCTACATTTTCATTCATTTTTATCAATTATTCGCATAAATTCACTTATATATATTCACACTCATCACCTACTTCACGCACATAACCTCCTATATTCTTCATAAAACAAAAATACTATAGGACCCAAAAATGTATCGTGCTTGTACAATTTCCTTGGCTTATATAAATGCGTATACGTTGTGATCTCTCTTTTCCCTTGTTTCGCTTCCCATGCATGCACGTACGTACGCAGATGGCAGAGGAAGAATAAAACCCGATGCGATTTAGAAGCCCAAGAAGAAATGCAAACACTCTGAAAAAAATCAAATATCTTGGCGCTCCTTTTGAATTCCGTTAAAAAGAATTTTTTTTCCAGAGATGGATGACCACGTCAATGGCAACAAGGTCACCGGGATTCGCCAAATCGTCAGGCTAAGGGAGATCCTCCACAAGTGGCAAGCCGTCACCATCGGCGGCGGCGGCTCCTCGTCGTCGTCGTCGAGATCCAACGGCGGCGGCGGCGGTGCAACATCTCGGGTTAGCCAGCCGGCTCTAGGAGGGATCTCCCCGGCGATCAACAACAGAGTGGCGGACATCATCAAGATCAGCTGCGACTCCGACGAGGAAGGCTGCCCGAGCCCCGACGCCGAGCCGCCGGTGGACGTCCCCAAAGGTTACCTGGCGGTTTACGTCGGGCCGGAGCTCCGGAGGTTCATCATTCCGACGAGCTACCTGAGCCACTCTTTGTTCAAGGTGCTGCTGGAGAAGGCGGAGGAGGAGTTTGGGTTCGACCACAGCGGCGGGCTCACCATCCCTTGCGAGATCGAGACCTTTAAGTTTCTACTCAAATGCATGGAGCATCATCCCAAGGACCACAATGCAGATGATGATGATGATGATGGCACAGGTAATAAGCAATGAACTATCATGAGTATTCATTACTACGAAACCTAGAAATCTGAATGAGGGGTTGATTCGAATCGTAGTAATTGGGGAAAGGAGTTAAAGTCGTACAAACTTACTCTGTTTATTAAATTCGATACGAATTTTACGTGTATTTTTATGTTGAGAGGGGAGGCTAGCTATAGCCCTGTGGGTAGGGGTGGAAGTTTGGGTTGCAGCTTGTGGATAACCCGTAAACCGCACCAACCCGCACCCACATTGTGGGTAACCATACCCACAAGTTGTGGGTAGTGTGTTGGGTGTGGGTAGTAAAAAAATGATTTTTGTGGTTAATGGTTATCCACTACCCACCGCGGTTAACCCACAAAATTCACAATACCCACACTAATTATATTTATTTATTGAATTGACTTTATAATATGATCATATGTGAAAGTGGGAATTAAAAATTAAAGTAGCCACCTAAATCAAATACACACCTAATCAGTTTTATGTGATAATTTTTTAGTTTATAAAACACTATAATTGAGAGAATGGAGAATAATCGATTCATTAAAAGTGGACACCATTAGTAACTTTTATCTGTATGGTTTTGCTTTTGTGTGAAAGAAAATATCAAACTCAATTCCACTCATAGTCGGTGAAATCACAGCTCCCTGACACAAAAGTTGAATACCAAACTCGAAAAGACTCTACGTTGAGTAAGATCGATATACAAAATTGTATCTCCACGAACAACACAATTGTATATCACTATAATCTAGCTACGAACAACAAATATGTTAGTGACGGCCTCAACTCAATCCTTGCAAAGATGAATTTTTGTGGTTAACCACACCCAACCCTCACCAACCCGCAGTGAGTAGTGGTTACTCACTAACCACTGCGGTGCGGGTTGTGGGTAACATAATTGTAAATTTGTGAGTGTGGGTACCCACAAATTGTGGGGCGGAACCACACCTACCCCAATTTCCACCCCTAACTGTGGGCTTCAACCTTTCTCCGCCACTAGAGATAACTAAAATCTGTCGCTACTTGGCCTACAATTAATACTTATGGGGCAATCTATGCATGTAATTTATGACATGTTATCCTCAATTTAATGGTACATGATTTATAATTGAACTTGTCCCAATAACTCGAATTAATAGGACCAACGAAATATCTTGTTGGGAGGTTAAATTATGGTACCACTTACTCACTTAGTAACTGCTAATTGGGAAATGGTTTCATTTTGTTTTTGTTGCAGGTGAAGATCATTCATTAACTGTTAAGGAAGGATAGAGTAATGGGGGCATGCTCTTTAATCTGCAGATATATCTTCTTTTCCAAATTTTTACTATCTTACTTTGCCTTTCTTTTGGCTTCTTTTTTCGCCTGATTGACAAACAGTAGGAAAGGAGGGTTTAATTAGATAGATGGGCCGCAGGATTGTGTGGGTTTTTGCGTCTGCTGAAAATGGAGGCTTGGTGGGTTTACATGTTCTTTTTTTTTTTTCTTCTTTTTCGTGTGGAGATGTAATGTAACCCAAAATGCTATTTTGTTGAAATACAAGCAAGGATAAGTTAATAATTGTTGGTCACCTATGATGGGATTTCCCCCCAAAGTATGTGGAGTGGAGTTACAGAATCTATTATGTAACAATGGGCTGTGGCCCATTGTGGATGATGTTGTAAACTAGTTGTGTAGGGCTAGTTAGTAGACTCGAGACCAAGGTTCAGGAAATCGTACTGGAGGTTATACCGGAAAAATGAGTGGTAGGATATTTTGTACTAAAATTGTGATTTAATCGTGATTGAATCGTTTCCTATCGCTAAAATCATATCCTGACATTTCTCAGCGAAATGGTTTGGTAGATGGTAAAAATTGCCATGTGCTGAAAGTGACTCGAACTCTCCTCTTGGAGTCTCACATTCCTTCCTCTTCTTGGCCCGAAACAGTCGTAACTGTCATTCTATTAATTAATTATCATGGCATGACAAGGTGTACGTCGAACTAAGTGAGGTGGCTCTCACAACCCTCATGCATCGATTTTGTCAAGGTGCCGAACTTACCTTAATGCACGTATGGCTATTGTGGAGCAAGATCAATAAGAACGTGATAGATGAGATCAAGAGAGGGCGGAGCATTAAAGAGTTGAAAGGGAGCATGCTAAACAAGTTAGAGCTAAACTGAGCACGAGCCTTACAAGAACGTATAGAGAGGAACCTTCAGCAACATCACCCATTCGTGGGAAGATCGGCATAGAGGAGGAGGAGGAGAAGGAGATGATGATATGAGGGCATCAAAATCAAGATTACAATCCCTTTCAAGAAAGAAGTAATCCTCGATGCTTACCTCGATTGGGACAGAAAGATAGAGATGATATTCGATTGCCACGAATACACTCAAAGAAGGAAAGTGGCTCTAGTTTTCCTAGAGTTCACTGATTATGCTATAGTCTCTGGTGGGATCAATTATGTGCACAAAAGAGACGAAATGGAGAAGACCAACGGTCGAGCTGTAGAGAGATGGAGAGAATCACGAGGAGTCGATTTGTGTCAGTCTATCACCAAAGAGAGATGCATCAAGCTCTTCAAATCCTTTAACAAGGCTGTAACAGCGTGGAAGACTATTACAAAGATGCATATGCTAATGATATGTGATGATATTAGAGAAGATTGAGAAGCCACCATAGCTCGATTTCTCAATGGTCTAAATCGTAAAGTGAAACATGTAGTGGAAATTCAACCCTTTGTTGAATTGCAGGAGCTCGTGCAAATGTCGATCAAGGTGGAGAAGCAACACAAGGGTGGCTATTAAAGACGAGTTGCTTTATCAACTAGTGGTACATCTAGTGCCCCACATTCTTCCTATGCCAAAAAGGAGGATCCAAAGCCAATTATTAAGCCAATTTCACAGCTATCTTCTAGAGTGGAGAAATCAATATCCTCAAACAGCTATGAAGAGCCATAAAGTGCTTCAAGTGCTAAGGGAGGGGCATTTTGCTAGCCAAAGCCCTAACAAATTTGTCATGGTTCGAAACAATGGAGAGTATGAATCTGAAGATGAAGAAGAAGTAGTGGAGGTGGTTGAAGAAGAAGGTCTAGTGGAGATGTAGTAGCTCGGCTCCAATACATGGTGAGTATTCTTCAGTCACAAGAAAGGTGGTTGAAGAAGGAGTCGATTCTTCCTCTATGGAGCATTTTATGGTTGTACAGAGATTGTTAAAGGTGCAACCTATAGTGATTATTCTTTATTTCATACACAACGCATACTGGCCGGAAATGTGTTTTCTCTAGTAATTGATGTTGAAGTTGCACTGACGTGTTTAGTGCCACTATGATGGACAAATTGGAGATCACAAAAACAAAAAGACACCCCATTTTTACCATCTTCAATGGCTCAACAATAGTGGGACATTCACAGTCACAAGAAGAACATTGCCGAATTTCGAGATCGACAATTACAAAGACAAGGTGCTATGTGATGTGGTGTCTGTGGAAACTGCTCACATACTTCTTGGAGGTCCATGGAAATTCGATCGCAGTGCAATACATAATGGGCGCACCAATAAGTAAGAGATCAAATGCCAGAATTATTCGTTTACTTTGGTACCTCTTACACCAAAGAATATCTACGAAGACCATCTTAAACTACAAAAACTTCGTGAGAAAGCAAACAAGGAGCCAAGAAACGAGTTGAGAGCAAATAAAGAGAAAATTTGAGTTTCATTACCCTGTGAGTCAACCTAGAGAGAAAAAGAGAAATATTGACATCGAAAAGAAAAAAAATGATGATTTAGGCTCTCCAAGAAAAGTGAGTATTTTTGTGAGTGAAAGTTTGGTGAAACAGACTTTTGATAACCATGTTAACAAATCGAGCTTAAACAAATGAACGAATCACACACACGATGTACGTGGTATCCCCGAGATTCGGGACTAGTCCACGGGAGAGATGACCTCTCCGAGCTTGTATCTTATTCTCACAAGATTCGATGATCGGCAGCAGTACATAAGGGCAAATATATATACCCTCTCAACCCTAACTCCATGCACCCTAACCCTACATGCACGTCCAACCAAAGTCCAGCCAAAAAACCCAAGTACAAAATAGAGTCCGAACTAAACATATGTACAAACATGGGCCGAGACCCAAATCCAGAGATGCTAACCCGCTAACAGCCTCCCCCAAATTGATGCCGGTCACGAAGCATCAATTTGCCAGACAGGTACCAATGACGACTCGATGTGAACGGCTTTGTAAACATATCCGCCACCTGATGCTCGGTCGGTAAATAGCGAAGGATAACAACCTCATCACGAACGAGATCACGAATGTAGTGGACATGAATCTCTATATGCTTCGTGCGGTCGTGGAGAACAGGGTTCACAGCAATCTGGATAGTGCTAGTGTTGTCCACATAGAGAGGCATAGGAGTGGCACACGAGACACCAAAATCACCCAGTAAGCGGCGCAACCACACCAGTTCGGACCCAACTTCAGACATGGAGCGATACTCGGCCTCCGTGGACGACTTGGAGACCTTGTCCTGCTTCTTACACCGCCAGGATATGAAAGCCTCCCCGAAACGCACACACCACCCACTGGTAGACTGCCTAGTATCAATGCAACCGGCGAAGTCAGAATCAGAGAACGCCTGCAACTCCAGGTCACCTGTGGATGGAAAAAAGAGACCAACATCTGCTGTCTGCTGGAGATAGCGAAGTATGGGATGAACAGCAACAAGGTGAGCATCACGGGGATGAGCCATGAACTGGCTAACCACCTGGACAGCATAAGATATATCAGGACGGGTATGGGTTAAGTAAATCAAACTGCCAACAATAGACCGATATTGAGAGCCATCGGCGAGGGGTGTCCCGGTGTCACGAATGAGCTTAACATTCAGTTCCATAGGTGTGGATGCAGGCCGACTGTGATCAAACTTAGTAGCGTGGAGCAAATCGTCGATATACTTATGTTGACTCAACAAAATTCCACCCGGCGTACGAGACACTTCAAGACCCAGAAAATATGACAGGGCACCCTACTCCTTCAGATTGAAAGCTGCATGTAAACCATCAGTGAGAGTACGAATACCAGCCTCATCATCACCTGTAACCACCATATCATCGACATACAGTAACAAAGCCACCAAGCCAGTATCAGTGCGACGAGTGAACAGGGAGGGGTCATTTAGACTTTGAACAAAGCCTAACCCGATAATAGTGTGCTGAAACTTCTCAAACCAGGCCCTCGGTGCCTGTTTGAGACCATATAAAGAGCGGTTGAGACGACAAACCTGACCCGGCTTCCCAAAAGAGTAACCGGGAGGAGGCTCCATATAGACGACCTCCTGCAGATCACCATGAAGAAATGCGTTCTTCACATCCAGCTGTAATAACGGCCAATGCCGAATCGAGGCAACCGCCACCAATGTACGAACAGTCTGCATCTTCGCCACCGGGGCAAAGGTTTCAGTATAATCAATGCCGAACTCCTGACTGAAGCCCTGTGCAACCACCTGCGCCTTAGACCTCTCTAAACTGCCATCCGGATGAAGTTTCAGTGTGTAAATCCATTTGCTGCCGATGACAGGAACTGGAGGTGGAGGGCGGTCAACCATAGTCCACGTATCATTTTCATGGAGTGCAGCAATTTCCGTGTCCATAGCCGAATCCCACAGGGGATTACCTTTTGCTTGCTTGTACCTAGAAGGCACCACAATAGAAGCAACATTATATGATACATAATCGCGCATATATGAGGGTGGTTGACCAAGAGTGGACCGGGTTGACCGCCGGAGAGGAGCTGGCGGGGGAGACGGAGATGGCGACGATGATGGTGATGACACGGTGGACGATGAACGAGACGAGGTAGTGGAAGAGGACGTTGAGGACGAGGCCTGCGGAGATGGTGGTGGGGACAGGTCGGGCGGTTGATCTTCCTCGGCTGGCAGAGGCGCTCCCGGATCAATGCTATCAAAATACACAGGACACAAGGACGACGCAAAGGACTGGGACTCCAACGAAGACTCAAAGAAGGGAAGATGCTCGAAAAAGACCACGTTACAGGACACCCGAACCCTATCTAATGATGGATCAAAACAAATGTACCCTTTATGAACCGAGCTATACCCCAAAAAGGCACAACGAGCAGTTTTCGACGACAACTTATCTCGTTCACGTCTAGGAAGGAGAACAAAACAAGTGCAGCCGAAAACTCGAAGACTACTATAGTCGGGATGAGAGGAGTACAAGGCGAAATGCGGACTCTGATTATCAAGGGTAGGAGTGACCTGATAATTAATCAAACGAACAGCGGTAGAGACAGCTTCAGGCCAAAAACGAGGAGGAACAAACGACTCAAGGAGAAGAGCACGAGTTATCTCTAGAACATGGCGATTCTTACGTTCAACCACTCCATTTTGTTGGGACACACCGGGACAGGACTTCTGGAACAACATGCCAAGGGAGCGGTATAAATTAAGGAGATTATTAGAGCTGAACTCACCCCCTTCATCGGAACGAACTATCCGAACCTGTTTGCCAAACTGAGTTTTAACCATAGCAACAAACTCAGTGGCAACCGAGAGAAGATCGGATTTCAGGCGCAAAAAATAAACCCAAACAAAACGAGTGGTATGGTCCACGAATAAGGCAAAGTAGCGATAGCCATGTCTAGAGAGAACAGGGGACGGTCCCCATAGATCCGTATGAACAATGTGAAACGAATCCTGGATAACAGTAGTACTAGAAGGAAAGCTTTTACGAGTAGACTTAGCTTCTACACAACTAGTACACAAAAGTTTGGAGGACTTTTCAATCATCTTATTATTACCAAAAAGACCAAGTTTGACCATCGAAACAAGCCGACTCAAATGGGGATGGCCAATACGAGAATGCCAAAGGTGTAAGTTTTCATCCTCTAGACTCGAGAAAACCGAACATGAAAAAACAGAACGCAAAGGTGAGACCGACGACGACGAACCGACTGATGATTGATCCGAGAGCTCCTCCAAATGAAACACACGACCATGTCTACTCCAGCGCCCGACCTGCCTCCCCGTCTTCTCCTCTTGTACAACACAGCCAGAAGGAGCAAACACAACCCGATAACCCTGTTCAGTAAGCTGACCCACCGATACAAGATTTGGAAATAGTTTAGGGACAAAGAGAGTATTTGAGAGAGTGAGCGAGGACTGCACTACATTCCCCATACCCTTAACCCCCAAGCTTTCTCCATTAGCAACCTGCAAAGACATATCTTTAACCGGCACAACATCGCGTACAGCACAGGGATCGCTAGTCATGTGGTTAAAGCAAGCAGAGTCAAGCAACCATGGTTTAAGTATACCTGAGGTCTGGAGTGAAGCAAAGGCGGAGCTCAAGGCTGTAGGGAGAGAACGTTGAAGGGCCGCATGAACCAGGCTTTCAACTGCCTCCGAAGTGAGCGCGGAAGAGCCAGCCGATGAGGATGGCGGTTGAGCAGCAAAAACGGGATTGGAGGAAGGCCCAGCTGTCGCCGAGCGAGCGCCAGCAGAAGAACGACGGCGGTTCTGAAGAGATGGGCAGTCCAACACGATATGGCCCGGCTTTTTGCAATACACACACATATTGCGTTGCCGGCAGTGCTTCTGCAGGTGACCCTTAGTGTGACAATGGTGACATTCTAATTCCGACACAGGCACCCGTTGCTGGAATTGAGGTCGTCCCACAGCGAAGGCAGAATCCGTAGAGCCGGCGGAAGAGGAAGACCCCGCCGACACAGTAAACACCGCCTCACTATCTCCTGGACGCATATTCAACTTCGACTGGGTGCGAAGGCGGGCTTCCTCCCGTAACAGCTTGCCAAGAACCCCATCCATGGTGATCGTGTCTTGGTTAAGGAGGGTGGAACGTACAGATTCATACTCTGGACGCAAACGCATCAAAAACTGGAGAAGGCGCTGCTGCCGTCTCTCGTCCATAACCTCAGCAGAAGCCTCCTTCGAGCAAAGTGCGGCTGTGAGCAAATCTTGCTCAGTCCACAGCTCTTGTGCTTCATTAAAGAATGTCGAAATATCCCGATCGCCCTGCTCGAGGCGATCCAAAGCCGTCTGAACCTCAAATTGACGGGCCGGATTACACGAGGAGTACGTAGTCTCAAGATGCTTCCACATGGAGCGAGCATCTTTCAGCAGCCGAAGCCCAAGAATAATGGTCGGATCCACCGACCCCAATATCAACGCACGAACACGAGCATCACTTTGGGACCACTTAGCGATGCCGTCAGTCGGGGACGTCTCAGCTGGCTTCGGCAAGGATCCATCAATCAAACCAAGGAGGCCTCTTCCCTCCACAAATACCCGAAACTGGAACTCCCACACGGCATAGTTCTTGGAGTTCAAACGAATACCGAGACGATCAGAATCGCCGGACGAAAGCTCTGATACCATGTTAACAAATCGAGCTTAAACAAATGAACGAATCACACACACGATGTACGTGGTATCCCCGAGATTCGGGACTAGTCCACGGGAGAGATGACCTCTCCGAGCTTGTATCTTATTCTCACAAGATTCGATGATCGGCAGCAGTACATAAGGGCAAATATATATACCCTCCCAACCCTAACTCCATGCACCCTAACCCTACATGCACGTCCAACCAAAGTCCAGCCAAAAAACCCAAGTACAAAATAGAGTCCGAACTAAACATATGTACAAACATGGGCCGAGACCCAAATCCAGAGATGCTAACCCGCTAACAAACCAAACCCAACCTTATAGTGCTTCTTTATAAAGAAACATACTTAAATTCTGACGTGACAAATTTGCTGGCTAGTGTGATTCGTTCAATTTTGCCAAAATATTTGAGAAAAACTAAGAAATTCGACATATCTCGTTAAGTAAGACCAATATCAATGAATACCATTTTAACTTTAATTACTATAATTTTCTTCTACATTAGGGTGTGTGACATGCACTCCTTTTTTTGTGAGTACAACGTGCCTTATTTCATGTGGGATTAATTAATATACATGGAGTATTAACTATTAACTTATCACTAGCATGGTTTTGGCAGTACCAACTCTTTCATCTTCTTTATGAATGAAGTTATTAATTTTTTACTAACATAAAAAGCTAAGAATGTTAGCCCTACGTGTGTTCTGTACAAATTTGGTGTAGGAAGGTGTGGAAGAGAGAGATTCATAAAATAAAGGGTATGGAAGAGAGGGTGGTTGTGATCCATGTTTGTATGCTTCATGTTTGAAATATATTGCAAACTTCATGTTTGTGATGATAGAAATGTTGCTAAAAATTGCCAATCCCATTCACTTTGATTTCGTGAGCTCATCCTTGTTCTTATTGATGGCCTTGCCATGAGAATGATGATCAAGGTTATCATACAAGCAAATTCTGCAGAGAATTTCATTGCAGAGACACAAGTACGAGTCTATGTGAACCAAAAAGTGAGCGACGCAAACTATGTGACTTGAAATCCTGCATCACTCTAGTCGAGAATCGTGGAGATCTCGACTTCCCTTAATTATGGCAAAAGACCCCCTCGTCATAACCAAAACAGAGTAATGATGATACCGAATGAACACAAAATTCTGAATAACTCAACAGATTGGACACAGAAAAGTTGAGAAGTTAACTGTTTTTCAAGAATGAAATAGAGAAGAAGAAAAAGAAAGAACACAGGCAGCACATGGCTTATTAAAAACACAGGAACAATTGCTACATAAAGATTACTAAATGGCGACTCAAAAATACAACATGGAAAATTTTCCCAAGTTGCTTATGCACTTTGCTTGCTGCCGCTCCATAATGCAGGGGAGGTTCCTTTCTTCTGCTTCTCAACCATCTCTAGTTGTAGCACGACCATGATCTGCGTATCTGGAGTCTGGAAGCCAGCAGGTTATTGAAGGAACAGAATTGAACTGGACGACGATGAGACACCAAGCAAAGAGAACATCGTTATTATAGGCCCAGTTTGCCAAGAAGTTCCTGCCATCTAGGGGTCTCCTCGTCGAATATGTAAGTCAAAGGAGAAACCAGAACACCACTGCCTCCAATCTGCAGAAACCCACATGGCCACATACTAAAATGAAGGAAGGAAACACTCAAGAGTACTGATCTCACATGGAATTGGATTATATTCTATAACTGACCGCTCTAAGTTGCTGTACAGACTTGTACAATGCCTTCTTTGGTACACAAATGACTATGGCATAATAATCGACCACAACTTCTCCATCACGTTTGCAGAAAACTGGACTTACAGTAGGTCCCTGTGCGAAGAGCAAAGAAAATAAAATCATTAGATCAAACTTCTGGCCAAACAAGTAAAACTATGTGAGAAGATTACAGGCATATTCATCTTAAGCTGAAGTTAGTTGCAGAGCTCCTGGCCAGTTATCAGATTCGAGCTGTACTTTGTGTGAAAGAAGTTTCTTCGGTAAACAAATAAATAAATAAATGGAGTGGCAGCAAATTTGCATTTTTGCAAGTCTTCCTTACCTGCAGCCCCGCCAAAGATGGCTGGCTTAGTACTCGCTGTGCTACTTCATCAGCACTATTTCCCCTCATGTTTGCAACCACCTAACATGGAAATAGTTGACCAATATATTGAGTATTTTGTTCTTCTCTCCTTCCTTTTAAGGTGTTCTGCAATAGGACCATAAATAACTGACAGTACCGTGAATTGACCAACAGCCCTCAAATGTGCCTCCAATCTTTCAATGATCTCATGTGTTGTGTCCAGCAAGCCTTTCCGGTGCACTAATGATTTCTTGCTTGCAACAAGAACAGCCTACAGTAACAATTAAATTTTGAGGTGAGATAATATGCAGAGCAACATAAAATAGGAGACGTGATTGGAAAGATCCTTCCCAGTCTTTAAAGTATCGCTTTACCTGACTCTCCAATACAATGCCATCTTTAATTTCTTTGAGGTTATTTTCCCTGAGAGTTGTTCCACTACTGACAAGGTCTAAAATTGCATCAGCTATACCCATCTAGTGTAACAAAGAAATCGAAAATCATCATTATCTGAAAACTAACAGTACAATCTGCAAATGAGTTATGGCACTCACTACTCCATTTATATTACATTGTACTTCTATATTCAAGAAAGGGAGAGAAGTTAATAGAAGCAGAAGTGAAGGGAAACGTTTCTCACCGCTGGTGCGGCTTCTAAGGCTCCATCAGCAGTTGAAAAAACCACATGTTTCAGTCCTTTTTCCCTCATAAATTTAGATCCTAGCTGTTATGAATTTAAACCCCAAGAGGCATAATATGAGGAACACCAAACAACAGATGAGTAAATGGTTCAGCATATACACACAGATACAACAAACCGCCATACAGCAACCTACATAAGTGAATCCAGTTGCAACTCGTAGAGGTTTGTCAGCTGTCCACTGAGGCATTCGGGCCAGCTCCTCCATGGAATTTATGTTTTCAAAGATGCCATATTTTGGTATCTGAGTAACAGTCAGCCAAGGTATGCATTTTAGAATGTCAAACTGGAAATGATGATATAATAATGACCTGGGTAAATGGAGGTGAATTTGAACTTTCATACCCGCCAAGAAGAAGAAACTTACAGCTATGGATAAATGGCAATCCCCAAAATCAAGAGAATCGTGAACAATGATTAGATCTTCACTTCCCTGCCCACAAGTTTCACATGTGTCATTGATCACTTTACAATGTAACTGAGTTTAGAAATACAACTCCTTAAGACCAAACAAAAACCACAGACAGAGAGAAGCCAAAATTATGCTACTTTCTTAAATCACAAATAAGGAACTGAATTATCCCATTGGAAGTACCAAATTCCTAGGAGCTGTAGCAACACAATAACCTTGTATCTCAACACAAGAAAAATATTAAAAGCCATGACTCAGCAAGTTAAGTATCTGTAATTCAACGATTCAGACAGATGAGCACATACTTTCATTCATATCCCTGCATGGAATGCATGCATAGTGAGCCATTACATTATAGACTCAATCCATGATTTTCGAAAATAAGATACTTAAATTGGGCATGGATAATAGAGATCAACATAAAACCAAATGCCGATCAGCATAACCAAATGTTACCTGGCCATATTCCCTGACTATATCAAGGCCCACAATTCCAAGGTCCAAATCTCCTGATAACAACTTTCTCACAATGTCTTTGGGTCGCTGGAACCAGACTTCCAAGTTGGACAGCTAGAGAACAGAATGACAGATATTCGTAAACAAAGTCAGTATTTTTATCAACTACATGAAACAAACAAAAGACATAGAAACCATTTTGGGAACTATTTAACATAAGGAATCGCCACAGCCTAATGTGTCATAAAGAGAGAAAAGAGACCTGAGGAATGTCCGCGACATATTGTCGAGGATTAACCTTTCTGACAGATAGTTGACAGTCCTTCACACAAAGAAAGAAGACAGAACTAATTATGGATAATGTTTTAGTACAAGAACGAAAAATTACAAAGTATATAGAGCTTAAAGTTACTAACATAATCCTTCATTTACTGTTCATTTTCCAATCAATTTCTCAGCAACCAAACGAGCAAGAAAAAAGAAACTAAACCTGTGCAATGAGGCACTAACCTTGAGGAGATCAAGCGTGTCATCGGCCATCCGTCCTTTGCTAGGCAAACCAAGCCGAAGCTCATTTCGGTCAGAGACTTTAGACCCAGCTCCGGTATCAACGGAGACTTGATCTTGCAATAGGCTGCAACTGACAAATCTCGTGGGAAAAGCGACCGAAAGAGGCAGCATTGCGCGGGAAGTAGAATGCATGCTACGACGCGAGGGGAAAAGAGAACAGGAAGAAGATGTGGAGGAAGGAGGAGCCCGAAGAGACATTATCATGACTGTGGCAATTCCTTGTTGGACGTTTCACTGTTAAACTGAACCCAATTCGATGAGAACCAAATCAAAATCCCACTTTCTACGAGAGTTGCTATGACTAGCAGTTGAGTAAATAAGATCTAGTGAGCACATGCAACTTCCTTCATGAAAGTTAAATCAAATGAGCTCTACCTATCATCATTGAATACAACAGAATCAAAGTGGAACTTATACTGTTCAAGCAAGGATGCTTCTCTAATGAATTAGACACCAAGAACTGCTACAATGGGACAAGGATGGCCAAAAAAAGAGTTTTAATGAGATAAAGTTTCAATCTTTCTCCATTTGCAGACAAACCAACAATTACCTCCCAATCATTCCTCATCATCAATCATCAATGTATACATTTCAGCAAATTTGGTGACTTACAGAGGCCCAGCGGCAAATGGGAAGAGGACGGAGGAGAAAACGGCGGCGTAGAAGAGGAGTGAAGAGTGCAGCGGCGAGTTTCGTTCGGCAGCTAGGGTATCCGGCGGGGTTAGGTGACGGCGCAGAGGAGAGAAGGAGGAGACGGCGTCGGCGAGTTTGTGTGCGGCAGCTCGTAAAGGTTTTTCAGTGAGGGAGGAAGGGGAGCGGATAGGATAGGGTGACAATACCATATTTGTTGTTAGTGTAACAACACTAGCCTCCAACTAATAGGAAGCTAGGGTTGTGATGATTTTTTATTAGGTGAGTTAACCTAGTGTAAAATTAAAGCAGGGGTATAATTGTCATTATGAAAATATATTAAATAAAAATATAAATTTTTATTTTTTGTCCAAAATTTTGGTCACCGGAATTCGGCCATCGATCGCCGAAATATGCTATTTTGTCATCGAAATATGCCACTGTCGCCGTAATATGCTCACCGTGGTCGGAATATGCTTACCGGCGTCGGAATCTAGTCATCGGGGTCGGAATATGCCTATCGGCGCCGGAATCCGGTGATTGACGGTCATCGGAGTTTGGTCAACGGTTTTCGTTGACCGGTCAACGATCACCGGATGTTATGGTCTGTATTGTGAGATTTATGGTTTGGTTTCTCATATTTTTGTATGCCTTTTGTGGTTTGCTTTATCATGTTTGTGGTTTGCATTGAGAAGTTTCTGGTTTGCTTTCAAAAATTTTGTGGGTTGCATTGAATGGTTTCTGGTTTGTTTTAATATATTTGTGGTCTGCATTAGGACGTTTCAGGTTTGCTTTTTTGTGGTTTGATTTACTGTGTTTGTTGTTTGCATTAGGAGGTTTCTGGTGTGTTTTCGCAAATGTTGTGGTTTGCTTTGTGAGGTTTGTGGTTTGTTTTAGGATATTTGTGGTATGCATTAGGAGGTTTCTAGTTTGCATTAAGAAGTTTCTGGTGTGCTTTCAAAATATTTGTGGTTTGTTTTGTGAGGTCTGTGGTTTGTTTTAGGGGATTTGTGGTATGCATTGGGAGGTTTCTGGTATGCTTTTTTGTGATTTGTTTTATCTGTTTCTGGTCTGCATTAAGAGGTTGTTGGTGTGTTTTAGAAATATTTGTTGTTTACTTTGTGGTATTTATGGTTTAAATCAAGAGATTTGTGGTAATTATTAGGAAAGTTACAAAATTACTTGGACTCACTAATTGCAATTACAAGTGAATTAAAATTAGTGTATCTGCTTGAGTTAATATTGTAGAAATTATTATGATGAAAAAGAACCACAATTATTGCCTTTTTAATTTCACTGACTCGTCAATTTCATTGATTCTGGGTTGTTAGATTGTGGGGGCAATAATTTTAATTCTTTCTCGGAGGAAGAGAAGAAGAAGAAGACGAAGGCAGGGGGAAGAGGACGATCATCTTCTTCCTTTTCCCGGGCTCCATCTCCACCCGATTGAGGCCACTTTCGCCGCCTTGCAGATGCGGGGCGCTCGGCTTCATATATGACCTCTGCGTCGACGTATGGAAGGACAAGGCGTGGTCGGAGGCGGTGGTCGCCGATCGGCTCGACGCCTTCGACGAACACGAAGGGGACGATCCGGATCTGGCACCGGAAGATACCGCGAGAGCAATGAAGCCTTTGCTCCAGGACCGACGAATCTTCTATGAGACGGTGTTCTTGCAATTCCCGCAACTTCTGTCGCTGCCGTTGCGAGATTTGTCGTGGAGCGCACACTTACAGTTGCAGTGGTTCGGCCGTCGCTTGATCCTGTAGTCAGCGCCCAACAACGAGCCTTCGAAGACCTAGTTCCTGAAGACCCGTCCGCCGCGGCCGATCCCGCAGCCAGTGACGCAGAGACAACGGGGAATCAGAAAACAACCTCCGCCTATTTTTTCTTGTTTGGATTGTCGTCGATGCCGGAGCTAAGGAGAAAGAAGAAATCATGGGATGGATGAGACGATGAGACGAAGAAGACGACTGAGATCTGGATGGAGGGACGGAGAAAAATTGATTTTCCATTTTAGTTAATTTTTATTGTGTTTTTGTTGTATTACCTTTTTGTCCTTGTTGTTATAGTAACAACAAATATGTTGTTGTTATTCTATCCGGGCCCGGGAGAAAGGAGTCTCGACTCTCGAATTAAGAGGGTAAATTTTGTTTGTTCGCAACTTCGCATAGGTGGGTGACGGGCGGCTGTAAGAATTTGGGTGAATTTTCAGGGTAAAAGGAAGGTGTAAAATTAGTTGATGTTGGGATCTGAATGGCATATCTTCTCGATAAATCTTGAAAGTGAAAGATTTTTATATGCGTATAGGGTAAAATTCAAACCGAATACTGCCTGTCTGTGATGGTGGGTATGGTTTTTCGAACAGGTTAGGTGTTGGTAACTAGTGATGGTAATGGGGTTGGAGTGGGTACCTCAATATTAATGTCCCGTCCCATGTTACTATGGGTCGGGCCAGAGTGAGTCGACCCACTTTGACATATTATTTGATAAAATATACGTAAAATTTCACTTTTTACGATAAAACGAAGGGGAAAACACTTTATGAATGAACAATAGTGAAAATAGAAAAGGTAATTGACTCTAACTAGTTGAAAGGTCAAACCTAATTAGTTAAACAAAGTCAATATATGAGAAATATGAATAGATACGGTAAGAAACTGAGATAGAATGGGCAAAAAAAAGGCGGGGCGGAAGTAGATACTCATGCCCCGCCCCACGCTACTGCGGTTCGGGTAATACCCGCCCATCGTGGGTCAAGTCGGGTAATACCTGGCGAGGCAGGTTCAAATTGCCATCCCTAGTCAACGCTCAAACCGAATAAGCGGAGGGGCACGTTTGTCATTATTAAAAATTATGAGAAATACAACTATTATGAAGCATACCACAAAATACAAACCACAAATACAATAAAACACACCATAAATACCTTAAAAACATACTAGAAAGATTATATAGCTAATCACAACCTCACCACACCACAATCATAAAACATACCAGAAAACTCAAATCAGATCACAAGTTCCCTGAAGCATATCAGAAATCTCATAAAGCATACCACAAACTCTATAAAAAACGTACCATAAGTTTCTTAGAGCATGCCACAAGTTTCTTGAAACAGATCAGAAACCTCATAAAGCAGACCACAAGTTTATTAAAGCATATCACAAGTTTCCTAAAGCAGACTATAAGTTATTAAAGCATATCACGAGTTTGCTTGAAAAGATCACAAATTCCCTAAAGCACACCAGAAAGCTCATAGAGCAGACCACTATTACACCACAAATTTCTTAAAGCATGCCACACGTTCCATGAAACTTACAAAAAATCTCATAAAACTAATTCATCATTATTCACAAACATCATAGAAACAAAAACTACTAGGGCGCAAGATTCGCTCTGCCTACTGCAAACAAGAGTCAAATAGGGTTGACTTTCGGGGTTTGACTATTAAACATATTTGAGACTTTCGGTGGAGGTTTGTTTGCAATAAATGTGAATTGTGATGATTAGAATTGTGACTTTGGTTGGTTTTGAATTCTGAGACTTTTTTCCTTAACCAAAGGCAAAAACTATATGATTATACTAATAGATGGTTATCGGTTAACCACTAACCGATTAGTCGGTCGGTAACCAATAAACAAAATACAGCTAACCAAAACCGAACCACAAAGAAATTATTGGTTATAAATTAATCACTAACCATTGTTATCGATTTAAAACCGACTAACCGTTTACCACTCCTAGATTTGAACCCTTGTGCACTCCTCTTCAAACAAGTGGACTCTTTAGCCAAATACTTGGAATAAATTGACATTTCAATATATCAAGAACCATAAAATTTGGTAGGTGGCTCGAATTTCGACCATCTATTTCTTTTCATATCGATTTGTTACCAAAAACATAAGTTATCGGGGCAAGTTACTGTGATAGATTGACAATTCAGTTTATGAATTAACTTGATCTATCAAATCCGTAAATTCATTGGATCCAATTCATAATTTCATTCAGATCCAATCCACGGAATCTGATCCAATTGCCACTTCTACCTTGATAAAATGGTTGGGCTCGATGGTGAATGGTCTCGGCCAACATTACCACCTTATGCATGGAACAATAGGCTGACTTGCCTTAAAATTTGTTACTGATCACTCTACGGCGATAAAAATGGTGGCAATAAAAGGGGAGGCGAGGCAACAAAATTTAGGATGTCGATGGAACTATTGATCCAACACTTTGCTGTGTGTGTGAGTTTGTTTTTAAAATAGTGAAGTTGGTGCCAAATCCAACCAAGTTTTAAATCGAAAGTAGCGAAGAGTGGTGGTGCAAATTAAAAGGCAATCAAAATGGCAGCTTGGAAACGCGTTGTTGGTAAGAAAAATAGAGAAATGATCGATCATTAGAGAGAGTTTCGTGTTTGCCACTCATCCACCTGTTTTGATACAAACTAAACTTCTCTCTTTTGTGTGTCTATATCGTATAACCAGCCGAGAAAAGGTAGAGGTGCTCGACGGTTTAACCAGAAAAAAATTTCTATCAGCAATTGATATTTAGCGATATAAAATTGTTTAACTACAATTTTAACATAAAATATTATATCATTAACTTTTCCGGTACAACATCTTATATCGTTTCACCATCCTTAATACAATATATATAATATGACAAAGGTGACCAGAAAAGGAATTAATAAGAGCAGAAACCCTTTAGCTAACAACCCAATGATTAGAAATGGACGAGAGCCACATACAATGTGTTCATTAAGGAAGCGACGGGCCGGCCGGCGGGGAAAGAAATATTCAATGAAAGAAGAAAAAGTGAAAGGAATATTTGTTACCAAATTAAAAATCCCTGCTTTCTGTCTACAATTACTTTAATCATATACATATCCTTGGCCCTTTGCGGTTCCACCCTAAAAAAAGCTATTTCAGATACATTTTTTCTGTGATCCCATATTCTCTTTTGGTTGTCTATCTAACAACTTTTATGGAATTCAGAAAATCTTGTGGCATGCTTTAAGAAACTTATGGTACGTTTAATTTGTCCAGTACATTAAATATTATATGCATCATCTTGGGGTTTAAGGTGTGTGATTTAGAGAATTAGAATATAAAAATTTGCTAATGGAGAGTTAGAATATAGCATAACTAGCAATACTTGTAGACACTTATACTAGCCAGATGTACGAACATTAACATCAAGATTGTCGAGCACAATCGTGACAACAAATGATTCCGAACATATCGCAATTCGTGAGAATTATCTATCTGGTACAAATTACAACAACACCGTTTATGATGCAATTTTGTTGCTACACACGGTTTACATTGTGCGCCGAAAGCTGTTAACCAATAATCAACAAGTTCAAAAAAGACAATAGTAATGGTTGCGCTTTGATTAAATTAGAAATGCAAATATACTTTACAATTACAAAGTGCGTGTCTCAAATTACGTGGGATCGGGTAATATTAAGACCCGACCCGACCCGACCCGACCCGACCCGAAAGAAGTGATCAGCTTGGTAATTGATTAGCACTAACCGCCGCGCGGTTCAATGAAAGACCAATACATCCTCTCTCTTTCTAGAATTTTCCTCTCTAAAAATCACTTTTTCTTTTTTCTTTTCTTCTCGATCTCTGTATGTATGCGGCCTCTTTCTGTTTCTCTCTAACATGACCTGCTAATCAAATCCACCAATTCAAATTGAACTGATCACCGTCGATTTACAGCTCCTCCGCGCCGCCGTCCCTGTACATGGATGACCGCGCCGGATCACGTCCGCCGGCGGAGTCATGGATTATTGATTTCTCTTTTCTTCTAAACGAATTTTGAAATTGGAAATTGCGGAAAAAAAACAGAGATTTATGCGTGTGTATGTATATTCAGCAGGCGTAGAAATCGGCGAGCTCGTCGACGGACTCCGGCAGGGGATCGGCGTTCTCGAGCATCCAGAGCAAATGCTCGAACATCACGACCTCGCACCCGACTCTTATGTCGTTGTCGTCGGAGCGCTCCGCCAGCTCGCGGAACAGAGGGTGATCCACAATGTCGGGGCTCAGGAGGTACCGCCGCCTCGATTTCCCGACGTAGACGGGCTGCAGGTCCCCGGCGCTGTCGACGGAGTAGGAGGAGGAGTAGGAGCTGGAGTTGGAGTCATCGGCGGTGGTGGCCGAGGCGGCGATGGAGCTACCGCCTCGGCTGAGCTTGGTGTTGAAGGAGTTGAGCTTCTTAAGGACCGACCTCAGCTTGTAGAGCTTGCTGCCGCTTCTGGCCATGGTTTCGGAGAGAGAAAGTGAGGGAAGATTAGGAGAGAGAGATGGATTGATTAGTGCGTTTGCTGTTGGAATTGGGAAAGGAAGGGTTGTGTTGTGTTGGCTGTGGGGAGGAAATGAAAGCGAAGCTTCGTTTATAAAGAAGGGAAAGGGGTCAAGACGGTCATTTCGCAGTCAATTTGCTTCTTGTTGTTGCTGCTCGGCTGTTTGCGGTGACGGGTGTGGGCCCGGGTTTGTGTATGGCGGCAAAAAAATTGTGGGGCGAATTACTGGCGCTTTATTATTTTTTTTTCTGGAGACCGTTTGCTGACGTGATAATAAAAGGAAAATTGATGAGCATAGGCCATAGGGTCTGTTTGTTACTCATTTATTATGAGTATTGAGTGCTGATCGAGCAATGACAGACAGGTCTCTCTCGAGCCGCAAACAACACGTTCTATTTAGGGTCGAAAATGAGCCGAGCTGCTCGCGAGCGGCTCGGCGTTCGACTCGAGAAAAGTTCGTTCGAAACTCGACTCGTTAATCAACGAGCCGAATACGAGCTCACATTTGTTCAGCTCGTGAAGCTCGCGAGCTAGCTCGACTCGGTGGCTTGTTGAGCTAAATTCGTGAGTTGGCTCGTTTAGTGCTCATGATATGTCTTGACATGTGGTTAGAGAGCCAACTCGATTACCAACTTATGGACGAATCAATCTATATCTTATGATTTTAATTAATATGGCTGTTAAATTATATATTTTACCATATATAAAGTTGAACACGTTGAGTTTGTGAACAAATATATCTTATTAACTAAATGATATATTATACCAACAAAGTATAATATGAGATTAGCTAACAAAATAAATCATATGTTTTATGATATACTATCAAATAAAAATTAAGATTTTAATAAACAAGCTAGCTCGAGCTAGACTCGACTCGGCTCGTTAGTAAATGGGCTGAGCTCGAGCTCGACTCGTTTATTAACGAGCCGGGCTCAAATTGGGGTAAAACTCGACTCGATTCGGCTCATTTGCAGCCCTAGTTCTATTGTGGGAATTCCAAACAAACACTCAACAGAAAGGCTTAATACCGCTACATTTCTTTTTAATTTTTTTTTCGTTGAAAGCTGCATTCATCATTCATTCAGTGTTGGTGATGTTAATCTGTACAGGTCCGAGTGGGAGGTCGATAAGGGCGACCAAATGTGATGAGGTTGTTTTCGGGTTGGGCCGTCGGTAATTTTGGGTTCGTGGAAGTTGGGTGTCTTTTTCCTTTTCACAGTAGTTTTTCTGTTGGGTTTGAGAAGGGGTAGTCGAGTAGGATAGGGATTTTGGGTAGTGAGGGATTACGATATTAGGTTTTCTAAGCTTATAAATATGTAAGTTTGATATTCGTTCCGTATCCAATTAATAAAGTTAAGGTTTATCGACACCAACGTCGTTCTCTCGCTTGTTGTGTTACAAGCAAAACCTTTGAACTGTGGGTAACCGTCTATCAATTTGGTATCAAAGTCTGGTTACGCATCCTAACCAGGATGGGTGTTCTCGACCTGGTCGCGCGCCACGCCCTAGCGCAAAGGGCCAGGGAGACTCACGAGAGGTGGAGGCAACTTGTGCGAAACTTGTAGTGACCTGCGATCAGCTCACGACATTATTTCGCGATTGGGAGCTTTACCATGACCGTGCAACCATCATCGAGGGAGGGCGAAGCGAAGATGACGTGGCCCGCGTGGACGCCAATGAAACCAAGGCGGCGGAGGAAATCAAGAACAAGAGCAAGAACTCATTCCCCCAAGGATGATTTCTTCTCTTAGATTTATGTTTGTCTCTCTATCACTATGAGTTAAACCCTTATTCACTTCGGTGTTGTAGAACTCTAGCTATGTATGTTAGATTAGATGATTGAATGATTCCTTTGCTTGTTTGATATTTTGATCATATATACAATTTTGGGTAGTTCATGTAATTGGTTTGGGTATTGAACAAACTATACCATTATTGCTATCAACCTATGGTAAAGAACATCCAATTAGGTTAATTAGAGCAATTTCCTGAATTCTTTATTGTGGGTCGATGGATAGAGCGTGAAATCAAACTATAATACCGTATTGGTGAAAAAATCCCAAGATACACATGTTTTTAAATAAAATTTCAAAATACACACGTTATGAAAATAATTCCCAATCTACGCATGTTTGGGCCTTCACCGCGTCAGAGGAGGGTGGTGATTGCTTCACTGTGTCAGACCAAGGCGGTGATTGCATCACCGCGTGAAAGAAGGGCGGTGATTGCATCACCGCTGTAGAGAAAGACGGTGATTGCATCACCGCTATAGACGAAGGCGGTGAATGCTTCACCGCATTACACGGCCGCGGTGAAGGCCTGACCTGCGTCAAAACTTTAAACAAACGTAACTTTGTGCTTGCGGCTTGCAAGATCTCGAAAATTATGCGGAATAAAAAAAATTACGTTGCGATCGGATAACCGAGCACAAAGTTATGTTTTTTTAAAGTTTTGACGCAGGTCAGGCCTTCACCGCCTTTCTCTAGAGCGGTGATGCAATCACCGCCTTCCTCTACAGCGGTGATGCAATCACCGCTTTGCTCTGAGGCGGTGAAGCAATCACCGCCTTGCTCTTACGCGGTGAAGGCCCAAACATGCGTAGATTGGGAATTATTTTCATAACGTGTGTATTTTGAGAATTTTTTTTAAAAACATGTGTAACTTGGGATTTTTTCCATCGTATTGGGCACGCCCTAGTCCTTCTATTTTGTCGGATGCGTAATCTCTCCCTCTGGATAGTCCGTTCCAATTGAGCTTGGATAACTTGAGAGGGAGTTCAAGCAGGCATAATATTCTTTGTTGTATAAGAAGGCAAGCTTTAAATACCATCATGCATAATAATACTCAATTATATAATGCATTAGTGGCTTATCTATAACATCACTCTATCCTTTCCACTAAGGCCATTCTCTACCCAATACCCATACATGCGTCTCTTGCTATAGAAATTTAACTAGCTAATGTGTGCTTCGCTTCATGCCATCAACTAATTAATAAAGAACAAGGAAGTAAGGATATCACATGATTAAGTGTGGGTATCTACGAGTAGGTCTGGAAGTTTGGTACCGGTATTTGGGATATACCGAATACCGTACCGAATTTATCTATATTTGGTATTACCGAATACACGGTATTATTTCTTGGGATTGAATTTCAATTGTAATTCGGTATTAGGGATTACGGGATTGGGATCGATATATACCGAAATACCAATCAATACCGAAATATAAGCTAATGTGTATTTTATCCTGTCAACTAGACTCTCTCATTCACTACTACACAACCCTCAACCACCAAGAGTGTCATTTAATTATACATAGATCATTTCATCATTGTTTCACAACTCAAAAGTCCACATTCAACTTAATTTTGACTTTCCAATTTAAGTCACTCTCATCTATCCTAATAACTTGTTATTTTCATAACACCAAAAAGCAAACACTTGTATTAGTCGACTATCAGCCTTCAACTCATCAAATTAAAGATTACCAATGATAACAACTTGAGATATCACATCTCCTTCATTCTCCTTATCCATATCCTAGCTCTAGGAAAACTCAAAACTCTTTTCTTAGTCTTTTTGCCCTAAATTAAACAATCAAATATAATTCGTATATTTAATTTTTTATTTCAAATATAATTAATTTCGTATTCGATAATACCGATGGGGATACCGAAGTATCGATTGGGATACCGGAATATTTAGGGATTGGGATACCGAAATTATTTAGGGATTGGGATTGGGATTGACTTTCGGGTATAATTTGGTATTTGGGATTTCGGTATTCGGGATTGGGATACCGATACCGTACCGATTTCCACCCCTTTCTACGAGCCATAACAGATGTCTATAGCATTGACGATGATAACAATCAAGCATTAATACTACTCGAGGTTTTGATGGTTGATCATTCGCTATATACCTTGTAGCATCAATAGGGTATCTCTCGAGAGTAATTTCTATCAATCAAGAAGATACTAAGCAGTAAGCACAATTAATACAGTAACACACTATAGAATAATAAGCATCAATGATAAAGAAGCATTCATACTAGATAAACAACAATGATCATCATATAAGCATCAAAAAGCAAACATCCACATATACACAATGAGCATCAAAATCCACAAGCATTATATGAAATCATAACATCCATACATACAATGCTAAATGAGCTCACATCCTTATGCAATCAATTTTGAATTAGCTACATAGAAGAGAATAAGGGTACCACCATTGATGATGACAACATCTCCTTAGCTGCAGAATCTCCTACGAAAGCTAAGCTCTTACTCGAGTAGAGTACAAAAGTTTTAGTGTAGTTGTGCAACCTTGCTTAAACTAATGAGTCATGCCCTCTATTTATAGGGGGAAACTCGGCTAAAACTCTCATAAACTGGTTAGGAAAGGGTTTCTTACTCCTTGCAGACTATAACTTCTTGAAGAAGGCTTCTAGAAGCTTGGGCTTGATCGGCGATAGGGCAACAGTTGGGACCGTCGTCCATTTTCCTTGTGGGTTGAGCTCCTTGGCTTCTCATCATTTGGACGCATCTTGACCAGGTCTCCTCTAGCGATGATTGGATCCGATGCTGGGCCGCCGCTGGTTTCTTTTTCAGCTTAGGCCGAGACTCTCTATTGGGCTTGTCTTGCGCTCACATAGCGACTTTTATGTCATTAGACCTCGTCTTTATAATGAAATCTCCATATTATTCTCTTTGTAGCTCGCCCGAGTGCTAGACTTCCATCAAGAACTTTTACAAAGCTTTCTCAAGCTAAGATTGATTGAAGACATCGAGATGGACAGTGTTTCGGGTGCAATGAGAAGTCTACCTTTTGGCATAAATGTGCCAATTTGGATGTTGTTCTAGTGCTGAGACAACTGGAGGATGAAATGGAGGAGAGGTTAACTAAGAAGACGAAGGGCAATCACGATGATTAATGCCACAACCTTGAGGACAAGATTGCTTAGGAGGGTGGTTTGATGAAGACATAAATATTTAATTTATGCTTTTGGATATTCAGTTTGGATTTATCTATTTTATATTTGATAGGGTATGAAGCCAAGACTTAATACTTAGAGAAGGTCCTCAAGAAGAGTAAAAAAGAAGCCAAGGTATAAGGGCAAATCCTAGGTGTTGGCATCAACAAAGCAAGAGAGCAAGTATTCTAAGAAGAAGACATGGTCAAGAGACTAGCCCACACACCTGACATCAACAAAGGAGGGTCAGGGGGAGCACTCCCTGCACCACCAGACATGATCGCACACAAGAGTGCAAAGTACGGTGACCGAGGGTCGTAGGCGTCTGATCATGACATTTATGACTTGGCAGTAGTCTGGACCACATACCTAATATATGAACAAATAGGAGTTCTTTCCTCATAAATGGCAAGCTATTTACACTCGCTACTAATTCTCTCTACTTTCTCTCTCTATCCTCCTCTCTTCTCCTATTCTTCAAGAGGTGGGGCGCCTGCTCCCTTGAGGTTATGCTTGACCCCCCAAACCCTTTGGACCCGAGCGATCCTTTATTATTTGGGCTCAAACAATATTTTTTATGATGTTTTGGGTATTTTGTGAAATGTTACAAAATCCATTTTAGGAAAATGAAGTTTCCGCCGTTCGTTGTTACAAAACTACATATAAATTGGGAGGGAGGAAAGGTAATTTAATTTAATTTAATTAAAGAAAAGAATGGGCAGTGTTGTCGCTCTCGAGGGTCTAATATTTATTGGAGTTACCAACTGGATGGATCAAGAAGGTTGTTGTTGTTGTTGCTTCTGGAAAGGGAATATAATGCGCCAATACAATACTACTCCTTGCAAAACTAAACGCCCCAACCCTAATTTCCAAACCGATTTTATTTATATACGCCGCTGCTGCTGTTGCTTCGAATATTTTTATCTTGTTTCTCTTCAGAATTTTTTTATTAATTTGGTTATGGTATAATTCAGAAAAAAAAATGGTCATCGAAAGCGACAGACATGTGAGACACTATCGTTCTTCAAATGCTCTATACAAACAACAACTGCCCACTCTGCGCCGTATGTAATTAGTTTAATTCCTCAATTTTTTAAATGCCCATACAAATATACAATTAATGCAGCAATGTTGACGGTCCTAAAAGAAATATTGTTCTCCTCGATCAAATATCATAATGTTTAATATAATAATCAATTCATCCCCCTTCTATCCATCGTCCACATATATATGTTATTAAAGCACCGAATATCCAAATTAATTTATGGACATAAAAAGAAGGGAGAAGACGATGGAAATGTGTTTCACAAATTGCCATACCATTATAGGAGTTAGTATCATACTAATTATGCGTTTTAGTAGTTTGTGTCAGAGTTGTAATCTTGCAAGGCTATAACTACAAAAGAAATAACGACTACAACCGTAAAAAAAACTATGAATTCCCGGAGTATTTAGTATACTCTTAAAATTTGAAGAAAAAATTAACTAACCCCATAGCAGTTTGAGTATGGAAAAAAAAGGTACTAGTATAAGTGATTCAAGCATGTGATATCGTAGTTATTAGTGAACATTTTTTCTATGAGACTATATAATTCATTTGTTGTCGTAATTTTAACATAAACATAATTATAAAAGACTACCCCTTATTCGCAAATTTTCGAAACATAAAAATAAAACTCACTCCACTCATGGGCTACCTCTTATCCCCACCATATTCTAACATGCAAACCAACAACTTTGAGTATTCGACCCCCATCCTCTGAAAATCTAGTCATCCAGTCCTCCGAGAATCTGACGACGGCTGGCCTCGAACGATCTGAGGTGATGATTGAATCAAATAGGCGATTAGTTCGTGAATGATTGTCTAGTCGGATATATTGAAAGAAATTTATTGAATACTGAAACATAATGAGTATATTTTACATTTTATCACAATTAAAAGTATGATGTGGGCTTTATGTTGACTTGTACTATTAAGATACTTTCTTATTCATAAACTTTTAAACTTTTAATTTAATTTTTGTTAAGTGATGCTCCTATATAAAATTTCTGAGTCGACTACTGACCCCGTTACTTAGAACCGTCCTGGTACTATACTACATAGTTATATGCACGTAACCACCAACAACTTTTTGTCTTCAATTGCGTTCTAGAAAACAATTCCCCCCAATTAGTTTTGGCATTCGACGATCAATTTGTTCTCATTTGAGTGTGAAATGTAATAGTTTATTGATGAATCCGCCTAATTGTGCTTGCAGCTGGTAATTAATGATTCTTTTAGTTAATTGCTAGCTAGCTAATTAGTCTTATTGTTTGATGTTATACTTAAGCACTTAACTTAATTGTTCCAACTCACCGCTTTTCATGGGGAATAATGTTGTTGATTTCTATTGTCGCGTCTACCAACCTTCCAATTAACATATAAAGTATTAGGTAGGTAGCTAGTAAAGAGTTGAATGGAATTATCTAATTGATAGTCAAACTAATTAAGAGTAGCTAAGGAGGAAGTCGTAGTATTTGGTCTTGTTTGAGCTACACCAGAGTTCTGGTTGGTGGGGACTTTGAATGGACAATGCATTTAACCACATCAGTTTTGGGGAACCATGAAGGAACTACAACTAGTTTATGTTTAGCTCATTACAAAATGAGTCGAGTTGGACTTTACTTAATATTGGCTCGAACTTGGCCTTTTAAAGAGCTCTAACTACTCAAACGCGATTCGATCTTATTCATTTGTTATTCTAAACGGTTGAACGACCTCTAACATAGACTCTAAAATTATTTATAATTTAAATACTCTAATAATTATATATCATATGTGATACATGAGAGTAATACAGCGTTGGAAAAAGAATGATAGTAATTTTTCATGACTAATTGATTCAACACTTATATCATCTGTTGGTATTATATTATTATATATAAACGTGAAGTGAGGTTACTGTTGCCAAAATTACTACATTTTGATAGCTCAAATTTAATTAAATTACAACTTAGTCATTATAATGTATATTCTACATTTTGATACCCCAAATTTAATTTTAAAGTAAAATCATTGAACAATTATGTTTTAGTATCTAAACTTTATGAGATTTTCATACCTACAATTTTTAAAATTTACATATTGGTCCAATGTTTACATTTCACTTGAATCCATAAATCCAATCCACCGTAACATAAAATTATAAATTTAGTTTGTACCATACAAGATGTTGTATCACTCAACTGTAGAAGAAGATTCGACCATTTTGGTCTTTGATGAGATTTTTACTTCAAATAAACATGTATGATATCCATTTGAAATAATAACGATCATTTTTAAAAGAGCATTCTATTTGGTGATGTGACAACATATTTAGTAAAATATAATACGAGTACATTAAGATATTGATCTGTACGAAGTTTTTGTATGACATTTTAATAGAACAATGTTTAAAAAAATTAACAGTAATAAAAATCATAACACTTTATGTATTTCTTTCATTGCCTTCTTCGTCTAACCATAATTAGTAATTGAACCATGAACCATTAACGTTTTCACCTCAATGTCGAGTCCAATTAAAAATAAAGATATATGACTATTACTTATTAGAAAGTCATCATTGTCCAATATGGGATTTGAAGGCTTGAAATTTTTAGCGAGTTCCCGTTGTATTCATTTTGCTTCTCTATAGAGTTTTTCTTTTTCACCGGGCTAGATTTTCAACAATTATATGTTTGACTAGGTACCTACACATATCAAATAAATAGTTTTCATTTTTCTAAAAAAAGTAAATAATTATCATCTTAAATACATCACCATAAAAGGAATTAAGCCTCAACTATGCAAATTATAGTTCGGTACATAAACTTAATAGATCTTAGATTTATAGCTTAAATTTATTTTTTTAGCATACAAGTCCTCAAAAATCAAAATATTGATGGAAAAATACATTTTAGTACCTAATTTTTTTACTACATTTTGGTACCTAAAATTGTGAAGTTCTACAAATAGTTCTAATTTTTGTATGTGTAATTAAAACACCTTCGAATAAATGGGTATCCACACCCAACTCATACACATTTAGATTATGGAAGTAAATATCCATACCCTACCCAATCCCATCTACAACTTCCAAACTCATATATAAGTCGCCCATACCCTACCCATAATCAACGGGTCTACTTGGGTTTAGGTAAATATAGTTTATTAGCCCAAAATTTTAAAATATTTGAAATTGGATGTTGATTGTCATATTCTTATTCAATATCATATTGTCAAGTCAATATTATTAACAAAACTGCTAACAAAAAATTAATTTTAGGATAATAATACTAACAAAACACCATAATGGGTCACATAATACATGCCGATAGGCCATCTCCTCCCGCGACAAGGCGCAACATCGCCACCTAGTTACTTTTTATTAATGTTAACTAGTTAATATTATGTTCTTCAACAATAACTAGTATATAAGCCATCCATAATATATAATTTCCCTTTCAAATTATAGGTGAAACATATCTGGTCGTCTTAAACCACCTTATGTTTTGAAATATATTATCTAACAAACCTATGAACTATTAAGAAGCCAACTCATAAGCTATAGATTGATAGCACATTCTGGTGCTCGATGCACATATACGGACTCTCCAGGTTAGCCAGACGGGCCAAATAATGATCGATGGAAGGACCTACCTGGTCGTCGTGGTGCATGATAATGAGGTAGCGGCGGAACCCACTCCTTCTCGTTAGATGCACGAGAAACACCATTTCAAACACAAGATTTCTCGTAATTAAAATACTTTTTCGTGTAGTGGGTGGTTGTTATTGATTCGCTAAAAGACAACACCAAACTACGACTATGTGTAATCGCAGTATGAAAGTGTAGTATAGTGGGTTCATTTTTACTTGTCAACCCATGTCCTAGATTTACTGTTTACTCCATAAATATTTGTTATCTAATGATTCGGTTTGAGTGAAGTTTATCAAAAGCAAAAGCAAACAAAAGGCAAGTAACGGTTGTATTCAGATTAAGAAGGCTCACTCAGGTATGAGTCTCCCTAGATCGCAGTTCCCAAGTTGTAATTCACCTAAGTCAATTTGATTGATGTTAAACTGCGTAAATTTCTAAAACAGTCTAGAGTCTAGACTAAAGTGCTCCAGAGCCTCTCAATTTGAATACCCAGCGAGCAACTGGTATCAGCTAATTGAGGCAATAAGATTTAAACTTCCTCTACTAGGTTGTACACCAGTAAAAAGCAGTGAATCGACTTCTCGACTAAAGTCGCCGATTCACCACCTCCAATTCAAGATGCTCTATTGACCTATGCAGAGATTATCGTTCTAGGTCAAAGCAGGAATCGCTAGAATTTGTTCAAGACTCAAGCAATTCTGAATCAATACTTCAATTGGATATAAATCATCAATCATTCATGGCAAAGGGTTCATACAACTCTTTCTAACATACAATATAGGGTTCTTATATAACCAAGTGATAGAGGGGATTAATCCATAGACAAAGAGAGAGTGGAAAGTTATGTCGGATGTGGAAATCATCGTGTAGACGGAAGAAATATGCTATGGGTCGTCAATCGTCACTCCTCGAGGCTTGAATCGAGCTCCAATGATGGGAAGACTTGATCTAGGTTCACTTTTTGTCACTTTCTCTCTCTAAATCTCTGTTTTAAACTCCCATAATCGAATGACAACCAAATTTCCGTGTTCGGCTTGTAATCGCCCGAGTTGGGCATACCCGGTCTAAATATTCGGTCGGGTCCTTCCAGAGAAACCAGAGTAACGTGCACCAACCTTCAAACTTCACGTCACTCAGCCACCTCCTTCGTCGCATTCACGTCATTAACACCATTAACATGACCTTCGATGTTGTGAAGATTCTAAATATAATATATTTTTAAAAAATTATTATGCATCTCAACATATTGTAAATTATCTAAATATCCGACTACATCTATCACAAAGCTGAAAGATTTGACTATACCAAATCTAAATACTTAACTACATTATCACAAAGGTGAAAGATTTGACCATAGAGACACATTTTACCGACAAAAATTAACCCTAAATATTTCCATCTTATAGGGGAGGGAATAGGCATACTTGTATACCATATATATGTTTATTTGCTCAACATCATCAATTATATATAGTCAATAAAACACAATGGAATTAGCAATCAACTGCACAAAAAGACATGGAAACCAATCAGCTAATGAGATCATATTGATTCCCTTCTTTGTTATTTGGCACTAACAAAGAGGGAAATGAACCATAATTGTGCAATCTGCCTCGCGATCTCATAATAAATCATCTTAGTGCAGCAGTACTATGAAACAAACATAAGAAAACAAACTAAATAGGAGACCACATGTCGGCCCTGACTACCTTCAGTGAACACATGGGAATATAGCTGAGATAATTATGCAGATGATCAACGCCTCTCGTCTCTGCAATCACAAAACCTTTAATTAGGATTTCTTTCGAGTAATGCCGGTAAGGGGAAGACAAATGCACATTTAAGCAGGATCACTTTCGTGTCTTCATTAGGACAAACAAATTCAGATGCAGTAACCCAAGGAAATATTGTTGGGATAACAGATGCACAGTATACTGATGAATGAAACGCACGATGACGAATACTCCCAACCATAATTCGCGCAGCTTGTGTCACAATCGATGAACAGAAAGAGCAGTCTTTTTTGTCGTTTGGAGGACACTAGCTAGAAACACAATCCTCCCATGTGCATGCAGGATATTGGTGCCCGATCCCTACCAGCTATTGCAGTTTGTAAGACCTCGTTCTGTATGATGCTATAATAGTTGGAGTTTAATTCGATTAGTGGTTTATGATACAGTGTCAGAGTTGGTTGAACTATATATGAGGTCTTATGTTTAGGTTTTTTTATGACCCTAATATTAACAGTTAATTCAAATACAATGAAATGGTGAGTCTGTTTAAACTTTAAATACGTGAATTGACTTTCGTTTGACGGAGCATGTAAATAAATGGTATATGATCTATACATGAATGATGAATCTCTTTTCAACAAGTTGAGTTGTGATATTATATGTGTATGTATGTGTTGAATTAAATACAAAAATGCTAAAAATATTAGCATAATCTACTTCCTTCAAAGCCTAAACTCAATCATAAAAAGTTATCACAATCTTGATGGTTAATTTGAGATGGCAAAAAGGACCCAATATTTGGGTATTGTCCAAATCCCTCAACCTAAATTTTTTATGAGTCAAATCAAGTTTGGTTAATTTTACTTTTGGACCACACACATACAAAAAAATTAAATTTCGGTCTAAATTGGACCCATAGGTTTGGAAGTAAAAAAAATGGGTACCCGATTATAAAGTAATTGTTTCTTATTTTTTTTGTTATGAAACAAATAAAAAGGTGAAAACATTCATATTAAAGTTTATAATTGGGTTAGAGATAGTTAATTTTAATAGTTGATATTGTTTTAGTGTATGTAATCATCTAGATCTAATTAGATCTATTTGGGTCAAACTCAAACGAATTGACCCAAATATGACTCAATTCATATCGAACCCAAAACCTTTAAAAGAACATATAAATCCATTTGAATCCAGCCCAATACTCATATAGATAATGTCAATTGGATCAAATTACCCAATAAATCAATCCATTGGTCATGTCTATGGTTAATCCCTCCACACTCTAATTCCTCACTTCACTACCATTACTTCTGGATTCATCACTGCATGCTTTCGGTTGTTTGAATTTGTAACTTCCGTTTGAGCCCATATCTTTTGACGTGCATGTTCTTACAAGTTGTTGGCCCTAAGGCCCACCATGACAACAAAGGGACAAACAACATAAGAAAAGGACAATAGACTCTGGAACATTTGATTGTGAATTGGGGTTTGTTATATTTGGTCAAAAACTATTCAGGTCCAGGCAGGGGCATGTGCCTAGATCAAATCCGGTCTTGATATCTTTGTCGACAATGAAGAAACTGTGTTGTTATCGGGGTGGTTTCAACATTTGGCAAATTAATTGCATGTGCTTTAGCTTAGGGGGCATGTCCTTATTCAAAATTAGCATCACTAATTAATAGCATAATTGAGGCTGAATTAGTGTTTGAATTTGGACCCAGAACAAGAAAAGAAGTCTTAATATTTGGTTGATACTTTTAATCACTTAGATAGAAACTAATACAACAAATAATGGTATGATAATTGATAGCATATTCGATGAACAGGTATGAGAATTCTTTTTCATATTTTGGTCTAAGGTATGATTGTATCTCTTGAAGATTTCGGTAAAGAGGTAGTATACAATACAGGATCTCAGAAGATTTATATATAGCTGCCCTAGCTATCATAGCTAACAATAATGATTAGTAATATTCGTCATTTGAGTTTATTAAGTTATTGTTTCAATAAAAAATTTTATTATTATACCAAATTGACTATTTACGAGGAGATACTACGTTTTTAAATAAGTCAATATGTGTCTAGGTAGAGTTTTCCTCCCATTCACATAATTCTCGAATCATTTACTTACTACAATATGGAGAGTTCAATTCCTTTTCAAATCCGCATTAATTTAAATCAGACTATGCAAGATTCTGCTACAATCTAATTAGATGAAGTCTTGTGAAATATATTGATAACTGTTTATCCTAAAAATAAATTTCTACCACATCGAATAATTCTAATAGATTTAATGAATTATAAGGTCGGTTCAACATTAAACATAAACATTAAATGAGCTAGTTGGACCTTATTGAGTTGGGTATTTTGGTCTAAGTGGCCAAAGCTCACTCTCCCTGATCTTGGTGCCAAGTCAAGTACCAATTAGAGACTCATATAGAAACTAAGTGTGCAAGATGAGCTTGGTAGCCAATCAAGAAGGGTACCAATTGGCTACCAAACTGGCAAGACATGCTTGATATATATCAAGTTATCAAACCTCCCTAAACCTAAGTATAGAGATCAAATGTGCCAACCCGACGAGGAGGTGACAAGGTAGGGATGGCAATTACCCACCCATGGGTAATTATACCCAAACCCAAGTAGACCCATTGATAATGGGTTGGGTATGGGTGAAGTGCATATGGGTTTGGGGGGTTTGTAGATGGGTTTGGGTAAGGTATGAATATTGCTTCCATAATCTAAATGGGTATGGGTTGGATATGGATATCCATTTACTTGAGGGTGTTTTAACTACACATGCAAAAATTGGACCTATTTGTAAAACTTGAAAATTTTAGGTACCAAAATGTAAGACCAAAAAAATTTAGGTACCAAAATGTAATTTTCCATCGATATTTTGAGGACTTATATGCAAAAAAATAAATTTAGGTACTAAATATGCATATCTATTAAGTTTAGGTACCAAATTGTAATTTGTATTTGGGCATGGGTACAAACCCAAATCCATTTGTTATAAACCCAACCCAAAGTAAATGGGTATGGGTACAAACCCATCAAACTCTACCCATATCCATCTATTTGGATTTCATACCCAACCCAATTGGGTTGGATAGTAAAAAACCCATGGGTATGGGCAAAATTGCCATCCCTATGACAAGGTGACCATCTGAGGCACCCGACCGGGTACCAAGTCATCACGGGAAATCCCTACATTCTCAAGACTAAGTATGGATCTCGAGCGTGGCTACTTGTCAGCCAAGGTATTGAGATGACAGGGTATGAACTTGATGAGGAACTGGTGTCTAGCCCCCTTAGGGGGCCATATGGTCTTGGTGAATCCCTAAAAGGGTACCAATCCGGCAGGCGGGCAAGATACCAACTTGATGAGATTCTAAAAACTAAATATGAAGACCAAGCCAGCAGGGTTGGCTTGATAGTAGGGGCTGACATGATTGGCTTGGTAGCCAGAGGTATCAAGACGGAGAGATGACAAGGTGTCAAGTTGATTACATGGGCTTGGTGGCAAGCTAGAAGGTATCAACCGATCAGACCAACTTGGTAGCAACTAGTAAGTCGGCGAGGAGGACTTGGTGGCAAGCCAGCTAAGTGACAAGCTGACAAGATGAAACCTAGCCCTCAAAGATCGAGTATGGAGTCTTGGTGGATAAATGGGCTAGGTTCTCATCCCATCAAGACATGATCATGGAAAGGTGACAAGATGGAAGGTGGTTCCAACTACCAATATGAGAGCAACATGGAGACTCTAAGTATGAAGTCTCTAGGGCTGTCAATGAGTCTTAATGGTAAGAAGCAACGTTATGGAGGCAATTTATGAATACCAATTTTTATAGATGATTTCAATAGGGTAATTAACTAGATGTATCATTCATAATTACTTAGTTTAATATGAAATAACGCAGTACAAGGCAAATCATGAAGGTCGGGCTGGAGTTTTCATGGACGTGTTTGATGGGGTTATGTGCATTAGCAAGGTAGGTACCACAAGATATGTTTAAATTTTTTGTTGAGTGAATAAGATTGTCCTTCAACTAAATTTAGAGTATCTTGGTTGATAAATAATTTTTTCATTGCATATAGTATGGATGGAAAATGTTATTTTCTTACTAATTTTGTTATTGTATTGTGCAGAATACTTCAAGATTTAGATATTGCTATATATGTATTGTTTCTCAAGCATAAGAAATAAATATTGACTAAACGTTATCATCATGAGTTTCCTATTTATGCAATCATTTTTCAGACAAACTTTTTATTTGTTATGTCAATTTTCTTTTCAACCATAGGCAACTAAGTGACTACATAATTAAATAGACAAGTTATGAATGCTTATTCACAAGTGTTATAACCAAGGTTGTGACACCTCTACTGGGTGACTGGTTGGACTAGGTCCGACCAAAGTCGTGCTGCAAAACGGAATCTACAAAATCAAGGGTCTAATCGTTAGTGAGGGAGAAGAAGATAAAGGCAAGGTGGAGGGGGTGAGAGGCAAGGGGATGGTGGGTGGATCTTGGGATAGGTATGTTTTTAATAAAATTTGACTATTTGAGTTTTTAATATATATATAAAAGTTAGTACATTCTATTTACTCACTAAATTTCTATCTTATATGTAAATATATTTAGAAAAGGTGTAAAACGGCTCATACAGGTTGGACATCAATCAAATCATTAAACTTCAAATCACATGCTTGACCGGCTCAATGAGTGAAACCGGTTTCAAAACGGCCCAACCCTAGTCGAGTTTCAAAACGGTCTTCAGAAAGCCCCCGGTCTAATCCCTAAAGAGTGAGAAGAAGAGCGGGGAAAGAGAGGAAGAGGAACGAAAAAAGTGAGATGGTGGGTGGGTCATGAGGTTAGGTAGATTTATTTTGTGAAAAATAAGTTTTTAATATATATATGTAAGATAAATTTTATTTCAGTCATTAAAGTTTTAATTACTACCTTATTTATATATTTATTTAGAAAACGTCTAAAACAGCTCAAATCGGTCGGACTCCGATCAGACCATTCAATCTCAAACCCCTTACTTAACCGGCTCAATAACTTAAATAGGTTTGACAACTTTTGCTACAAATACAATCCATTCCAAACAAGCCCAACCACTTTTATTTTCACTCGTGGGTGGATTCATCTCAAAGTAAGCCCATTTACAAGTTCTTTATTCCACATGTTACTCTTCATCAAATATACGGGTTTACAAAATCTTCCGCAATTTCGGAACTCAACTTTGCTCTACAGATTGAATCTTTATCACTACTAGCTTATAACCCGGCCCGTTGGCCGAAATGTTTATATTTGATTTTTTATACTTTTTATGTTACGTTAAAGTCTATCAACTCGTTTAATTTTATTGACAATCTTTCAATTGAGATGAAACATAAAAAAAGAATATATAGGTCGAACATTCAGAGAAATATCATCATCATTTGAGAAAATAAAATATAAAAATGTATAAAACATCTCATTTTCATAATCTATCTATCTATCTATCTATCTATACATAATATTATGGCAATTCAAAATTAAATTTTTGCCACATAAGCACTTGGAGAGATCTCAAGTTGCCAAGGTGGACAATTTTTTTACAAAAAAAAATAGTTATTGACCTATTTATGGAGTTGTCCCTCTCTATTCATTTAATATTTAATTCTCTTTTATCCAATAATTATTTTGTTTTTGTTTTTGCATTATATCTATAAATAACATATGGAGAGAAAGGTTATCAAACTGGTTTAGCAAGTGTAATGGTTTTACCAGTGGTACAACCGGTTTGTGTCGTTTCATGCCAGTTAATAAAATATGTAGAAATATAAAAAATTATTGATATCAAATGAATTTAATCATATATAAACCATATTTGAAGATAATTTACGTACAATTATTATTGATATTTGAATAAAATATGATATTTCAAATAAAATTACATGTACTCATACTTGAATTCACTAAAACTATGTATTTTCCTTAGAAATTCGTAAAAAGATCATACCGGTCATACCGATGGTGTCATGTCGATTTCATGACCGGTACCGGTTGAATGGTTCAACCGGTGGCATGCCGATCGACGTGACAATCTTGATGGAGAGTGACATATATCACATTTTGGTTTTGCATTCTATCGATGTATGCAACAGTATACTAATGTTCGTAGAGTGACATAAATATCACACTTTTTAAACCAAAAAATATATGATTAAAGATTACTATGTAAATTCTGCTCATTTTTACTAAAACTTAATAATAATTTACATTTTAATGAATAATTTGAACAAACACACAAAAATAATAATATTTTGTCGATAATGTCTGAAAGAAACTTGACTAAGAAATAATAGTTATTTATTAAAAAAGCTTCTTATTCATTCTGATCAAGTGAAAATATATGAATCGCATGTGCAGTATTTATAATGTATCCTAAGTTCACATTACTAATATTTTCTCTAAGTCATGTTGATTGAGCAAATTCTATTTAGGTCTTACATCATATGCTAAGAAATTTTCTTTTCAGACTTGGAGTTATTTATTGTTAAAGATTATAAATTGAAGTTTCCAAAATGACTTAGAGTATAATAGTTGATGAACTTTGACTGAGACACGAGATCACTTGAAAAATGAAATGTGTGAAATTTAGAAAAATCTTTGTTAAGGATGTACGTTAAACATCACATTTAATGCTAAGAAAGATCTAAATTCGAAGATTAAGGTAATAAATAAACATTAATGTTTTACTTCACATATATAACAAAAAACATTTATAGTTACAATAGTGTAAACTGAGCTATTGGGTCAAAAGAAGAATACTTAATAAATATGAGTTTAGTAAGAAAATTGTAACAAGTCTATATAGTTGTGAGTTTGTGATTTCATACCAAATTTTGGCAATAACAAAAAAATTGATATCATATTCCACCCAAGGAGCTTAGTTCAAATGTATTAATTAGTGTTGAAAGTAAAATAAAATCTATATATATATATATATATATGTTTAGATATTAACAATAGATGTGTCTACAATACATCCAATCATTTAAATACATATGAAAAGCCACAATGTTTGTATGAAGTTTTAAATTTTGCTACAAAATATTTTGTTAAAAAATTATAAGTTAATTATTCAAGGAATACATAATTTTGAATGCACCTGAAATATTTGTCTGTCGTATACACACTTTACCAATTATTAATATAAGTAATGAAATTTTTGTTCTAGAACAAACATCAAATATAAAGAAATTTTAGCGAATGGACATTCAAATAGTTGAAAATTTATACATTGAAGGAACATGTTAAGATGAGAACCTCGATAGTGTATATGAATCCTTGGATTCAGATTCTAAACGAACATCTAGACAAAAGGCATGGTTGAGGGATAGTACAAACTTAAAATATTAGCAATTATAATAAGTTGCTATATAAAGACTTCATGAACATCAACAATAAAAATGAGTGAGGTTTAGAGAATTTAATCATTATAAGGGATACGATGTGTGTCAAATTTCAATTGGATAAACATAATTTATCCATTAATCAAGTATCTTTTTCCAATAATTTGAACTCTGATTAATTGGCTGAGAGTTCGTACAAACTCAAGAATCATGAATTGATATATGTTGTATAAGATAATAAATTTGAGCGTCTTGATGGAAAAAAAAATTATATACAATCCTAAATGGGACGTGATAAACCTTTACGACATGATTTATGATCAGAGAAAGTTCAAACATGTAGATAAGTTAACTAATATAAATAATAAAATGAACTTTTCCGGCCAACTGGCCGGGTAAAAATCTAGTATAATTCAAATTTCAACCCCGACCCCAAACGTCAAAATATAATTATACCATCCTCCCTATCAATATTCCCAACAATGGCACGACCAACTCCCTCCACGGCTTTCTTCTTATGCACAGCCGCCGCCCTCCTCATTCTCTCAACCGTCGCCGACGCTCGCTACGATCTCCCCGATTTCCAGGATATCCCGGTGAAAAAACCCACCACAACGACCGATGATCCCATCCTCCTCCTCCCGAGCGAGAAGCCCGCCGTCGGGCACGCGGAAGATCTGCAGGACGCAGCTGAGCCGGCGAAGCAGGAGGAGGAAGAAAAGAAGACGGTGGAGGAATAGGTTCCCTTGACGGCATTTAGATTCCGTCCAATCAACCGTCACTTCGCCATCCGTCCAATCCACCTCGTCCACCGCGGCGGGGCCCAGAGGTGCCACCACGGCCAAATCGTCAGCGGGCTCAGGCCGTGGACCCCGCGTTACGGCCACCACCCTTACGGTGGCCAGGATTTGAATTCGGTCAATCCGCCGTTGCGATGGGGGCAGCCTGCTGACTACAAGCATAAGAGGCCCGCAGTCATCGATCTCAGCAACGGCGTTATATTCCCTGACGGGATCAAGAGGCCCCGCCGCGGCGATGCCGAGCATCGGAACGAGAACACGGTCCTCAACAAGATTCGCAAGTTTCTGCACCAATTTTGAAGACAGGTTACATCCATGGGAATTCGAATTTCGCCTACACGGCAGGGAAGGGAATTATTCTTCCCTTAAAAATAAAAAGGGTGTATCTTTAGATAGTTGTAATTACTCTATTATTATTCGGGTTCCCCCAGCTGAACTTGCTCGCTGAAATATTGGCTTTCAGCTATTTTATTGTAATTATTTTCGATATTCGGATATTCGGATATTCGGAATGAAATGTATTGCCTTTGTGTTATAAATCTAAATTGTCCCAATTCCTTTTCAGCAGGCGAATGCCGAAATGAGCCAATTATATGGATGTTACTATTAGATTGATAAATTTACAAACTGAATTAATTGAATTTATTATTCAAAACACGAATTAGAATGAACATTGATTTGATTTTCTACCCGATTATTGTGTTGTTATTTTTGGTAAGATAGCCCATTCATATCCAACGAAAAAAAGATATATAGCCCATTCAGCTGTTGTATTTTATACACATTCCGGCCCATTTGATCACAGGCACAGCCCAAACCATAGTCCGCTCTTTTCTTGTGATAATTAAGCCCAGTTAATATGTTATTAGTTAGTTGATTGTTAAGAAAGATAGAGTATAAAAGCTCACTGGAATTCCCACACGACCCATAGATAGTTTGAAACTGAATCTAAAACCTCACAATCCTACGTAAATGGTTCAATGCTCTCATTTTGGGGGCAATATGCCACTAATTAAAAAGAAATGGAGGGTTGTAGGTTCAAGTCAACTATATTCTAACAACTCAGCTAAGAGAGGACCATCAAAACTTGAGAGCAAACGACAAATTTGGATTACCTCCAATATACTAGTAGACTCGATCAAAGTAATATGACGCAAAATTAGACAGTCCTTATCGATCAGTTCCAGCAGGCTGAATAAAGAATCGACCTACTTCATTAAATCAATCAATAATTACTCGTTTTAAGATAGAAATAGGTTGTGGTAGCTGCAAAAACCATAAACCTAATGATCCAATAGCCACCACTCTCCATTGAACGACCAAATTTTTATCTACTCTATCTTCAACCTCAAGAAGCATATTTTTCAACCAAACATTCACTTTCTAATCCTCCTTCTGCAACTCCATTTCTGCTACTTTGATGGACCTTCTCTCTGCGGCCCTCAATTTCTCTTCCAATTGGGGTTCTTGTCAACTCGCTCTTCAACTCCTCAATCCCCTTCCTGTGTTTTGCCAACTCATCTTCCTCAGGGGAAGTTCTAATAAGTTCGCTAAAACCGAAACTCATTTCCAATTCCATAAATATGCTCATCTCCCCCCTTGCATGCCTTCACCTGCTTCAGCACACTTCCATGTCCTTCAATATTCTCTCCATTTTCATTAATATCCTCATCATCTCTCACTTCTCTCTCTTCAATTGCTCCAGTTTTGCTTCCGCGTCTTTCAACACCCTCCTCAATTCGATCACTACCCTCAGTAACTCCCTCTTCTCTGTCTTAACCTGCTACAGTTGAATTTTTCTTCCCCCCACCACTCTCATTCTCAAACTCAATCCTAACTCTTCTACTCCAAATTCAACACCCCAAACTCCTAGACTGTTGCATGAAAGCTCAATTTCTAACTAATTCTAAAACAATATCAAAATTTGATTAGTGAGTTGGACCATAAGAATAAAAATTAATGAGGAAAATTATGGTTGCGGAGAACATTAGTTATCACAAAATCAAATATGAGTGAAGATATTGTAATTGAAAAGAAACCTTTTTTTTCTAATTTTGATCTTATTTTATTATTTCAATAGCTAAGCAAAGAACAAAAATAAAGTATCGGAAACAAACAACAAAAAAGTAGACAAGGCTCTAGGAAAGTACAACTGCCCTGTTCTACACAAACATCTCTTTTGTTTACAAACAAATATAGTACCCAAACTATCGTTCAAATTCATTTTCTATATTTTATAAAAATAATTCATAAACAACAAACTTAGATAAATCGGGAAGGAAATAATAGCCTACCAGTTCAAGTCGATGAACTTTATATGAAGATAGAAACTCATTGAAGTTGAAACCTAATAACAGAAAGAGGAGAAATGACGCAGGAGATCCCCCGAGCTTTAAACATCGTATCAGGCAATAAGATCAAAAGTAATAGATATTCTGTATGTTGTGCTCATGAGACAACGTGAAATAAAAGTCGTTTTGTTATTAATCAGAAAGATAAAACCATGAGACATAGAGAAGAAATGAATGACTTACATGTGCAAAGCGATTAACCTTTGGCCGGAAACCGAAAACCTATTAAAGGTCAATGCCTGGTATAGGAAGATGAGTAAAGGCGGAAGGTATAACTGATCAAACATTGCCTTCATCAATAGAAGCAACAAAATAGTTCTTCTGGTAGTACATCGAGGAGAGACAGAACCATTGGGTGATGCCAATGCAGAGGAATCGAGCGAGATAATCAAGGCCAGGCCATAACTACTTGATTGAACTCCATTCTATTCGCCATAGATTGATATGAGAGTTGAAATCTTCTACTTGCCCAGCCTAAATTCCCAAGAATAAAATTGCAGTGCCAAGAGATACCCGAATGTTGATTTTCAAATGCTCCTTATACTGGGAAGTGAAAGCACGCAAACTATTGTTCGGAGAAAGTTAGAAAGAGATAAGAACAAAGATAAAAAGGCACAAAATTTAAGTTTATATTGAAAAATGCAAGGACACAACACGTAATAAAGGAAATAGTTTCTTCCATGTTAGCCAATTACCAATATACCTTTAGCGAAACATTAAGGAGAGAGCATGAATTCTAAAAATTGATAAAATTAAATGAAACTCTACTATGAAAATTGAAGTATTAAGCACCATGAAAACACATATGGAAGACTTAGTGCCCTTGTTAATCATGATGAAAAAGTTCTCTGCTTTTCACAGTTTCAATACATGTATGTTTTGTATTAAAAAAGGAACAACAAATACACTTAGTATAATTGGTTATGACTAAATATCCTTCCTACTTTCACTCTCATTGGAGGAAATTTGAAATGGAGAAAAGTTTACAAAACTCTACTATATATTAATGGAGGATTAATCATTGTATTATGTATAAGCTCTGGTTTATGCGTAGTTGAAAAACATTAGTCATCATATTTTACAAAGAAATAAATACAAGCCGTTAAGTACGTTTTTTATTGTAAAAAAAAAAGTACATTACCTTCAAAATATAGGTGAGCAAATACTGAATTTTTTCTTAATGGGTTAATAGCATTTTGTACCCCTCTATTATTGTAAGTTAACAAATGTACCCCTCTATTAAATTTTTGCACAAATATATCCTTCTAGAATTAAAGCGTAACAAATTTACATTTCCGTCCATTTATCTATTAAGTGACCGTTAAACATGATGTGAAATGACTCAATTACCCCTCATTCATTCTTAAATACTTACATCCAAAATCAGTAAATAAAAAATTACAAAAACCTAAACTAATTCACACACACTCGCGTCTCTTCTCCAGATATCACATACGAGAGGGACGATGGAATCTACATCGGACTCAATAGCTACAACTACCCGTATCAGACCTGGGAGGAGCCGACGGCCAGCTTCCTGGATTCATCGCCGCCGGCAGCAATCTCACCTTGACGGAGGCGACGGTGACAGCGGAGGGTCTGAGTGAGGAGAATACAGAGAGGCGGCACTAGAGGAAGAGATTTGTGGTGGTTGAGTAAACAATTGCCCAAAGTGCTCCTTGCGAGAAGAAGGAGCGATGGTGATGAGGACGAAGACAGCAGCCACGCGGCGTCTCTGAGGAATTAATTTAGGGTTTTGTTTTTTTAATTTATTGATTTGGGAAATAATATAAGTAAAGTGAAAATTAAGAGTATTTAAGAGTAAACGAGGGGTAATTGAGTCATTTCACAGCTCGCCACTTAACAGATAATAGGATGGAAGGGTATATTAGTTACATTTCAATTTAGAAGGGTATATTTGTGCAAAAAAGTTAATAGAGGAGTATGTTTGTTAATTTCCCATAGTAGAGGGTACAAAATGTTATTAACCCTTTCTTAATTGATTAGGATGTTGTATCATATATGCGTGTTAACAAAACCTTCTAAAGAATATTTGGTTTAACATCAGAATTATTGTTGATTTCTATAGATAAAAGTGAGGTTTATTAACAATTTTTCATTAGTGTTTCTAGGATAAGCAAGAACCATTAATAAAAAATCATGTATCCTTCACTCGAATGTTTATAACCACAAAATTGAAAATATAAAGTCATATGAATGTAAATTCAAAATATTCTGATCAATTGATCCAGTGCAAAGTTCGGGGATGAGACTATGAGTTTGAATGTTTTTATTGAGAATTCCTTATTGAGACACTATGCAGAGACAAATTTCAAAGGAAGCATCTATAAGTCAACATCGTGTCTTCCATTTGCGTAACCCATCTAGTATCCCGGGGGCCCCGCCTAGCGATTCTAGGGTCATCTGTCGTTGGGATGGGGCTACCAGGCAGGGGCTCCCTCGGCTGAGGGTATGGTGCTTATGACCTCATCCCAGGAGGTCATTCTGGCTAGGGGGATTCAGTTTCCTGAACTTGGTGATCCTATGGTGATTGAATTGCTAACCCTTCGGGAGGCGGTTGGCTGGTGCTTAGGGCTGGGGTTTACTGAAGTGAGGTTTGAAGGAGATGCCAAAGTGATTATTGACAAGATTATTTCGCGGCAGGCTAGTGATAACCGGGTGGGAGCTATTCTAGAAGAAGTTCTGCATTATTTTCTCTCGAATCCGGGGTTAGCTGTGCGGTTTATAGGTCGGAGTACAATAGGGTAGCCCATAGGGTGGCTAGGAAGGCCCTTTCTTTGTCTCCGGCTATGAGCTGTGTTTTTTATTTTCGGGCCTGGCTAGGTTCCAGGATGTAATTATCTCTCTTTAATTCAATATATGAATATCTTTTGTCAAAAAAAAAAAAAAGAGTCAACATTACATTATGTTTGGGGAAAAGGTGCAAATGGGAGGTGTAAACACAGTTTCCAACACATTTGTATTTGTTTGGTTAATTTGTAACAGTAGAGGGTGCAAAATTACTGTTTCGACTTATCCCCGAATTGGGGTGCAAGGGAAGGAAGAAAGGGGGAGAGGGAGAGGGAGAAAATTATTTTTCTAATAATTTTTAATTGTGTTATAATTATATAATAATTAATATTATCAATTTTTTGTTATAGTTATTATTAATGTAGATATGTTAACCATTATACTCCGAGAGCAAGTTTATCAATCTTCGTCTAGTCAAATCAAGATCTCTTGGTTGACTCGAATTTGCGTAGGAAATTAGAGATAAGATCATAAGAAGTGCTTATGGAAAATGTAGCGAAGAACGGTTTGTTTGACTCAGATTACTTGACTAAATAGCTAAAACTTACAGATTCGAACGTGTTTGACTAAGTTTGATCATATGTAATTTAAAGTTAAATTATACACAAGAACCATGTAGGATGACCAGTTATGAGTTGGCTTCGAGCTTCGAGGTCGATCGATCATTACAGTTGTTATAATCAATTATTATTTTAGCATCATTATGTAATTATTATTTTCTTAAATTATATTTAATATTATTTATTTTATTATTTTGTAATAAATTTTATTATTTGGTAAATCTATTTTATAATTATATAAATTACTCACTGTTCACTTTATTTGTATTACCCTACCTTTTCATGTAAATAACAATTTACACTTCCATTTGCACCCTCGTGCAATTTACCCCTCAACTTGTAGCTATGTCGAATTTGCACCCCTTATTCCCAAACATAGTATAAAGAACTATGCAACGTTTAAGACTTCAAGTGATAGATTAAATGTTTAGAATTTCGAATACAAGCCCATGTTGGGCCTAGCTTAGATTAGAGTTGTGCCCTTCAATTTAACAAATAGGTATCATAGTTTTACAACAATGACTAAGAATTGTTGGCTAATGATTAGGTGTCAAAATAAACTTAAAAAATGATGTCATAACTATTTGCATACGCTAATATTCTTAGTTGTTTTGATGCACATTATAACATTTTTATGAATATAACTAATACACATATCGAACAATCGAGATTGTAAGCTAACATGGACACCTACCAAATTATGAGGAAGGTAATAAAATTCATCCGGCCAATTGGCCAGACAAAACAGTATATTCTATCGTGCCTACTTATTATTCTATTGAAGCTCATTTGAAAGAACTTGCTGAATTTTATGGGTTTGGTGGACGTACTATTTCAAAATAATGTATTTGTGAACTGCAAATCTATGTTTCTAACGATGAGATATCATAACTCTTATAAATTACTCCACTACAGTGCTGATAGAGTAAGATAGGATAAACAATGCGAGCAATGATTATACGTTTAGATTAGCAACCAAGTGGAATTAGCTACCCGTTAACCCAATTTGTTGTATATATTCGTTGATCTCGTCAAATGGAAAATTCATCCAAATCTCAGGTTTCTCACGTCCAGGCTCATGGTTAGAGAGAGCAAGGCAGGCAGATCGAACACAGAAACAAACTACTAAATATGATGACCATCATCCATTCCATTTACTTCCAAAGGTTTCAGTTTCATGACGTGAAACCATCCAATAATACATAAGATTTACACCAGTGTTCTTTCCTGCTGCATAATATGGGTTCTTATTTTGTACAGAACGTGGAACTTACATAGCTACAACATAGCCACAATGCTAAGAAGCTTACTAGTAAACCATCAACCGGTGAGAGATCCTGCTCGGATTTATGCAACAATCGGATATGAAGCGCATGTGGCAACACCTACAATCAAGTCGAAAACGAAGCCAAAATGAATCAATCGGAAGCACCATATTGAATAACATGGCAGACTGGTAGTAGGTGAGTAGAAATTTTAAGCTTACCACACATGTTCTTCCCCATTTCCATCTTGAAGTAACCATTGTCGCCCCAATCTGCTCCCCAAGAGTTCTTGATGAGCCAGTAAGGTACCCCATCTTCAACTCCATACCCCACGGCCAGAACCGCATGGTTCACATCCTGGATAAACCACACATTAAAGGCAGAGAAAAAAAAAATTGAGTGTCAGAAAGGGTAATCCATAACCTATCTCATTGCAGGAATTTGTTTCCCAATTTTGAGAAAAAGAAGCACACCATGGAAGTACTGCCACAGGAGTCGCTGGTGAAAACCCCATCCTTGTACAAGCGGAAACTGTTGATCACTTGAAACGCCACACTGACTGGACGAACCAGCCCAACTGCCTGCTTCAGCTCATCTTCTGCCCCCTGAAATAATACGACGTCTACCATATATCACAAATCTCAAGAGCAGACTGGTTCTCTCAACAGATGCAGCACAACATGATGATCAGGGACTCACCAGGGTGATGTTGACGGAGTTCAGCACTTGGACACCAATGTTTTGGGCAGAGAATTTGCACAGACCGTTCTTTCCAGTGTAAGGATAAGCTGCCTCGGTCTCGAGACCGCCGTTATACTTGATGTACTCGAAAGCTTGGGATGGGAGTCCACCATTGCAGCCATAGTTATTAAATGCTCCAGCACAATCCACAAGCTGCTGTTCAGACAGAGAGATCCCTTTCCCAAATGCTTGAGCATAAGCTGCTTCAAGAGCTCCGGTGGTGCTGCAGTAGAGGACAAACCATGTCAAAATACCATTAACCACAAGTAAATTTTGGGTATTGATATGTGGAAGTGTGTCAAAACCAACCTGAAAGTCCAGCAAGATCCACAGCCACCTTGATTCTTAACTGGGCTAACTATTCCATCTTCCCTCCAATCTTTCTGTATCATTGAAGCGTAAGATCAGGTCAAGACATTATAACCAGACATTACATTATTCAATCCCACTAGCCCAGCACCCTTCACACGGTGGAATCCATAACCCAACCAACACATTTGCTAACAGTTGGTAAATGAAGAACCTAGGAATGGTACCTTCTCCGGAAGGACAGCATCACTGATCATGAAATTACCCCTCCTGGTAGCAGAGCAGTTCTGTGCAGCTCCAAGCTTCTGCGTTTGGAACTCTTGCCATGTCCAATCAGCATAATCTGCGTGCACAATACGACCCAGATTTATACAATTGATTCAACTTCAGCCACAGCTAGTTCCTCAATCCTTTCCCAACGAAAGGTCAAGTCCCCAAGAACAAAGAACTTCAACTAATGAGATAGCCACTTGGATCAGTTGATGATATTTGTGTTATTCACTTATTTGCTTATTCGTAGAGATGAAGCCAAGAAATAATATATTCTTCAATTTTGTACAATTACATTCGATTTTTCTTATCGTCACTATCATGGACCTTCCCTTCCATTATTTCGCTCTATTTTTCTAATCATTTCTGTTCCTATCTTTAACAAACGAATCGAAGATAAGACCCGGCCGGCCAATCAATCAATTGAAAGAGTAAATCGTCGAGGATGAACTCAGAAACTAGACTTACAATTAACGGCGAGCCTGTAAGACAATCCCTTCCGGTTGGTGGATCTGACCAAACGACGACTCTCCATGAAAATCGAGAACCTCTGCCTGATCTCTTCCTCCGTCGCATAACTCTTCCCGTGCCTGAAGAACGCCAGAAGATACAGGGATGATCGGAGTAGAAAACGAGCAAGTGCGAGAAAGAAATAAGAATCGCCACCATCTCCCGACGGGATACCTGTGAGCGAAACGGGCGAATTTAAGAGCCCCGCGAGCGTTCCCGACGGCGTTGACCACAGAAGCTTCCAAGTCGCTGAGACGATCGGGAAACATCCGGATGGGATTGGAGTCATCGTCGAAGAAGGCTGCGGCGGCGGCGGCGCAGCAGAGGAGGAGGAGGATCGAGGAGATGAAGGCGGGGCGAGCCATGATCTCAGCCGGAGAAGGAAGTGGATAGGCGGAGAGGAGGGAGAGGATGTGGCTTGTGAAGTGGATGAGAGTGGGAATTGGGGGAGCTGCTTATAAAAAAGATCTGTCGAGTGTGTGGGAAGGGAAGGAGGACGAAAGAATCTTGGAGAATGGGGCCCACGGAGCTCGGAGACGACGGAGAATCCGGAACGGAAGGTGGCGCTCTATTATTGGGGATGGTGGAGATCAATGTTTTGTGAACTCCAGGCTCTTGGGTTGACGCATACGATGACGTGGTTTTACCTACCTTCCGTTGTAACGGAAACTTAACGGCATTCTTAAGCATATTGTCACAACACTCCATCAAATTTCGTCTCAGCTTAATCTTCTAAATACCTATATAAGTTTTACTATTTTAGATGCTAATGAAAGGGAGATCTGCAACTTTGTTTCTCTTCGAACAAGCTCTCCTTTTCTGACAGTCATAGTCCGCACTATTCATCGTGGTAAATCATTTCTAACGAGGACATGGTTGATTTTGATGTCACGTGACGAGTATGAAAAGCAACAAAACGAGCGCAGATGATCTGTGAAGTCACCGCCGGTTTCTGATACACCATTAACAGTTACAAATTTGTTCTCTCTCGTTTCTCTGAAAAATTGATTAGTTTGCTAGCTAATTCTCTCGCTTTCTCCTTTCCATCTTTCTTTGTACAAATTAGTTTGAATTCGCTCAAAATCGTACCTTGGACAATCAACAATCCCAAAAAAAAAGTCTATAAAGAGAGAAAAAAAAAACAAATGATCGACATTTTACTGCTGGATTTGCAGCCTGGTATTAGTTCAATGCTTCAAGATTCAAGAAGGCCCGTTTTTGAGCTGGAAGTCCTAATTTGATCGGGCCAAGTATCAATTAAGGGCAAGCAAACGAGTTAAAAAAAAGATCCACCAGGGACCTGGGAGATTTGTGGCAACAAAGGAGTGGGAATGGACTTGTAACTGAAAATTAAATGGGCTGATTTTGAAGAGAGAAAGTGGGGGCCCAAGATCGTTCCGACGGGAAGGCCGCAGGCGAGTAGGACTGGAAGAAGGCAAGGGACGGGAGGAGTCATATTATATGGGCCGAACAACGGACCATGTAAGGAGGCCCAAGACCAATACAATAAACAACAGCGCCGGGAATGCGCCGGGGATCTTGCATGGGCAAACCACGGGACTGAAAAAACCCACCGCAGGTGACCTCCTTGCCTGTGAAACAGCTACGGCAGCCGTGGCGCGCGTTACGCTTTATTGACGAAGATGGAAACTAAAACTATCGATGATGGTGACATCATAAATCAATTGGTCCCAATAACTTGAGTTGGTGAAAAATGTTTAACTATGAATCAGATATCATTTATTAACACATTCTTCCTTAACTAGAGTCGACTCAAATGAGTTTGTAGTCTGCACCATCTGTATCGTGCTTAGTCACTTTCGGAACAAACCTTAATGCATTATGGATTAGTAGTAGTGGGGATTATTTTACGTGGATTATCGAGTCACATGTACTGGCCTGCACTTTCTGATCCATCAGCCAACTTGCTTGGCTGCGTAGTGCTTACTGTTAATTACTATTTAATTCGATATCCCTAGCCAGTCATGGTCACAAGTTTGTCTTTTCTAATGATGCCTTGTTTAAATTCATGTTCATGTTAATAAACAAATCTCTAGTGCATATGCCTCAATATTACTTCCATTTTGACTTCCAAACTTTGAATGACATTACTGATTGGAACGAGTAACAGTGGCCGAACGACCTTGCAGCCAAGGGGCCGGGTTATATTTCCACTACCACAGAGAAAAGGAATTGCTGCTTGGCCACGTTGTTTCTCAATCTCCCTGTAATCTGTAATATCTTCAAGTATAGTGAAACTAGTTTTCTCTTACCTGTGGATTATTAGTACACGTACTTAACGGCCGGACGCTTGAGCAACTGTATCATAATATCTGCAGGTTACTCTGAACCTGTCAATAATTTGCCAAATAAATCGTCATTAACTCCATTATTCTTGTTTAAGGTGAGGAGGGAACTAATCAACTCATCAAAACTCCAAGAATGTTCCATTCCATATATATTTGCAAGGAAGGAATAACCAACCAAACAACAAACAAACAAACAAACAAAGAGAGATCTCCGGTGACCCCTAACCAACCGTCCGATGCATATACTTTAGAACCCCTTTTATAGCCATGGAAAAGCCAACTAATTGCCATATTCATCACCGTCGGATTGATTTGGATAACAAACACATCCTTAATTAACCAACCCAAACCCCATTTTTGTGCTTTAATCAGGCATTAATTCCAAATTACCAAGTTTCATTCCCAACTAACGCACCAACTAATTAACAAATGCAATGAACCAAAAGCAGCGGTAGTGCATATCGTACGTGTGAAAGTTGAAATAATCATGCCCTGATAGCTCAGTTATTAGCCTTGTTATAAGAACCGAACTGGATCAACGGCCGGGCCAGTAGAACCGTCAAACCAGTTACGATAGCGGTCCGGTTCATTGTTTGAACGGTTATTGATCGACCAAATGGTTTTTCACGGTTCAACATAAAATCAGATGAACCGACACGGTTTAACTGGTCCATTGGTTCACTATTTTAACAAAAAAATATTTTAACATAAACTAAGACCATCAAATCATAATTATTAATTTTATATATGCTTCTCAACCTTATTGTCCATTTTAAATTCTCTACTACCAACTAGAACCGTAATTTTTAATTTGAATTAAAAAATATGGTTTCTTTTGTGTGATGGTTGGAATGATTTATTAGATATTTTCGTGATGATATGAATTTTAACTTGTTTATGGTCAATGATAATTTCATTCTTAAATTAGCGTAATATACAAGTCTTATATGTTATATATCATTAACGGTTCTATCAACGGTTTTGTAACGGTTAACCGGTGAACCGTTAAACCACTAACTTTTTCGGTTCAGCCTCCGGTCCGGTTCTGAAAACAGAGGTTATTAGAGATGATATAATAAAAACGTAGCAATCATTTAATCATGTTAATCGTCGCATTTAAAAAAAAAAGGGTGGATGACCCAACCAGATAGGGATCAATTTTTATCTAGAAGGTCGAGTGTGGACAGAAATGTATTGGGAAGAGACCAAACTTAACCTAGCTAATTAAGTTGATAAAATCCAACGTCGTTTTTCTTCTTCTTTGGTATATGTGGTAGGTTAAGGTAGTAGGTCAAGCTTCCAGAATGAAGCTCCCAAATGGCAAATAGTACGTGTGGATTTTTTATGGGAGGAGTTTGTCAAAACCAGTGCTGTCAAAGCCGAATCGAGCCGGCCGGTCGGACCGTCAAAGCCGTCACCCGGCCGTAAAACCGGCTCGGATCAGCTATTTAACCGCCACGGTTTTATACAGAGGCCGGTGAGCGGCCGAAGCGGTTAACAGCTTGAGCCGGTCGAGCCGGTCGCGCGGTTCGGCCGTTTGATTTACCCTAAAAAAAATAGAAAATGCCAATCGTGGAATCGGCCGTCAACACCTCTTGTCCCGGCATCGGCGTTCCCGACGGCATCGCCATCCCCAGTCGCCATCGCATCGCCATCGCCAGTCCTTGTTGTAGCAAGCAGCTCCCCGCTCCCGGCGCTTCCATCCCGTCGCCACCGTCGCAAGCAGCTCCTCGCTAAGCTGCCCTGTCTCACCAGAGGCTTGGATTGAATCCGAGCCATTTCGCGGATTGGGACGAGGAAGAGCATTTACGGGTTAAGAAAGGATGACGTGATGGATTTTTGAGGAATTGCAGAAGGCTATAGTGGCTGAAAAATGAAAATAGGTGCGGCGGTGGGAGAGGAGGAAGGAGAGAGGGAGGGGGGATGGGGAAGCGGAAGGAAGGAGAGTAGTGGGTGGGGAAACGGCGTTGTCGCTTAGGATTAGGTTAGGGTTTTTTTTTAGTTGTTGTATATATATGTTGTGTAGAATTATTAAATGGTACCTGTAATTATCATTTTTACTCATTAAATCATTGAATTATTACTTTATGTGTGTTCTACTATGATATTATATTGTTTATAATGTACCGGTTCTCAAACGGTTTTTAAACGGTCTAATGCCGGCTGAACCACTAATGACCGAGCCGTTCACGTTACCGGGTCATACTCCGGCTCGGCTTTGACAGCATTGGTCAAAACTGTTGGGGTGATTCCCGCGTCCTCAGCCGGCCGGCCGGCGGGTCAATTCGTCGTCGCCTGCTTGCAAGCAAAACTACTCTCTAGTTTTATTATAAGACTAACTCCAACCCAAATATGGCTTTTTAACTCCCCAAACCCAATTTTCACAACCCTACAAAAAGCTAAATTTAGCTTCTCGCCTCCCTTTTTCAATTTTTTTCAATAAACCATACTTATTTGACTTCTAATTTTTATATTTCACTTTAATTTTTTCATAGTTCGTTATTACTTTTGAATACAAAAAATTTCGATGTAATTTTTTTAAAATTCCGAGATAATTTTATTTTTCAAAAAATAGTCGTTAAAATATGAAGAGTGCTGTAATATATAAGAAAAAATATGGCCGTTAAAATATGACCGCTTTTTTATGGCCGTTAAAATATGATCATTTTTTTGTCACTACATCAATTATTTCAAATTTAAAATTGAATCACAAATAACCAATGAGAATAGAGAAAAAAAAAACACCCAAACAACCATTCAACCAACCAGATGAAAGATAAAAGAAAAAAAAAGGGCATGGACGTCGCTGGCCGAGAAAGGCGCCAGCCGCGCGTCCTGCGCCTAAAACTAACGAGCTACCGGCGGGCGGGGCGCAACCATCGATCAGCTAGCCAAGTGGTGTTCTTTTTTTCCTTTTGTTTATTGTACATATAATAAGGTCTACGTCTCTCTAAGTCGTCTTAGCTACAACAATAGATCTAAAAGTGGGAAACTATCATCATAGCGATGTATAATTGTATAGATATGTTGACTCATTTACGCATTTCAAAAATTGGTTTTAATATGTGTTCGATAATAATGTATTCGTAACGGTACTTTTTTAGTGGCGAATTGGTTAAACAATGGATCTCCGTTTATATGTTTTTTTTCCCCTATGAGTTTGTATAAGATTCATACATATAGGTCTAGCTCCCATTCGATGATTTATTAATACTATTTGGTTTATAATATTTTTTTCCTAAATAAATTGTCGTCAATGTACATATTTCATTATAAGTATCGCAAGATGATGAAACCTCGTTATAGATATGGTGATTTGAAGAGTCAATTATAACACGAGCTTTCCAGCTATATGTACATTTAAAGTGTTAATCAAGATAGATTTCGTCCTTAATCACCCAAAGATTTATTTAGTTTACGTCATCCAATGTAAAATAAAAAGAGTCATCAGGTGTTACCTCATCCTTCTTGCTTGCGGATTCGGCCATAGAACTTGAGTGTCAAAGAGAACTAATTCAGGCTAGGCGACGGAGAAAGTCAAAAGGTGGGGGAAAGAGTTCCATGCCATGTCCTTTTCGTACGAACCAACCTCCCAGACTTTGAGAGCATCATTACCTTACCAACCATGAACAAGAAGGAAAAACCAAACAATTAACCACAATCAAAATAGTTTAGAAACCCTTAAAGATCGAAGAACTTTTAAGCAACCTTTCGAATCAGGAATCCGTTTTAGTGATGTGTTCGTCAGATGAATTTCGAGATTGTCGGCTCAACAAGTTGATCATAAGAGTTTGGAGAGGTTACTTAAGAGGCTAGTTAGGAACGACATCCATGGCCACTTTGATTTGCTAGGAGTGTACGACCATACTACATGTACTATATATAAGTGGTCGTTTGCTTCAAGGATTTTATAACGAGGGTTTTGTCATGGATTTACTAATTAAAAACCTGGAAATTTATTAGGGATTTTGGGCATTATGGATTTGAGGAAATCCTTTGTTTGTTGAGTTATTTTAATCATGGATTTGATGGTTTTTCAGCTTGACTCCAAATCCCAGGGTATGAAGTGAGATTTATAAAACCGTGGGGCCCATGGATTTGGAGCAAAAAAAACCCCAAATCTGTGGGGCCCACAAATTTATCTAAATATTTTTTAACAAAGCAAACAACGGATTGTGTGTAAATCCATGATGGTTGGTTTTTTGGTACGAAATCCATAATGCAAATCTTTGAAGCAAACGACCCCTAACTCATGATCAACCATCACAAGATTAATTAAAATACTTTATTTCACCAAAATTGTTGTTAAAGAGTACGATCACTTTGATTTTGTTATAACGCGACCACTTATAACATGACCACGCTACGCGTGTACTATAACTCTCACAGTCAACCATCACAAGCAATGCATTTTATTTCACCAAAATTGCTACTAACGAACGCACACTTACAAACATTAATTTAACCCGAATTTTAGAAATCACACAGACAATGATCGTTAAGTATAGAAGTTTGTAGATTTACTGCAGCGGAAGAAAAAAGAAACCCTTGGTAAGTACACTGAATATAATCCAATAAATTGAAGAAAAAAACCAAACATGGTGGGAAAAATCAAACGAAAGGAAAATTAGAAAGGAGTCGCTTGCCTCTCTCCCTCGCTCTCTCAGGTCAAGCATCGCATCCGCGTTTTTAGTCGCACCATATTTTAAAAAACAAAACAAAAATATTTCACTCGCACCGATCCCTCTCTCTTTGCTTAAATACCTCCCAAATCCACAACCCATTTCCTCAGAACAAACATCTCCCTCTTTTTCCTTCTCTCTCTCAATCTCAATCTCAATCTCAATCCTCAACTCGAACAACGACAACCGATCATATATATATACGACCTTCGGTTTTCCGATAATGACGGCGGAGAAATCCCGGTGGGCTGCCTTCCTCTCCAGCTGCCTATTCGGCTCCCAAGAAGAAACCACAACCCATGATCGGAAAACCCACAAGAGAAAGAAGACGACAAAAAACAAGAAGAAGACGCCCACGTCATCACCCTCCTCCTCCCCCAATCCCAAGAAGCAGCACGTCACGACAACGACGACCGGCCGGGTCTCCATCTCCGACCTCAGCAACCCGGACTCCTCGCTGCTGCTCTCCTCCGCCGACCTCTCCGTCTCCCTCGCCGGCTCCAACCTCCACGTCTTCACCCTCGCCGAGCTCAAGGTCATCACCCAGAGCTTCTCCTCCTCCAACTTCCTCGGCGAGGGCGGCTTCGGCCCCGTCCACAAGGGCTTCATCGACGACAAGCTCCGCCCCGGACTCCTCAAACCCCAGCCCGTCGCCGTCAAGCTCCTCGACCCTGACGGCCTCCAGGGCCACCGCGAGTGGCTCACCGAGGTCCTCTTCCTCGGACACCTCCGCCACCCGCACCTCGTCAGGCTCCTCGGCTACTGCTGCGAGGACGACCACCGCATGCTCGTCTACGAGTACATGCCGCGCGGCAGCCTCGAGAACCACCTCTTCCGCCGTAAGTTAATCACCCGCCGCTTTATATTGTCTTAATTATGTTGTGAAAATTGATGTAACACCAAAACCTGACAACTTTTTTGACTAATTCTTCCAGGCTATGCGGCGTCGCTTCAGTGGTCAACGAGGATGAAGATCGCTTTGGGAGCGGCCAAGGGGCTCCAGTTCCTCCACGAGTCCGAGAAGCCGGTGATCTACCGCGACTTCAAGGCCTCCAACATCCTCCTGGACTCGGACTACACGGCCAAGCTGTCAGACTTCGGGCTGGCGAAAGACGGGCCGGAAGGGTCCGACACCCACATCTCGACCCGGGTCATGGGGACCCACGGCTACGCGGCCCCAGAGTACATCATGACGGGCCACCTGACGTCGATGAGCGACGTGTACAGCTTCGGGGTCGTACTGCTGGAGCTGTTGACGGGAAGAAAGGCGGTGGACAAAGGTCGGCCCCAGAGAGAGCAGAGCCTGGTGGACTGGGCCCGGCCCATGCTCCTGGAGCCCAGGAGGCTGAGCCGGATCATGGACCCAAGGCTCGAGGGGCAGTACTCCGAGACAGGGGCCAGGAAGGCGGCGGCACTGGCGTACCAGTGCCTGAGCCACCGGCCCAAGCACAGGCCCACCATGAGCCTCGTGGTCAAGACGCTGGAGCCTCTCGAGGACTACAAGGATTTCGCCGTGGGGACTTTCGTGTACGTGGTCCCCACGGCGGAGACCAAGAATGGTGTTGGTCAAAAGGAGTTAGGTGAGGAGGATAAGGTGGCGGAAAGTGATGGGAAGAAGAAGGAAGAAGGTGGACAAGAACAGTATCATCATAGACATAAGCTCCACCGTCGAGAGGGCGGCGGAAGGAAGCAACGCCGGAGTTCGCCGCCGACGAGTCGGGAGGAAGAAGGTGGGTACAACAAGCAGAGTCCTCGATCCGACAGATTGAACTCTCCGTTGCATCCAAAAGCCAAAGGAGCATGATTTTTTTTTTTTTTTTGTTCTTGTTTTTCTTTTATAATTAGAAACAATTTTTTTACTACTATAGTGTTGCAAGTGTATATTTTTTGGCAGTGTAAATAGATACATGTGGAGTTTTCTTCAACTAGGATTAATCATGTAGAAATTGAGATTGTATTTGATGAGGAGAATTGTTCAACATGGACATGTTCCGGACCAAGTCAAAACCAGTAAGCTGTTAACAAGTTTGAGACATGGTGTGGGGATTTTCAGTTGTATAAATGGGAATGGAGTCAAAGAAACAGCTAGGCCGATTCTGAAATGGAGAAGGAGAACTCGCGCGGAAATTACCTGCCTGCCTTGTTGACCTTCCAATCGTTGAGGTTGCGCGGGAAACAGAAGTTGGTGCCTTGGTGTTGGTGGTGAAGAAGATTCAACCTGACGTAGCTGATTTTGTAACCGTAACTCAGAAGCTCTATAGGCTCATTTTCTTTGGAGGCGGGAGGCAACTGAGATTCATCATCTGCATTTAACTTCTCAGCTGCCACAGCCTGACAGGCAGTGGTAGAGGTAGGGATGGCAACAAAACCCGAACCCACGGGTACCCATCCGACCCAACCCGGTCAACGCGGGTAAAATTCGTGTTGATGGGTTTTGGGCCGGGTTTGGGTTTAAACCCGTTCACTATTCACCGGGTTGGGTTTGGGTTTAGGTAAACCCGACCCATGGGTATCCGCCCACACCCATATAATTAATTTTCTCGGTATATTTAATATTCTAAACAACTAATCTTATTTATGTTTGTGGAGACATGTCTAATTTTTTCTTTCTAATTGTGTAGAATGAAGTTGATATTATCGAGTGGAGAGTGAAGAAACTTAATTGAAAGGAAGAAGCTTTCAATTAATTATGTTATTTATGAATAATTTGTGCTTCAATTTTCTTGAGTTTTCTAGATTGGTGTTGAACAATTTGTATAGTTAATTTGTGATTTGCTTGAATTTTCTAGAATAGTGTTTTAAATATGGATAATTTGTATTGAGAGATTGATATTTGATTTTAATTTGGGTTAATTGCATGGTTGGTCACTGAGATTATAAAAAGCGTTCACGTTTGGTCACTAGAAATATTTAAATCCAATCTTGGTCACTCAAATTAGTTAAATGGTTCAAGTTTGGTCACTCTCCGTTAACTTCCGTCAATCTCCGTTAACACCGTCAATTATTTGCTGACGTGGCTAACAGACTCACCTAGTCACTTATTTTTTACTAAAATAAAATAAAATCCAATCCTGCCACATCATTAAAGCTTTCCACGTCATATCCATCGTTTTCCTTCCTCCTCCCTCGTTTTCCTTCCTTCAGATATTAAATGAGAATCCAGATGTTTGACCAGAACCGTTTACGAAACCGGTTAACTCTCCCTTTCCTCTTCTGGCCTTCTCCATTTCCCCACCTTATCATCTCTTCCCCGTTCTCCCCAAATAAAACAACCGCCGCCACCGTCGGCCGCTTCACACCCTCCCCTTCCTCCTCCTCCACCTCCTCCTCTTCCAACCAACCTCCGCCGTCGACTTCGTCTTCAACAGCTTCAACTCCACAAACTCCTCCTCCAGCCTCTTCCTCTACGGATCCGCCGCCGTCGAATCTCGAGTTCTCACCCTCACCAACTCCACCACATTCACCATCAGCCGCGCTCTCTACCCGCAGAGAATCCACACCAAAACCCCCAATTCCTCCTATGTCAACCCGTTCTCCACCTCCTTCATCTTAGCCATGGCGCCGTACAGAGACGCCCTCCCGGTCCACGGATTGGTCTTCCTGTTCGTCCCCTTCGCCGGAATGGAAGGGGCTTCCTCTTCTCAGAACCTGGGCTTCCTCAATCGCACCATCGACCACAATCCTAACACTCGAATCTTCGGCGTCGAGTTCGACGTCTTCGCCAACCAGGAGTTCAGCGACATCAAAGACAATCATGTGGGGATCAATCTCAATTCGCTCACCTCCATATTTGCCAACGAGGCTGGCTACTGGCCGGATTCGAGACGCTGAGGCTGAACAGCGGCGAGAACTACCAAGTGTGGATCGACTACCAGGTGTGGATCGTTAGGTGCAGACCAGAGCCAGGGTCGGAGATGGTGGTGCTCGTGGCGTTGATGTTTTTGTCGAAGGAAGGAGAAGAGGGGAAACCGACGAATTGGACAGGTCGGCGGCAATAGCTTCTTCCGGTCGTCTTCTCCGGACAAGGGATTTTGAGGATTGGTCAATTTTGGGTTTTAATTTGGGGTAGGTCAGATCATGGGTTAATGGGTTGGGTCATATTGGTCAGGTTTTTATGATGTGGGAAGTTTTAATGACGTGGCAGGATTGGATTGGATTTTATTTTTGTCAAAATTAGGTGACTAGGTGAGTCTGTTAGCCACGTCAGCAAATAATTGACGGTGTTAACGGAGACTAACGGAAGGTAACGGAGAGTGACCAAACTTGAACCATTTAACTAATTTGAGTGACCAAGATTGGATTTAAATATTTCTAGTGACCAAACATGAACGCTTTTTATAATCTCAGTGACCAACCATGCAATTAACCCATTTTAATTTTGATAGGAACTTGTTATTGTAAATTTTTTACGACAAAACCCCTGGGTACCCATGAACCCGCGGATACCCAGCAGGTTTGTTGGGTTTGAGTTTTTCAAACCCAGTGAGTTTTACCCCAGGTTTTTTTCACGAATAAACCCATGGATTTGGGTTTGACAAAACCCGAGCCAACCCGACCCATTGCCATCCCTAGGTAGAGGTGGCAATTAGGATCCAAATCCATGAATCCAATTCAATCCATCCACCAAATTAGCCTAATCCAATCCATTTTATTCAAATCCAATTGGATTGGTGGATCAATCCATGGATCCAAATGGCAAATTAGGATTTAGTACCTATATTTTTATACTTTACATTTTGGTACCTAAAATTTATATTTTATACGAAAAATAACATTGGAAAATTAAATTTTGGTACCTAAAAATTTTTATCGTGACATTTTAGTACCTAAACTTTTCAAAATTTACATTTTGGTCCAAGTTTTGGATGTCATTTGGATTCATGAATCAATCCACCAATCCATTGAATCCAATCCATTTGATCTATTGATCCACCAATCCAATCCACGATCCAATCCAATTACCACCTCTAGGCGGTGGTGATCCAGAAACTCCGAACTCATTTTCTTTGGAGTTTGGAGACTGAAGGTAGCTGAGAATCAACCACCATGCATGTATGATTTCTCAAATCATACCAGGTCGCTCAGGAGCTCTCAACTCATTCTCTTTACAGATACAAGGAATCTGAGATTCAACTGAAACATGTACCTTTGAAACTCTAAATTCATTTTCCTCAAAGTAGATCAGAAGGTATATCAGATTCAACAACTATATCTAATTTTCCTATAGTAACAGGCGGTTTGGAAAATTTCAACTCATTTTCTTTGGATACGAGAGGTAGCAGGGATTCAACCTACATGTCTGATTTCTCAGTTTTAACAGGAGACTCAGAAGCTGTTGATTCTCATTCTTCAGAGATAAGAGGCAACTGGGATCCACCCGACGTGTCAGGTTTTTCAATTGTCAACAGGGAATCTGAAGCTCTCAACTCATTTTTCATCTGAGAAAACAGTTAGCTGAGATTCAGCCACAGAGCCTGACTCTTCAGTTGTAACTGATAACGCACGCCGAATCTTTAAAAGCATTTTCATTGGAGATTCGAGGCAACCAAGATTAAAAACCCTCAATCGTGGCTCAACCACTGTAACTGGTGACACAGAAACTTCAGAGACTTGAATCAACCACAGTTTAACCACAAAACTTACTTCCCAATTGCAACCAGGGGCTCATATATTATTGACTCGTTTCATCCAGAGATAAGAGGCAACTTACGGTCAACCACATTGCTTGAATTTTTCTTTTGTTATTGGCAACTCAGAAGCACTAGACCCATCTCCTTCAGAGCTAAGAGGCAACAAGCCAAATTCTTTTGGTGTTCTTGGCGACTCAGAAACTTCTGGATTAGTTCCTTCAGGGACAACAGGAGGCCGACATTCAACTTCCAAGCCTGACTTTTCAACTAGGGATGCAGAAACCACCTGAGTGCTTTTCTTCAGAAATAGGAGGCAGAGGCAGCTGCAGTTGAATAACCATGCTTGATTGTTTTATTGCAATTGGTGACTCAAGAACTGTTGGCTTATTACCTTCCGAGACATAAGGCAACAGGCATTCAATCAGACCCAATAATTTTGTAGCACTTCCAGATTACCATCAGCCACAACACAGTTTCTTGCCGAAATTTGATTTCTAATAGCTAGGAAAGGATCATGCAAATTTGATTCCTTTTGTCCAGATAGGTGATTCTCAGAACTGGCTTGAGCATTGTCATCTTTATCTGGCACATTGCTTTGCACCTCCTTTCGAAAGCTGTAGTCTGTGCTTCCCAGCCAAATTTGCAAATTTTACCCACTGAAGACATAGGAAGCTGATATAACTAAAGCCATTCTTCCCCGAAAACCCTCCAGCCCAGCTCTGCAACGAAAAACCGAGAACTTTGAGCCACTTCTATGCTTCTGGGAGGGGGAAACAACAACTAAAGAAAATTAGTTAGATGGGGGTGGTAAACCTTTAACTCAGCTTCTCGGGGAAAAAATCAGTGAAATGGTTTCAATTTTCAACTCGGCACAACACTATTGACTACAGTACCCGGGCAACTTCTGCAATCACTAAGGTAAAAGAGAAGAACAAGAGAGAGCAAGATTCAGAAGCGCAATGATCAACTATCATGAACTTAATGCGGGCATCCACAGAAGAAGCATATTCAAGAAAGCACACAGAAGCCAAGACCTATCCATTGGATAGTTCACAATAGGAGTAACGTTTCGAACCTCTCAATGTACGGATTTAACATGTAGAGGATCTAAATGAAGAAACTAACTAACTTAAACCTACATACTTGGAACTTTGAACTTAATTCTGAAAATTCAGTAGAAAACCAGAAACACTCAGTGACAACAAAATACTGCTACAGCCATTCATGGGTTCTGTTTCCTAGTACTCTTAACAGATACAGTGACTTCGAACTAAGTTCAACAAAGACCTTCCAGGCATCATTCTGAATTCCAATGACCGCAACACAGCGAAACGATCAAAGAATGATACTTTATCAAAGACAAGCATAGTTGAGGTACCATTTTCCATTATCTTCGATCGTTATCAAGGCTTTACTGACAAAGAAAGTACTAAAGGCAACACCTTTTTTTACTGGAACCTGTCCAGGGCCATGATCGCCCATCGCTTCATCGCCAGTCTCCGTTAGCCCTTATCCAAAATCACCTTTTGAGGGTTTGAGTAACGCAGTCACTCGGCACACTAATAATCTGGGTTCATCTGCAATCGGAAATAGAATGAGCAAAAACAAGAGGGAATTAGAATTTAGAAAGAGGATGGCAAACTGCAAACAAAGATGAACCAAAAAACTCTCAAACAAGAATCTGAGCAGTAGGGTTCCAGTGAAATTGAGAGGGGAAGTCGTTGGGCCGGTATACCCACTGACCCGGCCCGACTTGGCCCGACCTATGATTTTATTAGTTTATACGATTCTGAAATTCTCGTGCTTTAAGCTGCAGCCTGCAGCTTTTTCTCACTCACTTCCCAGCCGCCTGCTTGCTCCCAACTGCTGCTAGGGACTCATTATCAGCGTTTGCTCCGAGTGGAAAGAATCCGGATCACCTCGTCGTCGGCGAACTTCGGGCGGAGGATCGTGGCTTGCTGTTTGGCTAGGGTCATGTTGACAACATCCACGCCGTAACGGTGGCAGAGGCTAATAAGGAGATTTTCCAAATTCATAGGGCAACCCATCCGGCTAATTGCGCAACTTCAGCTACCGACTTTCTCCAGCTCTCCCTCCACCTTCTCCGCATTCAAAACTTCGTTGCTCAGCAAACGCTCCCGCGTTGCGTTGTACACGGGGCTTAAGGATGAGGGAGTTTTTCGGCACGACTGACCAAACAAAAGAGCATCATCTCGAAATCATGTAGGCAACTGGGGTAAAGATTTTAGCTTTGTTTGCGGTGGTCGACTCCTCTTTAGTCTTTATCCTGCTTGAAAACCAGACAGTCACTCCTGCCATCATGAGTATCAACTGTCTAGTTCTAGGTACTGTTCACTTTGCCTACTTTTTTCTGCCCTCCATCAACCTTCAATATGATGATGATTTCCTAATGCTTGGTTGAGTGCAGGTGCCGGGCAAGAAGTTGGGAAGAGCTGCGTGGTGGTAACAATCAATGGGAAGCGAATCATGTTTGATTGCGGGATGCACATGGGTCACCATGATGACAAACGTTACCCTGATTTTGCTCTCATTGATGGTCCCCTGGATTGTGTTATAATAACTCACTTGTAAGTGTGGCTCCAGGTTCCCTGTTGTTCACCATGGCCTCGCCCTGTTCCTGCTTGTTTTGCTCTGCTGATTTTGGTTTTCCTGAACTCTTGTTGCAGTCATCTGGATCATATTGGTGCGCTTCCTTACTTCACTAAAGAGTATTCGTACAATGGTCCTATTTACATGACGGTACTTTCTCTGGATTTCACTCTTGTAGAAGTTAGGATGACATTGTCGATCATATTCTTTGCTAGGGGGAAAATGATTCTGAAAGGATTCACAGATTCTAGTTTAGGGTTCTTCTTCTTTGTCTTGCACTTAGCAGCATGCTTGTCACTCTGCAGTACCCGACAAAGGCGTTGGCCCCTTTGATGTTGGAGGATTTTATGAAGGTAACAGTTGGAAGGGGTGGGGAAGAGAAGTTTACCACTGATGATATATCTGAATGCATGAAGAAAGGTATGGAGTTTTTTTTATATCAAATGAGCTAACCTCTCTGGAGGTTCAATTTGTGCAAGACAGGCAACTTTAGTTCATTTTCCCTCCAAATTTTCCTTATGCAGTCACCCTAGTTGATCTGAAGCAGACTATACAAGTTGACAAGGATCTTCAAATCCGTGCCTACTATGCAGGACATGTAAGATTAACACTTTCCCTTGGTTTGATGTGTGGCCTGGCCTTCAGTGTGTAAATGTTTGTCTTGTGTTAATACCTCTTATTCCCTCAAGGTTCTTGGAGCTGCAATGTTTTATGCAAAGGTAGGAGACGCGTCTATGGTCTATACTGGTGACTATAATATGACACCAGATAGGCATCTCGGGGCTGCACAAATTGACCGACTAGAACTAGATCTCGTTATATCTGAGTAAGTGATTTTATGATATATGCATGTTCACGGTTGATGTTTGGCTATAATCAATTACGTTTGATATTATTGTTTTTCTCACGATTAGTGTTCTCTTGACAAAATGTCTGGCTTATCATCTCGAACCATCTGTGTGAACCAGAGAGTTTGTTGTTTGTTGCATGTGACTTTCATATACTGTAATCTAAGGAAACAGTCTCGGGTATTTGTGTTGAGTTTTTGGGTTGAGTTTATCTTGCCGTCTTTATTTAGCCCCTGGTCATGAGAGTGAAATATACTCCGTTGAGAATTTTTCCCATGTTGTGTTTTTTATGCAGTGGTAGTGAATGTATTTATATGGTTGACAACATATTCATTTCCAACAGTGGAGCTTTTTTACTTGTATTATTATGTCATTGTAGATAAACCTACTCTTCCAAATCTCATCAAATCACTCATATGATTTATATTTGCTTAACAGGTCAACTTATGCAACGACTGTACGTGATTCAAGATATGCTCGTGAGAGGGAGTTTCTTCAAGCTGTATGTAAAACAACATACCTTATATCTTATCTATTACAACTTCTTCGGTCTCACTGATCCAAATGTTTCGTCCATTGATATGGTTGAATTGTGGGGATTGATGGTTTGACAAACTTAATCAAATTATCAAACACATGCAATATGACTGAAGAAGTGCATCATTATCGAGAAAGAGAGCCATCAATGGCTTGTGACTTAAGAAATATTGTATCTTGCATGATTAGATGTAGCATGTGTATTTGCATTTTATATGAGCAGAAGCTTTTTTGCACGTTTTTTTTTTAACTTCTGAAGAGTTGTCTCCAAATTTAAACATATTTCTGTCCCTTTAAGAAGTACCTACTGAAACTGCTCATATAGGTTCATGAATGTGTTGAAGGTGGAGGAAAGGTCTTGGTTCCAACATTTGCACTTGGGAGAGCTCAGGTACTAATGCCATGAGAATGCATTAATTATGCTTCACAGATTTATTTCCTTAATCAATATATATCTTGGATAATATATCCAGCATAGAGTGATCTTTCTGTTATTCCTTTTATTCTACGTTTCTGTTGCAATACAATTTTTTGCTGAGCATTCATTAGTTGTATAAAATAATAATCTATGTGTAATCAGGAGTTGTTCATTTTGTTGGATGACTACTGGGAGCGCATGAATCTCAAGGTTCCGATATATTTCTCGTCAGGTGCGCTCTTTTGTTTAATGAAAAACATTCATCCTTGGTAATTGCTTATATTTATTCTCCAAACTTGAAATGCATCTCGAGAGCCTACTTTTTTTTGTTTGTTAGTATCATTCCAGTAAAGCATTTAATTTGGTATTTTTGCAACACATCTGGGTTTTGGTACGACCATTGCTCATGTTAAGTTTCTTATATGATTAAGTCATGAAACCAAGGCAAACATTAGCAATGAGAGTGGGATGCTTATTGGAATCATCGATTGATTGAACAAAACCATTATGCCACATCGTTTTGGGTTCGGTTTGAGTTGCATTACATGGAAAATTGAGATTTCTTTTGTTCGTATTTTGGATTCTCTAGAATCCACGTTATTTTTCAACGTCAATCTGAATTATTGAAAGTGAGAGTTTCAGTCGCTTATTGTTCTTTTGACGCTCAGCCCATCCTTCCTACTGCGTTCTGACTTACCCTTGAATAGCCTTGACGACTCGTGCATATGCGCAAAAGCTATTCATATTGCCTTTTCTTTTGCCATTCAGTGGTACGTTGTTCTAATTGAGCTATATATGTGTTTCAGGTTTGACAAAACAAGCTAATATTTACTACAAGACCTTTATGAGCTGGACCAGCCAAAAGATCAAAGATACATACGCAATGCACAATGCCTTCAATTTCAAACATGGTACTTCCAGCATTTTGCATCTTCAGTTGATCACTTCTATTGGTTTAGGAATTTTAATCCCGGTGTTTGATTTGTGTCCATTTCATGGGCAAAAGGTTGATTATTCCCCTTGCAACCTAATAGAATGCAATGACTTAGTACGATGTTTTTTTTTTTCTGGCTTAGTTGTCAGTTCTGATCGGTCAGTGATAAATACTGTTGGACCTTGTGTTCTCTTCGCCACATCTGGAATGCTCAGTGGTGGCCTTTCCCTGGAGGCTTTCAAGAAGTGGGCTCCTTTCGAGGAGAATCTCGTAACATTGCCTGGGTAACAATCTATCGTGTATATATTTTTATGAAAAATTGTGAAAAACCAATTTTTTTTATGTTTGTGTCAAGTTTCCAGCATTTCATGGTAAAAAAGAATCATCAATCCTTGTTGCACACAGGGTTAGCTGCTCGTGGCGAGTGTATGAGGCATTAGTGTACCATTTTGGCTCTTGAAATTATAGTTGATGACTGTTCCAGTTTCTGAAAGCCTCTCCGTGACATGAATGTATAAAGTTGTAGTCTTAAACTGAACCTTGAAGAGTTGTAGTTTCATATAATACCTGCCTTTTAATGAGTTATATTATCTGTCCATATTTTACAGGTACTGTGTAGCTGGAACGATAGGCCACAAGCTTGCGGCGGGTAAACGTACTAGGATCTATGTGGACAGTGATAGCCAAATAGATGTCCGTTGTAATGTATGGTACCTAGTATCCCATCTTCTGTTCTTCCAAGAAGCTGCATTTGCAGTCCTCTTGTGCAGGTTTTGAACATAAAGCTAATCCTCACCGTGTGTTTGTGTTTCCCAGATCCATCAGTTGGCTTTCAGCGCACATACTGACTCCAAAGGAATCATGGACCTTCTCAAGTTTTTGTCTCCGAAGCACGTAATGCTAGTACATGGCGAGAGGCCCAGCATGTTCCGTCTCAAAGACAAGATAAAGTCTGAAATGGGAATCGAGTGCGACGTTCCAGCGAATGGTGAAACGGTGAAGATTCCATGTGCCACCCTTCATGTGAAAGCTCGGACCTCGGATGCATTTGTCAAGAGTTGCCAGAGTTCCAATTTTAGGTTGTCAAGATGTTCCACATCATCAGGTCTAGTAGCATCAACTGATCCCTGCTCGCCTCTGCTGGTAAGTGATGATAGAGTTGGTGAAGCAGTCTTATTGTTGGATCAAAGCAAGGCGAAGGCTATGCACCAGGATGAGCTGCAGTTCCTTATGTCAGTAGAAGAAAAACCCTAGGCGGTTATGTTAACTTCATTGCTTTCCAGTTAGAAGCACTAACTTAATGCAGGTGATGCGTGTAAGTGCCGTCCCGGCTAGGACCGGCAATTTGGTCCATGACTGTTTGGTTTTATCCGAAACCAGACCGTATAACTCGAACCGGGACCGGACTGGGACCGGATAGCAAACAATCCAATCTCATATTCGGGCTTACATTTGAGGTAAAAAAACCCGGATAAAGATCGGATAAGAGACCCCAACACTCAAATCCCCACAAACTCAATCTAAAATCAAAATCAAATTGGGACCGGACCGGGTCAAGACCGGAGTGTATCCAATCCAATTTTTGATCCTTATATTCCCGAAAAGATTTAACCGGATCGGGCCGCATAGCCACCCCTAGTCCCGGCCCACAACTAAACCTTTGTGCTGGTTTCGACATTATTACTTACCAGTAACCTGCTGGAGTTTACACAACAGCAAAAACCAATGAAAAGCCAAAATTTCAAGTTTGATGAATTTATCCCCACTCTATTTATCGATCGTTGATGGGTGTCAAATCCGTGGGGTTCAAGAAACAAACATAGGAACAATTATGGGAAATTGCGGTTTAACTGGACTTATTTAGCTTTTACTTAAATTTATATTTTATACATAACAACAAATAAATTGCAATGTAATAGATGACATGTTTCTTTAATATTCGCAATGTCGCAAATGTAAATCGCAAAGACCGCCACCTATTTTTCTTTTCACCTCAACTCAAACTTTTATGATCGAAAGTCTACAATTTTATTTTCAAAAATTTAAAAGTGTGTAGATATATTTTTTGAGTACTATTAATCAAATTCAGTGCCTGCATGTCATAAGAAAATATATTTTTTGAGTGGCCAAGTTGCATCATCATATCATATCTCCTTCTGGAGTGGTTGCATGCATTATCTCAATTCTCATCTGTTGTTGCTGAGAGACGCAATTTGTGTCCCGCCTGGAGTTGGCAGCATTCATTCTATTTGAGCTTTTCCCCATGCTCGATATTATACATCATATATCTTTGTTAATTTCTACCCAAATTTCTCACCTTGCTTTCACCTCACTTCAGCTTCTGCAATGTATTAATAAATAGAAAACCCTCTTATGTGATGATCATCAATAAAGTCCCCACTTTGTATTTTTCAGGTTGTATGGCAAGATAACTCATCAGCATGGGTATTCAATCGAATGTTTAATTCAATTTGATTGGGGATATTCAATAGTTATTTTTGTGGAAGATTTTTTTTCTCAATTCAACTGAAAGGGTAATGGATTAGGTATCAAATCCACCCGAATATGTGGTACAACTATAGTTTTAAACGCACTCGATTCAACACTTCAGTCATTCATATGCTTCAATCATAATAATTATCTCTTAAAAACAAAATTGCTATTTTTTCTGACTTCTACACACAGAAAAAAAATTTCGTAACAATGTTCAAAAATGATATTGATATTCTAATAAAAATTTCACATTACATCAAAAACTTTGTATATGGTTATCAGTAGATAGTGTGGATGTATTTCCCCTAAATTGCATACGTATAGGTTTTGGTATGGCATATTACATCCCGCCTACTTTGATTACAGGGAGGATTACAATTTTAAAACTGTGATTCAATGATGTTGTATAGAAAAACGGTCTCCACTGGAACTGAAACTGGTCGTAATCCCTAGTCCTTCTCTTTGTTTTGAGTTGTTGTTACTAAGTGGTATACGATCCATAATATAATCTCACCCAACAATTCGAATTATTGGGACCAACCGGTTCTTGACATGGTATAATTTGAATGTCAATGATCTTATTTGTTAAGCACATGATATTCAATATATGGTGGCTTTCATTGATGTGTGTGTTAGGAAGTGGTATATGATCCATAATTGAAACTCTACTAATAACTCGAATCATTGAAATCAATGGTTTCTTCACGGTTATGTTTTTTTTTAAGGATTGACCATGGTTAAGTTGAACTCACGAGGAGAGAGAATTCCCAACAGCTTGAGTGCAAAACAAAGAGAAATTTGCCTAGCTTAGTGCAATTAGATTGTGCTGGATTTTTTGTTGTATAAAGAATGTAGGTAACGAGATAATGGACATCTCTCTTACTGTTTCCCACATGATCCACAGGCCACAGCTGCACGCAAAGAAATTAAATATCATACATTATATAATTATCAAAATTGCAATTCCATTATGGTATTATCTAGCTTTAGCAGTTTAGTGCTCCTTGTCCACTTATAATTTCTCCATTTTTCCTTTTCTCCAAAAGATGAAGGGATCATCTCAAGAGGCTAGATTAGTGATAATGTATGAATTATAATATCCACTACGTGTTGGGTTTGAACTTTGAAAATTGTTATGTATGTTGGGGAAATTACCAATTTTTTTAAATATCTTTATATTTCGTTTTGTCCCGCATTTATCCGGAATTATGTATGGTTAAGGTAGAAAAATCAGCACCAAAAACTTCTAACATTCCTAACATTCTTGAGTTAATCATATGACTATATGGGGGTTTGTAAATACACATGGAAATATTTTACAAAATCAATTTGTCACTGAAAATAAGAACAAAATATGTGTAAATGTTGCAGTCCTTATAATGTCTAGCAAGTTAAGAGGCATTGGCCTTCAACTTGGACAAAAAAGAAGATGAAAGTTGTTTGAGCCCAGATACTTTGGATTCCAATTCCCCACCCGCTCTATCTCTATGCAACGAGTTCTAGGCACCTAGCCTGCACACACACGCACAGAGAAAGGCGTTTGGGCTTGTTAGTCCTCTGACGATCAAGTTAGTTTGGATCTTAGAGAGAGAGGCACCAAGTTCTGGTGTTTAGTGAGAGAATCCCCAAATACTTTGGCTCTTTATAATGCCTAGCAAGTTAAGACTTAAGAGGTATTGGCCTTCAACTTGGACAAAACAGAATTTGAAATTAATGAAATGGTTGTCCTTTGATTTTGATCATTAAGAGGAGATGTAGCGACCAAGTAGTTGGCTAGTGGCTATATCTTTTCGGATGAAATGAAATCAATGTGTTTGTCTAGGATGATTGGTAGGATAATTAGTATAATTAGGGGTTCTTATTTTTTTATGGTTCATTAGTGTTATTATTTATAACAATTTGTAGCTATAATGCGGAAGGAGGAAATTATATGTTCATGTTAGTAGCTGTGGAAATTGGGGTGGGTGTGGTTACCCGCCCCACAAATATAGAACTATGTTACCCACAACCCGCCCCGCAGTGGGTAGTGGTTAACCACTACTCGCTATGGGTTGGTGCGAGTTGGTTGTGGATACCCACAAAAATTTCACATTAAATATAATAATATGGTAATTAAATAGTGATGTTGTGTTTTTTCTCAAAAAAAACAAAAACATACATAAAAGAAAGTTAATAAAAAATAAAAATAAATTATAAATATTGAATACAATAGGTTAGTTAGTGTAAATTTATAAGAGATGGATTTGGAAAGAGATTTGAAGATAACGGAGAGGCGGAGTGACTTGTTACCAGACAAACATCGTTGCATGTCACGGCTTCTCCGATGGCAACAACAACAAAATACAAAAGTGGCTCGATAAGTGAAGGCGCCCGCTTTTAATGAATCGATTATTCTCCACTCTCGATTATAATCTTGTATTGTTGGTAGCTGGTTGCATGTTTTCGTGAGTTCGTGAGAAATGGAGATGAGTTTGGGTATCAGACTAACCTTTATCGATTATTCCCCTCTTTTAACGAATCGATTAATTTATCTGATTATATCTATTGACTTGGTTTTGTTATAAAATAAACATATATCATACAGACAATGCTTATTTGATAAAAGTATCTCACATGAATATTGTGTATTCACTTGGTTTTGTTTTATAGAATAAGTGCGTAATTGATTTTGGTAGCTACTTTAATTCTTAGTTTTGCAAGTTTCACAAACTAATATAACTAATGTGGTTAATGTGGGTTACAAAGTGTTTTGAAGAAATAAATATAACTAATGTGGGTTTTGTGGGTAAACCGCTGTGGGTAGTGGTTAACCACTAACCACAAAAATCAATATTTTGCTACCACACCCAATCCACTATCCACAAATTGTGGGTATGGGTATCCACAAAGTGTGCGATTTGTGGGTTACCCGCAACCCGCAAACCAAACTTCCACCCCTACATGTTAGGATAATAGAGCCGATTGTTAGTGCTAATGGGATGGGCAGGCCATGGCCCATGGCACAAAGGGGGAGAGGTTGCAATTTGGACATTTATTTTTATTTAAATAATGCAAATTTGGTAGAAGATTAGAAATATACTCTTATTTTAAAAAATCTCCCTTTTTCCATTGGTTGTTAACTACAAAATTCGAATCTATAATGTAGCGTATGTTGTAATCTCACATTACCACTAGACCAATTCATTGGACTTTTTTTATATCTTCTCCTTATTCTCTAAAATTATTCTTCTCTTTATGTTTTTCTCCTCTTAAACTCTTGTTGCGTTATTATTAAACTCATTCTCATTATGTTCAATTCTTCATGTTTATCTATCTATCTATCTATCAAATCTCATATGTCGGTAAGGATCATGCAACACATTGGTATTAGACCAAGATTAAAGGTTACTCGAGCAGTAGCGCGCATCTCGACTTGATGAATAGACAATCTCGCAAGAGCAATGACTAGTTACGACACAACACCAAACTGCAACCAAGTGCAATCACATAATGGAAATGCAGAATAGTGGTTTATTTTCAATATCGACCCGAGCTCTAGATCTACTGCCTACTCCGTGAACTTCTATCATCTAGCAGGACTAAGTGAGTGAAGTGCTTTCAAAACTAAAGAAATGAAAAGCAAGTAATGTTCGGGTTCTCTTCAGGTGCTAAAGGTCATCCCGGTATGGTTCCCCCTAGTGTCCAGCTAGTTCAGGTTATACGTTCCCAATTTACTGAGATTGATAGATAAACCACGGAAATTATTTACTCAGATTGATAGATAAACCACGGAAAGTTCTTTACTGGTCTGGACTCTTGACTAAAGTTATCCAGACCATCTCGGTTCGAATACCCGACGGGCGACTAATCTCCACCGGCATACACTAATCGAGGTTAATCACACGAAACTTCCTCTACTGGCGCTTGTTCCAGTAGGGAGTAGTGAATCGACTTCTCGACTAAAGTAGTTGATTCACAATTTTCAATTCAAGGTTTCTCTTTTAACCTATGCAGAGAATATCGTTCTAGGTTAAAGAAGGAATTACACAGGTTTGATCTGGACTCATGCAATTCTGATTAATTCCTCAATTGAATTTATCAAATCAATCATTCGCAAAATGGGGTTCATACAATCATTCCTAACATACACAGCTAGGGTTCTTCATACCTAGATAAAATGGAAAACTACTACATGGAGAGATGTGAGAACGTCATGCTCGAAGAAGACATCATCAAAAAGACAATGGGAATCTGCTCCTGGCGGCTAGTCGGTACTCCGAGGTTGAGGAATCGAGCTCCGAAGTCTTTAGATCGCTCCAATCCTTGCCCAAGGGGTTTTCTTCGTCACTCTCTCTCTAGGGTCTTTTTTAACCTTTTTAACTCAAGAAATCCGGATCCCTTGCCTTTTTCCCGAGCACCCCTTAAATAGGCCGAGATTCCGCTAGTTACAGCCTAAATTACAGCCGTAACTTGGCTTGCCCGTCCGTAACTCTCCAGAAAATGGCGTCGTTTCAGCGCTCCGTAAACCAAGAGTTACGGTTTCTTTGAAGGAGTTACAACCTCGACCTTAACTTGAGAAGGGAGGCCGTAACTTGAAGAATGTCGTCTGATTCTTTGGCTTCCACTACCTCAGAGTTACGGGCAAGGGGAGGAGGTTACAAACCATATCGTAACTTGAAGGGTCTAGCCGTAACCTTCATATATCTCTTGGAATCCTATCCTTTCCTTGGGAAGTTACGGGCCATCAGGGAAAGTTAACGGCCAGACCGTAAATTTGAGGGTCTGGCCGTAACTCTCAACTGCCTGTTGCCCGTTTCTTTCCAAAACGTCGCGAACCTCGCTCCTTCGCTCTCGTTCACGCACTAAGATCTGAAACATCATAAATCGACACACCCAAGCGTAAAACAGGCCTCGAGGGCGATAAACCAAACTCAAACAGTCAAGAAATGACGATAAAAACATGTTCAAATACAACGTTATCAAGCAACATGGTCATAGGTTCCATATGGAGCTAGAGTAATCCGACTAACCTCGCAGGAGCTATTAGGGTGATGGGTAAATGGATTATGCTACACTTGTGATGAGCGCTACACAATTCTAACATAAACAACATTATCTTAATGATGCGTAAGGATAACAAGATGGATGTGACTGTACTCACAGTGAGTTACAAGATTTATTTGGGGAAGTTAAGTTATTACCATATTTCTTCCTAAGAAAATTCTACAACCAATTGACATCTTAATTGTTTACCTAATGACACCATAATATATAGAATCTTGTTAACTATTCATGTGAATGTTGCTACTACAGATAAAATCTTGTTAACTAAATTGAAGTTGTTGAAGTACTAGTTGCGGTCTACAATGATACAAGAAAATTTTATGGAGTATCTATAGTGGCGAATGAGAATGGTCTCGAAGAGAATACGAAAATGGAAGAGTTGATAGTTAATTTTGTTTCGAACAATGCTAAAAGAATTTAAAATTTTAAAAATACTAAGTTACATTTTAATTTTGAAATAGGACCTTCATGCCAAAAAATCTAATCAAAATATATTCAATCTCTTTGATTCAATCCAAATATCTATTCGATGCAATTCACTAGATGTGAATTTGAACGTTGTCCACCCCAACATAATATTACCACTTATTATTAACTTTCATAACAAATAGCTAATATAAATGTTTGATAATTTGCTACTCACATATTATGGGAAGGAATTTGCAGGCATAGTTAATAAAATATGGTACGGAAAAGTTATGTATAAAATACGAACGAGTATTTTACTTCACCTTTAAACTAATATTACGTTTAATAGTATGCTAATAGCCATAAATATTTTAAAAAATAACTAAATATACAAATAATAGTAACTTTATTAATTTAATTCATTAAATACGGATATTAAACGTGTTATACGGGTTTATACATGTTTAGTACGAGAGCCATCAAAACAATAAAAAAACATAAAACAATTTAATAATCATACAGATATGAAAATTATAAACGAATAAAATATATACGGGTACAAATACATGTATTAAATGGAGTATTTACTAACCATGATAACATACTAGGTTGTTGGTTGATTTTGTTTTGGAAAGGAAATAGCCCCTCAATTAGGGCCATGAATAGTGCGGCACCATATGGGATTGAAAACTTGTGCCATAATTGACGGAAAGCTCTGGTTCAGGAAAAAAGTCGTAAAGTTCCAAGGCTCGTCCCAAAACAAGTAAAAGTTGAGGAGCCCATTTGAGAAAAGTAAAAAAAATTAGGGAGTTAGAAAAATTAGAATGAGATGGGCGGAGCGCGTGGGAGGAAGAAAAAAGAAATGAAGTGGAGAGAGAGATCTTTGACGAAAGTTACGTTGGGAACCCCAGCCGCTTTCTGTGGCCGAGATGATAATTAATTAATTAATTAAAAGGATAAAAAAAAAAGGAAAAAGCAAACACACATGAAATATCCGTCCGGCTCGTCAGTCAAAAAGACGATCGCCCCAAAGGGTAATAGCCGTTACACCGTTGGTGATACGTGTACACAGATGACTGCATCATCTCATCCCCACTCACCACACGGGTTTTTCATTTTAGGAAGGGTAATAGGGTCAAATTGGATAAATATAATTTGTTAAAAAAAAAATCAACAAACAACAAAAATGTAGGAAAGTCACATGATTAATAATATCAATTTATTTGAGAGATTGAGCTTTCTTACATAAGATATACCGGAGTCAAGATGTAATGAAACATCGTAATATAAGCATGTATTGATACAATAGAGACATTTTAACAATTAGATGTGGCAAATGGATTGAATTAATGGGTTGGTGGATTGGATTAGTGGATCCATAGATCAAATGGATTTGTGGATTCATGGATTGGATCCAATGAATTGGTGGATTGATCCATGAATCCAAATCAAATCCGAGTTTTGGACCAAAATGTAAATTTTGAAAAGTTTAGGTATTAAAATATCATAATAATAAAAAATAGGTACCAAAATGTAATTTTCTAATGATATTTTTCATATAAAAAATAAATTTCAGGTACCAGAATGTAAAATTTAAAAAATATAGGTACCAAATCATAATTTGCCATTTGGATTAATGGATTGGATTTAAATGGATTGCATTAGGTGGATAATTTGGTGGATGGATTGGATTGGCTTCATGGATTTGGATCCTAATTGCCACCTCTATTAACAATACATTGTTTGGTTGTTCATATTCTACTTTATGTATTGATTTACATAAAATTACTTTTATGAGGAAATGTCATATTTACCTTCAACTTTTAGTATAAGACAAAAATTATTACGGATATAAATGAAAAGAAACAAATCTAAAAGCAACAATCACAACAATCTCAACTAAAAAGTTGAGATTGTATAATCCATCATTTTTTGTGATTGTTGGTGGGACCTACCTAAAATAATGCATGCATTGTTTTATATTTTGGCACTTTCAAACATTGTATTGTGGACAATACATGTATTCAACAAACACAACTTCCAAACGACCCCTAAGTTCAACAATCGAAAATAAAGGGGGCTGAGATGACGTTGTTTGTTGTTGGTGCACGATCAGTGGCGGATACAGGGGGTGGCCACCCCGGGCCCCGCCCCGGCCCTCCTCTGGATCCGTAGTTAGTATAGTCCTTATGAATTTTTCGATTTTAGGCATTCGGCTTAGTGTGATTTTATAATAAAATTGGGTATAACTAAAAAAATGATTCAGATGACCATATTCAAATCACTACTCTAATTAGCCTTTAAATTTTAGCCCCAAAGATTATGCGTATAAAAAAAAAACAATGAAACCTTAAGGGCATGTTTGGAGGATGCGATTCATACAATTGATGTATTCTATCAATTAGTGTATTGTAAATATATGCATTCTATCAATTGTTGTATTTGATAAATCTCTTGTTTGGTGTTGTATATTGTACTTTTCACATAACCTAAAAATAGTACACTTTTCAAATTGATGGGCATAATTGCCCTTCACCAACTCCTCCTTCCTTTATATCCACAATCATTTGTTTACAATCTCTCATTAAAGGAGAGATTGTAAATCATCCATTATGAAGGATTGTGAGTGGGCCCCCCAAAAAGGTAATGCATGTATTTCAGCTCAAATTAAACAAAAAAAACGACTTAATCTCCTCAATGCATGTATTGGCTAAATCATTCATCTAAAAGTTTAAAACGTAAACGACTAAAAGAAATATGAGGTGTTGTTCTCTTGAAAACTTACTAGAGCAGTTGGTGATGCAGGGATTGACACACAATGCCAATTGATTAGTCGATTGATTTGTTTAGTGTTGATGCTGCTCGTTTCAACAGCTACTACGAAGAGAACCTTTTCAACAATGAAACATGTGAGAACTGATTTGCTCAACAAAATGAGCGATGAATTTCTCGACGATTGCTCAAGTATTTTATTTGAAACAGTGTATACTATTGGTATGGATGTAGGCTCCATTATTGATGCATCACTAAATTAAAATACCGTCGTGTACAATTTACATTAGAAAAAAACTATAATCATTATACTATTTTACTATTCAATTTTCTAATGAAACTCGGCCCAGTGCTCTTTTGTGTTCTGGATCCGCCGCTATGCACGTTCACGCTCAAGTTGGCATTAATAATATCATTGATTATTATCAACTTTCTTTTACCTCACATTAGTTCCTCTTTGCCTGTTATTAGATACTATATTAGAGAATTCATAAAGCATAAATAGTTTTTTTCCCTAGTGGCATGTTCAAGGTTGAATGAATTTTTTCAAGATTGAAAAAGTTGAATGATCAATGAGTAAAATGACCAAGTTTTGAGGTTCATTTATAGAAACACAAAAAGTCTGCAATATATATGTCTCAAAGCTAAATAAGCAGTTGATGACACACCTTATTATGATTAAAAATAAATGAACAATTGATGACATAATTTATTATAATTAAAGTTAAATGAACAGTTGATAACACAACTCGTTCTGATAAATATGTGTTGAGCAGATGTATTCTTAATAAATTATTGTGTGTTTCATCATTGAATAAGCATTTTCTCATTAGTTTTGTCCAAATTTAAAAAATTGCATCAAAATATTCTTCTTAATTAATTCATATTATTTATATAAAAAATTTAAGTGAACTATCTAAATAAGACGGTGAATTCTACGGTAAACAATATTGCGTAAAAAACTTTAGTTGGAGGATTTAACACTTGGCTCTCTTCCCTTTTGGAGTAAAAAAAAATACAAATTTAACATTCACTTTACCACTTTGCCATTGAGAAGGTCTAAAAGGGCAAAGGGAATTGTGGGATCACTAGTTGCAATTTGCAATTGAATTTCGAAGTTCTGTTTCAGTTGAGAATGGCAAAAGCGTAATTGGGCCAAGTTTCAACTCCATTTTGCCAAGCCAGTGTTATAAATCCGGACAACGGTCTTCTGCCCTTTCCTCCACAAAACCCCACTCTGACAGTCGCAGCAACAAGCGACTGTGGTTGTTGTCCTTTCTTCCTTTTTTTACAGTTTCTCACATCTTGAATCTAAAAAATTACTTCCCAAATCCAGGAAGAAGAAGAAGCAGCAGTAGTAATCCCTCTCTCAACAATGGCCTCCGCGGCCCGCATTTCCCTCTTCACACTCTTCTTCCTCTACACTCTCACCACCGCCATAGCCAACAAGCAGACTTACATCGTCCACATCAAACCCAACTCCAAGCCCCAATCCTTCGCCACACACCAAGACTGGTACTCCTCCTCTCTCGCCGCCGACGACTCCCTCCTCTACACCTACGACGCCGCATTACACGGATTCGCCGCCTCCCTCGACCCCGAGCAGGCCGACGCGCTCCGGAACTCCGATTACGTCGTCGATGTCTACGAGGAGACCGTCTACACCCTCCACACCACCCGCACCCCTCAGTTCCTCGGCCTCAATAACGACTTCGACCTGTTCGACGGCAACCACCGGCCTCTCGACGTCGACCAGGCCTCCTTCGACGTCGTCGTCGGCGTCCTCGACACCGGAGTCTGGCCGGAGTCCAAGAGCTACGACGACTCAGGGATGCCCGAGATCCCGGCCCGATGGAAAGGGGAGTGCGAATCGGGACCCGATTTCAGCCCCAAACTCTGCAACAAGAAGCTGATTGGCGCCCGTTACTTCTCCAAGGGCTACCACATGGCCGCCGGGGGAAGCTTCGGGAAGCAGCCTACTAAAAAGGAGGAAGAATCGCCCCGGGACAGTGACGGCCACGGCACCCACACCTCCAGCACCGCCGCGGGATCTATGGTGGCCAACGCTAGTCTTCTAGGGTACGCCAGCGGCAACGCGCGTGGGATGGCCACGCACGCGCGCGTCGCGGCTTACAAGGTGTGCTGGAGCACCGGCTGCTTCGGATCGGACATCCTCGCCGGGATGGATCGCGCGATTCACGACGGCGTCGACGTGCTGTCGCTCTCCCTCGGCGGCGGATCGGGGCCGTACTACCGCGACACCATTGCGATTGGGGCGTTCAGCGCGATGGAGAGGGGCATTTTGGTCTCCTGCTCTGCCGGTAACAGCGGGCCCACAAGGGCCAGCCTGGCGAACGTGGCGCCGTGGATCTTGACGGTCGGGGCCGGTACTCTCGACCGGGACTTCCCGGCTTTTGCCGCTCTGGGCAACGGGAAGCGGTTCACCGGGGTGTCGCTTTACAGCGGGGCCGGGATGGGTAAGAAACCGGTCGGTTTGGTTTACAGCAAAGGAACCAACAGTTCGAGCAATCTGTGCCTGCCCGGTTCGCTCCAACCGGAATTGGTCAAGGGCAAAGTGGTCCTTTGCGACAGGGGAATCAACCCGCGCGTGGAGAAAGGCGCAGTCGTGCGCGAGGCCGGCGGCATCGGTATGATCATGGCGAACACCGCGGCCAGCGGCGAGGAATTGGTCGCCGACAGCCACCTGCTGCCGGCGGTGGCCGTTGGGAGGAAATTGGGCGACGTGATCAGGCTGTACGCCAAGAGCGATCCGAACCCGACCGCGGTGTTGAGCTTCGGCGGGACGCAGCTGAACGTGAGGCCGTCGCCGGTCGTGGCGGCGTTCAGCTCCCGCGGCCCGAACATGGTAACGGCGCAGATCTTGAAGCCGGATCTGATCGGGCCGGGAGTCAACATCTTAGCGGCATGGTCGGAGGCGATTGGGCCCACTGGGCTCGAGAAGGACTCTAGAAAGACGCAATTCAACATCATGTCAGGTACGCAATTCAAAATCAGTACATTTTCCCAAACGGTCTTTTAACTTTACTGGAATTGCTCAAAACTTGACCATGATGCTTGTTGCTTGCTGACATCGTTGAATTGTGCGTCTGTAAGACGATTCATTACTGTTGGATGCACACGCAATAATTACTTACTAAAGTTCACTAACTGCATCTAACAGTTACGAATTGCATAATGTTCGATCCAACGATATAAGCATAGCATTAGCACGCTAAATAGAAACACTACTACTACTAACTAACACTAGTACTTTTATTCAGTAATAGCCGTGACACAGAGTCATATTTGAGAATTCAGTTAATGAAAGTAGGTGGAGTTGATAGATTAATAGTTGTAAATTACAAGTTGGCAGTTCATTTATTTGTATGCCAATCTTGATCTGAGTTAGCTTTAGCAAGCCAGCCAACTGTCTTATTGTTCCTCCTTTATTGGGATAAATGGAAGACAACAGTTAATGGGCTTTGATTGATTGATTGATTGAGAGAGCTTTGGAGAGTATAGTGGAATGGAAGAAGAGTCGATAAAGAGAGTAGGTAGCGCCCACAGTTAAAGGAGAGAATTCCGCTTGTCTTCTCTCTTTTTTGGCCCTACCCTGCTGCTCTATTTCCTTCTTATTATTCTAAAGGTGGTTTCTTTCTACCAATGGCGTCCTGTCCTCCTTGCTTTCACATTGAATCATTAGTTTGGACTGTGCTTGCTTGCTTGCCAGGCCACTTTGGCCTTTCTGTAGGGCTCTAGTGCCCTTACAATGATGAAGAATCAACAATTCTCAACACCCTTTTAACCGCCCCATGTGGGTTTCACTTTCACTGCAAAATTGTGGGTCTGCTGCTGCGCATGCTTTGAAAGGGTTAAAAAGATCAGAGATTTTAACGTTGATTTTCTTCTGTTCACAGGTACATCAATGTCCTGCCCGCATCTCAGTGGCGTGGCTGCGCTGCTGAAAGCTGCTCACCCGACCTGGAGCCCGAGCGCGATCAAGTCGGCACTCATGACAACCTCCTACGTTGTTGACAACACCAACGCCCCTCTCAAGGACGCCGCCGACGGTTCCTTCTCGACTCCCTGGGCTCACGGGTCAGGCCACGTCGATCCACACAAGGCCCTATCTCCGGGCCTCGTGTACGACATCTCCACGGACGAGTACATCGCGTTCCTGTGCTCCCTCGGCTACACCCTCGACCGCGTCCAGGCAGTCGTGAAGCGCCCCAACGTCACCTGCGCAACCAAGTTCAAGGACCCCGGGAGCCTCAACTACCCGTCTTTCTCCGTCGTGTTCGCCCGCACCAGGGTCATCAGGTACACTCGTGTGCTCACCAATGTGGGTGCCGCGGGGTCCTCGTACGAGGTCGAGGTAACCACGCCTCGATCCGTGACCGCGACGGTGAAGCCGACCAAGCTCGTTTTCAAGAATGTTGGGGACAAGTTGAGGTACACTGTGACTTTTGTGTCCAAGAGCAGGGGAGGGAACGCTATGTCTGACTTCGGTTCGATAGTGTGGAGGAATGAGCTGCATCATGTGAGGAGCCCAGTTGCGTTTTCGTGGTCCGAGTTATAAGGGCCTCTCAGAACTGTCCGTTCGGCCCATAGTTGAGCTTTTGCTTTTTTTACATTGTGTTAGGTCCAATGGGGGATTTGTTTGTTGGGCCGGAGCGCTCGAAGAAAAAGAGGCTGGGCTGGGCTTTCGTTAGATGTTCGGGGTTAGTGGGGGAAGTTTAATGTTGTCCGTGTGTTTGCTTGTGCAATAGAATGTGTCATCCAAAAGTGCTAAAGATGGCTCTTCTTTCCTCTGGACTAAATATGATAGAAAAATTGTTCTTGGCAATCAGACGATTTTAATCTAATTTCTCCAAAGAAAACCCCCCCTAATTTGAGATTGTTTCTCAATACAACGGATTTTTTTTTGTTGACTCGGCAAGACTTAGAGGTTCACACCGGCTGACATTTAGCAATATCGCGGTTCACATCAACGTTGTAGGGTAACAACAAAGTCGCTTTAGTGTATAAAAGTTCGAATTTATCCATATTTAGCACTATATTGTCTGTAGAGTGTTGCTAGAAAGCTTGATAGCTCTTGAGAACAAGGAGTTTGTACAGTGATAATATCATATCAATGGTATTAAACATGGAGCTTACATTTTCAGATATCTTAGATAACACCTAACTAAAAAGCCAAACATATATCACTCTTATGAAAAAATATATTATATTGCGAATTAAATAACTGCGAAGATAGGTTATTTTGATTTTTTAAATCCATTTATTGTTTAAGGAGATCCATAACCATGAGGTGTATAGATAAATGTTAGGTTGTTATCTTTTTGGTACTGATGTAACTCCAGACTCCAGTTTTGGGAAAAAATCCAAAAATACACGCATTATTAAAAAAAATCCCAAAATACATACGTTATAAAAAATATTCTCAATCTACACATGTTTGGGCTTCACCGCGGTTGTCAACCGCAGTGAATAACATCACCGCGACCGTCAGCCGCGATGAATGCTTCACCGCCAATGTCCGAAGCGGTGTCAATTCACCGCTGGTGTCCCAAACGGTGATGGACTAATTTGGGTATTGGCCAAAAGTCCATGGCTGGAGTTGCTGTTGCGTTGGCACTTGACTGAAATGGAGGGAAAAAATCCTAGTACTTTTGGGTGCTTGATCGCCATCGCACCCAGCGTCGACCACAACCGTGTCGGATGCTTGAAATCCTTCGCCGGCTCAGGCACCGCCGGCCCCGGAGAAACTCCAGCGCCCTCGACCGCACGTCCACGCTCCGCCACGATCTCCGATGCTCCGTTGGTGGGAGGACCAGGAGGAGCAGTTCTTCTTCTTCTTGTTCTTATTCCGGTTGCGGTTGGCGTGGTCGCCGCCGCCGCCGCAGCTTCATGATGTGTCGTCGAGCAGAGATGTGGTGGTTCATAATCAACAACCCAGAACCACTAATTATATACCTCTTGCCAAAACAAAACAGAGGTCCATCAGCTGCAACCATTGGAGTTTACAGCTCCCCCCTCCAAGAACTCGCCCCTACAACAGGGAACTCGAACCAGAACCATAAGAAGAGGAAGCCACCCAAATTAGGACATCACCGCTTGGGACACCGGCGGTGAATGGACAGGGTGATATTCACCGTTTCGGACAGTGGCGGTGAAGTATTCATTGCGGTTGACCGCCGCGGTGATGTTATTCACTGCGGTTGACGACCGCGGTGAAGCCCAAACATGTGTAGATTGGGAATATTTTTTATAACGTATGTATTTTGAGAATTTTTTTTAATATCGTGTGTATTTTTGGATTTTTTCCCCAGTTTTGTATGGGATATGCCTAGCTAGAAAGGATGTTTCCAGCACTTTTTTTTTTACAACATCACCTTTTTCTTTTGGTGAAATGGAAAAGAGTCTAATTCATTAAAAAAAAAAAGAGATCCATAATCATGAGTAATTTGAGGAAACTGATACACAACTCATACTCTTGAAATCTACAAATTCCCAAACAATTATGCATGAGTAATTTTTACTCTATATGTTGTTTTTTTATGTAAACATGGGAGATATCGACTTCCTATTATCTATCAAGTAGGTTTGTCAAAACTCTTATTGATGTGTGTACATAGGGAATAAGCCAAATAAGAGTTCAAAGACAACATAAAATGCACAACAAGAGTTTACCTAACTATACTCTCTAGTGTCCACAATCCCCAAATTAACTGGGATTTGTTGTTTGTTGGATTTGAATAATTAGGATTTTGGGTAATAAAATAATCTTAGAATTTATGATGAATTTATTGAATTACGGATTTGAAGAGTTAATTTCTTGCATGATAGATTTTATTATATATTTCTGATGAATTTATTACATATATAAATAACCATTAATGATTTGATTCGTGGATCCCACAAATTAGACACCCATCAACAAACAACGAACGTATATTAAATTTATCAAATTTGAAATTTGATTAATCCAAATTGAACAAGCAAACGACCCGTAAAACTTCTCGGCCATGCCTCTCAACTCCCCTCTGATGACAGACCAAACAAAAGGTTCATAGCAATTACGGCTAGGAACACTCTCCGCAATCTCAGAAGAGCAAGCTCATACAATAGCTTTTCATTGTTGATGTCATCTATTAAAATATGCTTTAAATTTTTGTTTGGACTTTGTTTTTAGTTCTGTTAGGGTTTGTTTATAAATTTTTTTTCCTTTTTAGATTTGAGAAAAGTGTTCAGTTTTAGGAAAAGAGTTCTATAAATACTTATTATTCCATCATTTGTAGTTAGGTCACCCAGGTTAATTGTTTGGTTTTTTGGTTCCAGAATTCGTTGGTAACCTGTACTCTCTTCAAATCGGTGAAATTTGTTCTTCCATGCCAGTAAATTAGCTAGCAGACATTGTGTTAATGAATCATATTAAATTTGTGTTTGTTTGAGTTGATCTGAATTATCGATTGCACATTTCCGTAATGACGTCATCCCTTACAACGTCTTTCCATGCTAGAAATATAAGATATGTCTCTCTACTATGCATTTTATCGAATATGTTATTCTACTATTTTTTACATATGTATTTTAGAAATATTATCCAACATGTCTTTTTGTTAAAATTTCCATCCAAAAATCGTCAACCATAGTTGAATTGTGGTTCAGATGACCTGACCTCGACAAAATGAAAGGGTAATGTCATTTTTGCCTCTCCATTTATTTCTATATGTCTCGTTAAAGTGAAATCATTAGGGGTGTTGAGCTATGCAAATGAAACCAAAAAATGTTAAAGTGGAATTATTAGGATTTCTTTAGACATTTGTGTCACCCAAACCATAGTTCGATAGTGGTTAACACCTTGACGGTTCGATAGTGGCTTATTGAGCAGTTGCAGCTCGCGTTTATGCACTTATCGCACCGAATCCGGATCGATTTGGTTCGACACAATGATTGGACCGCGGGTTAACAATCATGATGATGATTATACCTTACCAAGATTTATTATTGATACTTAACTATCATTAATTATTTGAAACGACTAAATCTGGGTCGTACTCATAGCCCATTTTAGAGCTTCAAAGAATATAACAAAGTAAGAAAGGGTTCATATGTAAATATAGAACATCAAAGCCAAAAGCTAAATAGTTATCCATCAACGGCATTTTTATGAATAGCATGAGTCCTTTTCACTTCTGAAGTTTACCTGATTTACTGAATCAGGGCAGATCCAGCCACATCCCATCTAACAGACGACTTCCAGGCGAGAGAGAGAGTGGCCGAGGCCCTCTACTGCAGGGCACAGGACCAATAATTCCTGCGGTGCAAAAGTCAGTCTGTCAGATGAAATTTTGAAAAATGCTTCGAGGATGGGTTGGGGATGCAGGCAGAGAGGAGAGATTACCACCCAAGTTGTATTTGTACTATATAATAATCATGGTTTTTTTTTTTAATATTATACGAGATAAGTTAGCGAAATGGTTTTATTACTATGATTTAGCGGCACAAAGTCGATCTGTACGAAGTTTTCATAATACTTGGATACCACCCCCGACCGACCTAATTAGTCATAAATAGTTCTTGTTATAAATCGGTCTCAATAACTTGAGTTGTGGAGAGATGTCTGCGTATAGATATTACCAACTTGCTACATGGCCCCTCAAACGAAAGTCAACTCATCATAAGGTTGAAATTTGTATATGTCCATCGTCTTGCCATGTGCTTTAAGACAACGATGTATATTGCAGGTAGTGGTGGCAATTCGGTTATAACCACCCTCCATACCGAAAACCGACCAAAATAGGCTTCGGTTTCTCGGTTATCGGTTAACCGAACCACTTTTAAGACCAAAAACCATTGCATCTAGCTTCCGATAACCGACCGAAGTTCGATTATTTCAATTACCGGTTAGTGGATAACCGGCCGGTTAACCGGTAACCGAACGACCACCCCTAATTGCATGTCACGAGGACATGAGCACGTAACTTTTAGGACAAATCAGTTATGATATCATGTAATAAGCTGATTGGTATGAATAGTTTGAATTGTTGAAAGAGATGTATGTACGAATTTTAACCATTTTTTTTGTTTTGTTTACAATTCTATATACTAGCCTGCCAGTTGGTACGATGAGGTAAGTATGATCATTCCATATGACAATAGTAGAGACACATGCATACTGAGAGAAGAAGGCAGACGCTGCCTGCCTGCCTTACTGGAGCAATGGGGCCAATGTTTTGTCAAAACAATAAACAATAAGACAGCTCCCGGATGGTAGTTTCTGAGTTTCTGCAGCAGGAGGAGATGGAGGTGTTGTGGGATCAGTGACCACAGCGTCTCTAGATAGAGCACTAGAGTTATTATTATTTCAATTATTTTGCACCAATAATGACTTCTCAGTTCTCTCTTCCCCTCTGTTTCCTCCAATGATATCTTCCTTTCTCTCCAATGTTGGTGTTAAACCTGCATCTCCCATGAAAAGTACTACTTCGTGGTGCATTCACTGCCAATGTTGAGAGTCACCACAGTTACTCGACCAAGGTTAACCATGGCCGGCAGTTAAAATTCACAATGTCACGTTTACAACGAATCACGATCACTTTTCATCTACTGAAATGTCTTTAAACTACATTCATCATTTATGCTATAAAGCAAAATCTTTTTCGATATACACAACTAAACAAGCATTCATAAATTGTTCACTCAACCGATTTCGAAGATCGTTCTTGATTATCTCCATAGCTGGAATTGCTCTCTCGCAGCTTGCAATTGCAGCAGATAATGTCAACACCAACTTCAAGAGCAAGTAAACTAAAGGATGATAAATATCCTTTCCCTTTTCCACCATTTTCCTAGCTAGCTAGCTCATCGATTTCTCGCAATCCATCAAAGCTCCTTTTTTTTTCCTTTACTTTAGATGAATAAATTTTTTATGTTGATTATTGTTAATTACTACTTAAGATGAATAAATTTATAACAATAAAATTCTTATAATTATTAGAGGTGTGCCGAAAGTCTCGGGTTAAATTTTTTTTTACCAAAAAAATAATAGCTCCTTCATAAAATTTTCGGGCGAAGGTGTGTCGAACAACACACCTCGCCAAGTTTTAGGTCCGCCCTTGACTGGAAACTCAAACAACTCACACATTCGCTATTATCAAGATGGTTCGGTGGTCCATCATTTTATTTTTTATACAAAATTGTCCACTAGTATATTAAATTGTCAGTGAAGTTTAATCATTTGAATGAATCATTTGGTATCAAATGGCAAGTTTGCTGACAAAAAATTGCATGAGTCATTTGACTTGTAAAAAAATCCAAAATGACTCTATTGAGTATTGAGTCATTTCCAAATGCCTCGTATATGTGAATCATTCCAAATAAGTCATTATTTTAGCTCAATCTTTCCAATTATGTCATTGCCATTTTTTTTCCATAAACCCACTTTTATCATTGTCTTTCTATTACTTATCCCCCTATCATTCTTTCGTCTATCACAAAAAATAAAAAAATCTTAACCAAATTTCACAAGTGGCAAGAAGGACCATCCATCTTATCGTGTCCAGTATTTTCTAGTGACTCTTCTCCTCGTGTCGTCGGCGTTTCCGTCTTCAAGAATGAATCGTAATTAGCCTGAATGTGAGACTTTTGGAGCCATTACCTTTTACAAAGAAATTTAACATAAAAAAGTTTTTTAAAATTACAAAGTATTATACATGACTCGTAATCATATGTATTGTTGGTTGTAAAATGATTTTTTTACGTGATTGGTTTTATGAAGATAGAAAACAAGATATGAATATTAAATGTAAGGGGAAAATGGTAACATTATACAAATGACCCGTTTAAGAATGACTCATCTAAAAATTGTTAAACAAACAATACGTTTGCCAATGTGTACATTTGAGCAAAAGACTCATTTTGTAAATGACTCGTATAAAAAATAAATTTTAGGTACCAAATTTTAAAATATTAAAATTATAGGTAATAAATCAGAATTTATCATTTGGATCCATGGATCAATCAATGAATCCACCAATCGAATTGGATTTGGATAAAATAGATTGGATTTAAATGGATTGCATTAGTTGGATATTAAAGTGGATGGATTGTATTGGTGGATTGGATTGAGAATTGCAACCTCTACTGCCTAGTGCAACCGCTGCATGTAGCTCACCACTGCCTTTTTTATGCGTAAATACAAGTTATTAGCCAAACTTTTCAAATTATTAGCCAAACTTTTCGGAATACAAAATATTAGTAAAATGTTAACTTCCGTTAGCATTTTGGTTAGTATATTGACTTGGCAACATGATAAAGATTTAGAAGAGACACATAAAGGTCAACATTCTAAAATTTTAGTATTTTAACTAAGAAATGAGTTACAAAATTACTAAGGATAACAGATAAATGACTTATATTTTATATTTTGATACTTTAAAAAAATTTGACTAAAATTTTGTTAATTAATTTAATTGAAAAGTTTGAAAATTTTCACTATTTATTTTTTCATTGAACACTTTTTTTTCTAGTGGCAGACCCACCTCATTTTTTACCTACTGCCAAATCAGGACAGTTTTTCCCCTTTTGCCTCCTATTTGCCATTTTATCCTTGGTAATATGTGTGAGTTGAAGGGATTTGGTTGGCCAAAAGACTTTTATGACCTTTTAGACTGTGGACTCTGGACAACCTTAAGAGTGATTCCAACGGTTGGATGGGTGAACGTGTTCATCAATGCAAAAATAGATTACATTGATGCCTAAATTTGGTATTCAAGTATTAAAATAAGCGAAGACGAAGGATTTCTCTCTCGTCTAGCGAGAGTTTCGGAGCTAGGGTTCCGATGGTCGTCTTAGGTTTTCTTTCAATCCGGTGGGATTGACGGCACTCTTGCATCATAGTAATTATCTTGAGCTCTCTCTATAAGTGTAGAACCTTTTCCTGCCTCCTGCAGTAAAGGATCTTGAGGGAGAGTTTCCTAGGGGTTAAGCTAAACCTTCTGGGGTCTCGTTTTCTTTTCTTTTCGGCTTTGAAACCCTAGCCTGCCTCAAGGGGCTTAGGGTAAGGGTGTGATTTGTTTTACTTTTGATAGTTCTTTTTCTTTTCCTGGGATGAGCGATGGAAAAAGTAAACCCTAGTCCTGATAACCCTGCCTACGCACCAGAAGGGGAGAGTAGTGCAACAAAAGAAATCACAACCGATACACACGGACATGAAAGTTTGGCAAGGATCCTTCAAGATAAGATACAACAGATTAAGCTCTCAGCTCTTGTTCACGGGATAAGTCTTTTAGGACTGAATGGCAGAATCGTCTCTCCCAAGAAACCGAACCTGAAATCAATGAAAATAACATGGTCAAAGGCGTGGAATCTGCAGCAGAATTTTTAAATATCAGAATCGGGGGACCAACTCTATGGTTTCCAGTTCATGAACAGAAGCGATCGCGATAAAGTCCTACATGGAGGACCCTGGCATTTTGAGAATAGTCTGATTGTTTTTAAACAAGCTGAGCCTTTTCAACAGCCAAAAGCAGAGGAGTTCCATACAATGGAGATTTGGATGCAGATTTACAATTTACCAGCAGCCTTGCGCACTAATGAGATGATCCAAAAGATTGGAGCAAGGTTTGGAACTCTTATTTGGGTGGATAGCAGAAAGGAATGTGATAGGAATGAGGTACTACGCCTAAGGGTGGGCAAGGATATCCATACTCCTCTTAAGATGGAACTGAAACTTAACCTCAAAGGTGCAATACAGTCTTATGAAGTGAAGTACGAGAAGCTCCCTATGTATTGCTACTCCTGTGGATTAGTGGAGCGCCCTAAACTCTACTGCCCCAATCCTTCATCAACCGGACAGGATTTGGTGGGTCCAGAACTAAGGGTGGATCTATCAAAACCTAAAACTTGGCAAAGCAAGTTGGAAAGGGAAGAATCAGGGGACATGTGGCAGTCCTTACGGGCTAAGTTTGATAGGGAAGAGGTGACAGCAAGAATGCAATTAGAGGAAGTTGAATATAACAAGAAAAGACATGATGATAGCATAGATGAGGCTCAACGCAGGATTTTGGTGGAAAAAGCAATGATAGAGCTGGCTAAAGGAAAACCAAGGAAGAAAGATAAAGGGGGTTTTGAAAAGGAACAGTGGAAAGGCTCTGCGGAAGAAATCTGGGTCTCCAGATATGGTCACAGGGAAGAAGAGAGTACCTTGGCAGTCTCGAAAGTGGGAGAGGTGGAAGATAGCTCATAAATACAAGAACACTCTCAGGGACAACGTCAATTGCAGGGGGTCTCCAATCTTGTCTTCGATCCTGGGTGCCTGTCACACAAGGACATGGCAGATAAGAAACAAACTCTCTGGAAATGTCAAAGTAGGGAAGGTACCAAACAACAGCAGACAACACAAATCATTTTAACCCCCCAGAAGAGAGAATTAGAGTCTACTTCAGATGAAGCTAATGAATCCCCTAGTAAGAAACACAAGGCAACAAGCACTATGAAAGATTTGGATGGCGAAGTGGCAGACCCTACAAAGCAGCAGGGCTGCCTAGCCCAATAAATGTCCTAAGTTATAATTGCCAGGGGTTGGGGAATCCCCTGGAAATTAGGAAAGTGGGGCAGTTGCTCCAGAGACAAAACCCCAAGATTGCTTTCCTCATGGAAACAAAAAAGAAAGAGAAGGAATGGGAGGAAGTAATCAAGGAACTTGGATGGGAGAAAGGAAGAGGAGTAGGTTCAATAGGAAGGGCAGGAGGCTTATTGATGGTCTGGCAAAATGAGATGGATGTGGTAGTCAAAACTAAATCAACAAACCATATCGATGTTTTGGTTAACGATGGTGGCATTCAATGGCGATTGACAGGAATCTATGGATGGCCAGAGCAGGATGCAAAGCATAAAACTTGTACGCTCCTCAGACAAATAAAGGATATGACTGATCTACCCTAGCTTGTTTGTGGAGACTTTAATCTCATTTAGAGTTATAAAGAGAAGAATGGGCTGAACCGGGAAAATGTACAAGAAATGGATATGTTTAATGATGCTTTGGAAGATTGTGAGCTGGAGGACCTGGGGTACTATGGTAAGACCTTTACTTGGGACAACAACCATTCAGATGATACTTCTCTAGAAGAACGCCTTGACAGAATGGTAGCTACTAGCTCAAGGAAATCTATCTACCCACACGCGAGAGTCCACCATCTCAGAAGATGTGGCTCAGATCACTCACCCATTTTCCTCAAAACTCAATTGGTGAATAATGATGTAAGATGGGGGGTGGAACTTTCGTTTTGAGCCATTCTGGCAGAAGCATGCTGAATGTAAGGAAATCATTGCAGAAGGATGGAATGAGAGAAGTGAACTAACAATCATGGACAAGATCACCAACTGTGAAACCAAACTACTTCAATGGAGCAAATTGGCTTTTGGGGATCTCAAAGAAAGGAAGAAAAAAGCAGAAAATGCTCTGGTTGTGTTGGAGAAAAGGAAAATGAATGGTGCTGTAGTGTTACAGAGAAAAGCGATAGAGAAAAAACTGAATGAGATTCTTATGCAGGAAGAAATGATGTGGAAACAGCGTTCTAGAGTTGACTGGTTACAAGGAGGAGACAAAAATACGAATTACTTCCATAGGAAGGCCTCGGACAGAAGAAACAGAAACACGATTAGAAGATTAGTGGATGAAAATGGAGGAATAAGGGAGGGGCAGAGTGAGGTGGCAGCATGTTTAACTAACCACTTTAAACATCTTTTCTCTGCAGGTACCAGCGTTCCTATCAGTTCTATTCTAGAAGCTGTCCCTAGCAGGGTCACAGAGAAGATGAATGTGGATTTGCTAAAACCCTTCACGACGGAAGAGATATGGAAAGCTTTGAGGAAGATGGGACCTCACAAATCCCAGGAGTGGATGGCATGTCCGCCTTCTTTTTTCAAAAGAATTGGGACATTGTGGGACAGGACGTGACGAATGAACTTCAACAATACTTTAACACAGGTTCTTTCCCGCAGACTCTGAATCACACTCTACTGGTTCTAATCCCTAAGAAGAAAAAGGTTGAGTCACCAGTTGACTTCAGGCCAATTAGTCTGTGTCGAGTGCTTTATAAAATCCTGGCAAAAGTACTGGCAAACAGACTAAAGCTTATTCTGATGGAGTTGATTACAGAATTTCAAAGCGCGTTTGTCCTAGGGAGGCTAATTACTGATAATGTGATAGTGGCATTTTGAGTGTTTCCACTCCATGAAAGGAAGAACACAGGGCAGGAAAGGCTTCATGTCTGCAAAACTGGACATTTCTAAAGCTTATGATCGGGTAGAGTGGGATTTTTTGGAGGCCATCATGAAGAAAATGGGTTTCTGTGAGCGGTGGGTGACAATGATCATGAAGTGTGTGACGACGGTTTCTTATTCTATCCTAGTAAATGGACATAAGACAGAAACCTTCTTCCCTACTCGAGGCTTACGTCAAGGAGACCCTATATCACCCTACCTTCTGCTTTTCATAGTGGAGGGGTTGTTTGCTTTGCTCTCAAAAGCAGAAAGAGAGAGAAAAGTGGAAGGAATCCAGGTGAAGCGAGGGACACCTCACATTTCCCACCTTTTGTTTGCAGATGACAGTGTCCTATTTGCTAAAGCAACTCGACCAGCTTGTGAACATATTAGAGCTATTCTCAATACCTATGAGCAGGAATCTGGTCAAAAGGTAAACCTGGATAAGTCTGAGATTTCCTTTAGCCCTAATGTGGGAGAAGAGAAGAAATAGGAGTTGGCAGCCATTCTCGGAATGAAAGTGGTGCCAGTACACACTAAATACCTTGGACTTCTCACAGTTATTGGTCGAAGGAAGAAGGAAGTATTCAGTTCCTTGGTTGACAGAGTTCGAAGGAAAGTTTAACTTTGGAAAGGTAAATTTCTTTCCTTTGGGGGAAGGAAGTGCTAATCAAAGCAATAGCACATGCCCAAATGACCTATGCCATGCAGGTGTTTTTGGTTCCTAGCTCAGTAACACAAGAAATTCAGAGAATTGTTTCTAATTTTTGGTGGGGGCAAAAAGACTCAGAACGTCGAACCCACTAGGTTAGCTGGCAGGATCTCTGTAGAACTAAGAAGAAAGGAGGTCTGGGCTTTCGGAACTTGCATGAATTTAATCTGGCTCTCCTTGGAAAGCAGATTTGGAATATAATACAGAATCCAAACTCCCTAGTAGCTAGGGTCATGAAGGCAAAATACCACCCATCAAGAGACATTTTGGAAGCAGAGGTAAGTTATAACCCTAGCTACATTTGGAGAAGTGTTCTACCTGCAAAAGACTTTGTTAAGGAAGGATTGAGATGACGTATAGGGAATGGAAACAAAGTAGATATTTGGCAAAATAAGTGGGTTCCCTCTGCTGCCAACTTTAAAGTGGTGTCCCCAATATCCCCCTTTGCTTCGAGTACCTCAGTTAATGAGTTGCTAGATGTGGACTCTAGAACTGGGAACCATGCTCTACTTCAAGCCCACTTTCTCCCACAGGACAGATAGCGGATTTTGAAAATTCCTATACCTAAACAACCAGCGGAGGACAGGAGGATCTGGAGCTATGAACAGTCTGGACGATACTCAGTAAAATCGGCTTACCGACTGCTAAGGGACAAGCTGGAAGCCGAGGTTGGGGAGCTTTATACTCCTATTAACTGGGAACAGATCTGGAAACTGCAAATCCCACCTAAAGTGAAGGTGTTTGTGTGGCGATGGATTAGGAATATTTTACCAACTGGGGCAAACGTACTGGCAAGAACTACCAAAGGGTGTGATGAATGCCCTTTTTGTGGGCAGGCTGAAACCCAAAATCACATTTTCTACGATTGTGGTTGGACTAGAAGGGTGTGGCGGCCTAGTTCTCTAAATCTAAGCTTCGAAAAGGGAAAGGAACTAACCTGTGAAGAATGGATAGCTGACCTCCAGGAAATGGAATCCGAAGAGCAAATTGGCCTCTTCCTAGTTGGTCTCTGGTTTATCTGGGAAGAACGCAATTGCCAAATGTGGAATAAGAAGGAACTTGAGGAAAATGAAATTTTGGGAAAAGCGGAGCGATGGCTTACGAAGTACCTGGAATTCCAATTTGCAGCACCTGATCAGGGTCCCAGGCAGACACCTCGATGGAAACCGCCGGAGGGAGCCGATTTTAAAATCAACGTGGACGCCGCCGTTATTGCTGATTCTGGGACTGGTTTGGGGGTGGTGGTTAGGGACCGGAACGACTCTTTCTGCTTTGCGGGGGTGAGAAGGTCGAGAATTCAATGGACTCCGGAGTTGGCGGATATCCAAGCTATTAAGTTTGGTCTCGAAGTGGCTATTGAGAAGGGGTTTATCTCAGGTGAGATTGAATCCGACTGCCTGAGGGAGGTGCAACAGATAAAGAAGGAAGAAATGTCGCTGACTGAGGAAGGAGATGAGTGTGAAGAGGTGAAGGCCAGGCTGGACGAGTTGGGCGGATCAGTAACAATCCGGTTTGCGGGCCGGGAAGCAAACCAGGTGGCCCATATCATGTGTAGATGGGATGATTCTGAATATTGGGCTTCTAGGCCACCCATTTTCCTTGTGGACCAACTAATTCTGGGTTCCTGTAATATTTCCTCTTAATGAAATAATATAGGACTTTTCTATAAAAAAAGTATTAAAATAAGCAACTACAAGCATTTTAATTTCTAGTTTTCATTTGCAGGATTCTCCAATATTGTACACTATAACATTTTTTCGTTTTCCTGAAACCGAAAACCGAGATAACCGAAAGTCGGTCGTTGTTCGGAGGCAGAGCGAGATGATTTTGCTCTTGGGAGAAGGTTCGGTTAACCAAAAATCGAGATAATCGAAGCCTTAAATCCTCTTTCAGTCGGTAGAGTTGGGAGGTGGTTCGGTGAACCGGTAACCAATCCTTCAGTTTTCAATTATAACCGAACCGACCGGCCCTCCACCCCTACTATACCATGTCAACTTTCTCGGAAAGTTTTAATGGGTTCATTTGATATCGAGAAATTAAATTCCTATATTCAAATATCATTAACAACATGACACATCGAGCATGTTTGTATAATTTTTTTTCTCTTATACTTTTACTCTTTTATCCCGACATGTTAGTTACTCACGTGATATGGACCCTTACTCGGACTTAGGGTGGTAAACGGTTAGTCGGTTGTCAATCCGCGGGTTGACTCGGACCCGATTGAGCTAGTGGGTCAAGGGTTAATGGGTCACCCGGTTTAGCCCGGAAATATGGAAAACGTCATTATATTGTACTTATCCTGATAAATTATAACAAATCTCATCTAACATATGAGTTATAACATATAATATTACACCAAAATAACATTTCGTACTTAGATTCAATATATAGTGAAAATTCACACACACTTATATAACATTAATATTCAAATGTTCAACTTAGGATTCCAAAGATTGAGTTAGGCGAAAAGAAAAATCGGAAAATAGGCGCATTTCGCAAAACAAAGAAAAAAATGACACAATTTGACCTCCAACCCAGTACCTTGTAGCGGTCGACCCGGCGGGTGCGTGCGGCCCGTTTTTTTCACCGGGTCAGGGTCAAAGTGGGTCAACCCGAGGGTCGACCCGCGGGTTGACAACCCTTATAAGTTTTAATCGATAAGCACTAACTTTTTATTGGTTCGGTTTCGGTTAGCAGTATGTACTATTTTGCATAGTGGCTAACCGATAAGAAAACCGAGAACCGCCTACTAGTATAACTACATAATTTTGTACTTTTGGCTAAAGGGAAACATTATGATTCAAAACCAATCAAAATCGCACTTCCAAACATCTAAATTCTTGCCTATTGCAAACAACCTTCCACCAAGACTCTGAAATGTGTTTGAGAGTTAAAACTCGAAAGTCTCCCCTCTCTAACTATCTCTGTAGTCGTCACAGCAAACCTAATACCCTAGTAATCTTTGTTTCTTTGATGTGTTGTGAATGATGATGATCTTGTGATGCTTGTGTTTGATGCCTTGGTACATGGAACTCGTTAATTGGATGAATAAGTTTGATTGGTTTTTTTATTTTATGCATTGGAATTTCAATTTAAACTACGCAATCATGATGAATATTGTATCTTATTGATATTATTTCTTATAATTATATTTTATACTAACAATTTAGAAATGTAGCTAAATTATTTTGAATTATTTGCATGAGCATTCATCTTAATATTTAGTACTCTGTACTGCTGGTCATTGTTATGCTTGTGGACTGAAATTGATGTTAAATGACACTTGTTAAACTTAACTAATGATGATTTTTGTATTATAAGTGGTCATTGCTTCGGTTTATTATGTTTAGTGAACGAAAATAAAATCTATTGGTTTTATATTGGTTAAATTAAGTATAATCGTAGTTGTTGGAATGTATTTTAGTAGTTATTGGTTAACCGTCAAAATAGCCGCTAACCGAACTAATAAAATGTGGTTAATCGATAAAGCTTATCTGTGTGTATTTTTCATTTTTGCTTATTGATTAACCGCTAACCACCATATCAATTAGTGGTTAATCGAAACCAAACTGATTAGCACTTACCCTTACTCATTAGAATATCTAAGTTAACCAAAATATAAACAAGAATTAATAACTAATCACAGATAATATTCGTAATTACTAACCCATTTCTTATTAATTAATTAGCTAACTAATTGGTCATTTCGTATACATAGTACTAGCCTATTACCCGGCCCGTTGGCCGGATTACTGTTTGTTACCCACTTGTGGAATAGGAGAGAAAGCAAGTGAGAGTGAAGGGATTGGGATTCCACTTGATTAGGACCGACCCACTAATCCGATTCTTCCCGACCCGCCCCAACCTAAAGGGTCAGAAAGAGTCAATAAGAAAATACGAACGGAGAGGATTAGTCATATTCATATATCTTGACTCTTCAGAAGTGGGTCAAACAGGATCAAGGTTGGGTGAGGGAAATTTTTAGCGCTAAGCAGAGTTCTGGGTTGAATAACTTTACTTAGGCCTAGAAATTGGTGTTGATGCAGACTGCAGTTTTTATTATACCATCATCAATCATCATTGAATTAGTCCTGGGCATCCCTCCCCGTTGTCGGTATGAATTCTAATGATGGCTCCGTTCCTTGCACCAGCCTTATCAGCGAGTTGTCATCTCGAGCATGATTTGCCTATGTACAAATGATACAATTAGAGTATGAAACTGAATTCAAAGAAAAGGAAAAGAGATTTCTATCACATGTCAATAAATACACACATAATTGTTGAAGCTAAGTGAAAGTCATTACTCGCACATCAATTCTCAAAAATTACAGACTAAACAATGGCTAGAATGGCACTGAAACTACCAAGAATCATGGACGAAACAACTTGTCAAATTAAATAATCCTTATACTGAAACTACCTTCTAACTTGAAATAAGACATGATCACAGTTCATAGCTCTCTTCTCACTATGAATTGGTTGCAGCTCGTCCTTATCACTGCCTCCCAAGCTCAATTCAAACAGAATAGAGACCGTTATGTAAGATAACCATATCCTTACTGATCATAATTCCTTTCTTCACTCCATTTTTGTCAGAAAAAAGAGTTACCCCCCTCTCCTGCATTTCCCTTTCCCCCTCTCTTCTCCCTCTTCTTCACAAACCGATCCCTAAACCAGCAACAACAACACAAAAATAGCCTTCGCCTCTGCCATCTCCATCTACTGAACGCGTTGGTGGCAAGACAGGACTGCAGAAGCAAAATTTTCTAAAATCAAACTAAATTTTTTGAAGGAGACTCAACCACGAAAAAATAGTAAAGCAACAATGCTAATAGTTCAGATGGTTGGTTTTGATGTTATACATTGCTTTTTTTCTGGTCTCCAGTATATCAACTGCAATAGAGATGTTTCCTCCAATCATCTTTAGTGCACGATTTAGAAGCAAGTCCTCCTGTTTGTGTCAAACGGAAACATTCATGGGTTTTTAACTCCCCTGTTAGTGTAAAAGCAGCAGCAACAAAGAAGTTTGACAACACAGCAAGCACCCAGGCAAAATGATACAATGCAGTAGGTGATATGTGTCTCGAAGGTTTTGAGTTACTAAAGTTCATGTTAAAAATAAACATGAATTAAAATGGATTATTCTATTAAGCAAACATCCCCTCCAATCATACAAAGATCAGATATCCAATTCACAAACAATTAAGCCATAAAAAATCATCACACATCCACCACCTTTGATTGCCTAAATTTGGTTTTTCGCAAAAGTTATGGACTCTTAAGGGAAACGTTCATGGGTAGTCTGTTTCATAACTCTAGAGAGCACAGTAAGCAGCCACCAGCCAGACACAGTGCGGTAGGCGAATATGATTCTCAATTCACAATTTCTCACCACCGGAAGTAAGAACAGACCATAATAAGCGTAGCGTTCATGGGTGGTCTGTTTCATAGCACTACTACACAATTTGTTAAAAAAGAAAGAAAGGTATTTAGCACCACGGCGGAACAACTTTTACAGGCTAACAACGACAACATGCTGCAACCACCAGAACTGGTATCACAACTCATAGGGAAAATCAAAAGATTTACTCTCAAATTAAGCAATTACAACATCGAGCAATTGTCAAGCACATACACCATCACAAAAGTCACGGAACTTGATTCACAAAGCATTAAAACATTTGAGGACATTTCTGCAAAGGTACAACTTATATGTCTTTTTTCCAAGCCATTTTTATCAAAATGCTAATAAATTTGCAATGCATAAAACAAACGGCCCAAAACTTGAAATTCAGCCTGTTTGACGACCCATGCCAAATTCTAATTATTCTTTACTTTTAAACTTTCTATTTGAAAATAAAAAATAGTGAAAGAAAAGAGACGACTACAATTCGCCATTTGCACATCAGTTATTCGGGAATAAAACCATAAAAATTCAAAAGGAACTGAAAATGTTTAGAATCGTTATAATGTTTAAAATAACCAAATAGATCTTTATGTTTAATTTTTTACTAACAAATACCAAACGATTCCCTATAAAATACACTATAATTTGATCATTATGATATCAAATAATTATAAAATATATATTTGAAATGATAAAAATTGGACTAATTGTGTTGGTCGAGGTTGAACCATTGAATAACTTTAAAATACATTATATTTTAGCCACTAAGATATAAAATAATAGCATAATATATATTATGTCAGAGAAATTAGCTTATTTTAGAATGACAAACCAATGATGTTCATTTATTTTACTTGATGGCCAAATCCCATGTAGGTCAGGCACATTCAACTCTTTTATTTTATGGTTGGCGGTTAGCCTATTAGATACCATGCATTAGTTTATTGTTAAATGTTTTATTTTTAACAATAAAAAGGAGTATTATTTTTACCTTTTCATATATATTTTGTCACCACGGAGAAATAAAAGGGCTTAAAGAAAAAAAAATTGACACTCCTGGGCCCGTTTAAATTCACATGTGTACGGTAAGTTGGCCCGTTCCACAGAGGAAAGAGAAAAAAAATTGACACTCCCTATTCTACCCTTCCTACAAACGCTCATGGAGCAGGGAATTTGAAATGGGGGAAGGGTTTTTTCCTCCCTGCTATTATATGTTTCTAATTTAAAAAGATACAATAAATGTGCTTAGTGTGATTGGTTATTATCCTTGCTTTTCTTTAAAATGGTCATGGTTCGAATCCCAGTACGTGTCTTTTTAATGAATAAAAAAAAGTAATTGTGAAGACCAAAATGTCCTTCCTACTTTCACTCTCGTTGCAGGAAATTTGAAATGGGGCTCCCGTTTTTCCCTTCGGCGTATTATATTATGTATTATATTATGTGTAGATTCATATCCATAGGAGAAGCCCAATTCCAATCAAACGGTACACAGGCGCTTCCCTTCAAGCCCACTAATCAATTATGCAATTCCTACTTTTCTTCTCCTCTGGAAATCATCAGAACGATGGACAGCAGCAGCATGGATTACTGCAGCAGTTACACTGATTCTTTGTACATTTGCAACAACGAGGGCGCCGTACCTTGGGACAGCAGCACCATTTCAATGTGCAGCAAGAGTTGTTCTTCTCGCCGCCGCCGCAGCCATTTTTCGAGCAGCAAGAAAAAGAAGGGAACTTGAAAGCGCAACAGCAAGAACTCAAATCAGGACAGCAGCAGGAGCTGTTCGTCTCGCTGCCTCCGCCACCGCTGCTGACCTTTCTACAGTTTCCGCAGATGCAGCAATTGAAGCTGGGAAAACGGCAGCCACAGGAAGCGGCGGCGGAGGAGAAGCAGCAGCAGGGCCAGTTGTTGGGTGGCGGCGGGAGGCAGCTGCTGTAGTTACAACAGCCGTCGCAGCCGCGGCTGGAACAGCAACTGGATGTGCGAGGGCAGGGTTTACAGACGCAGCAGCGTGGCAATTTCGGACAACGGCAAGAGAATCCGGAGCAGGAGCAGCAGCAAATCCATGAGAAGTTGAAACAGGGTATCCCACTGCACAATAATCAGATTGGATGACTTAATGGAAAAAAAAAAGAAGAAGAAAAAACAGAGCAACCCACCAAAACAGAGCAAGCCCCAAAGTAAAAGGGGGGAGAGAGAGAGAAGAAAGTAGTACCATAGCCATTTCCAGAATCGGCAGGACCTTCTGTTCTTTCGGTTTCTGCTTTATGAAGAAAAAAGTTCCCAAGTTAGTAAACAGGTCTGGGGAAAGATACTAATTATGATTAATGAAATTGAGATCTTTGTTGTGGGTCTTACGTGGGTATCAGCGGGTCCGGGTTCCCTACCACAAAATCGCTCACTCTGCACCCAATTTCGTGGCAAATGTTTTAGAAAATGTTAGCAGGAAGTGAAGATTTCACTGAAGGAGGAAGGAGTGAGAGATTTGCGTACGCTTTGCAGCATTGGGATGCTGGCTGTAGACTTTGTACAAATTTTACCTCTTCCTGCTCAGTAGCCAAACAGTTAATTGGGTGAAAATGGAGGGGGAAAGAAACAAAATCAAGCAGAAACCCCAATCCGATTAAGGGTCTATTAATTAATTGGACTTTATCATGCTCCATTGAAAAGGGAGTGGGGTTCATCTCTGCACGAAAAGGTGGCAGTAGAGAGGCAGAAGGAAATGGTTTCGCTGCTTCACTGTAATCATAACTCAAAGATAGTGTGAGATTTCTGCACTCTCTGACGGTGAAGTTGGGCTTCTTTGGGTTGCCGAGATGAATTCAAAGAACAGGGGAAGGAAGATAGCAACTTTCAATGGGACCAATTTCAGATACCAAAAGTCCTTATGACTACAAATGAAGGCTGTACTACTCTGCTGTGGCCTTAACATAATTTGGGTTTGGGATGCAACTCCTCACTCTCTCTTCTCATCACCAGCCAAAGAAAAAGAAAAAGAAAAAAAGAGCTCCAGTGTAGAGAGCGTTGATTCAAATGGAAGCACGTCTAAACCGAAACAGAGAACACTGAAAGAAAGCAGGGGGAAATGCTCTACCTCAAGGAAGTTAATTTCTCGCTCGAGCATCTGAACTTTAGCCAATTCCCTGCGTTTGCCATACAAATCAGGGTAGTCCGGCGGCGACTTGGGGCACGGCGGCGGCAACGATTTAACGGAGGAAGAAGAGTGGGGAGAACAACCTGATGCAGGGGCGGTGGCAGGGGCCGCCATTTCCCTTTTTTTTTCTGGAAGTCGAAAGATTTTCACTTTCTGGTCTCAACAATGGACGACTCCAGTCTCCAGCAACAAAACATGCATTCTCCTTCTTTTCTCCTCCTTCCTCTTGCTTTACATGGAGTAACAGAAGGACAGGAAGAGGGAGAGAAGAAGAAGAAGGAAAGGTGGGTTGGGAATGCAGAAAGAGAGCAAGCAAAAGAAGTACTGAAAGTGAGAAGGTGGAAGCGAGAAATGGTAAAAGTGAAGGGACAAAGAAGAGAAGGGTGGGTTTGATGGTGAGTGAAATTTGGGGGGAAGGGCAGAGGGAGAAAGAATGGAGGAAAACAGAGTAAGTAAAAACAATCTGTGTGGTGACAGGGCGGGGGTTGGTTGTAGTAAATAGTAATTGTGAATTGTGTGTGCGGGCGTTTGGCTTTGGCAGAGTGGTGACAGCGAGGAGGCAAGGAAAGGACTTTGAGGTGAGGGCAGTGAGTAAATACTTGGGGAGCTGACACAAGTCTGAAGAGATAGAAACAAAGGGAAAGGTTAAAGGAAAACAGAGGGATGGATGGAGAGGCAAAAGAAGAAAAGGCAAATGAAGAGCGGCAGGGCAGGGCAGAGCAGGTAGTGGTTGCTGGCTGGCTACTGGCTACTCTGAGAGCATGGATACTAGTAGGATTGTTAATCGGTTAGTTTGTTAGCGGTATAATTGATAATCGAATGAATAACTGATGAATTATTTTGCTCATAATGTCTTCAAACATAAGCATAAAAAAGAAGAAAAAAATTCTTCAAACATAGTTCGAATGAGGGTGTTTGACTGATAAAATTTTGGAGAACAGATCTACATTAAATCATTTTTACTTCTATGGAGGATTGATGAGAATTCCAAAGTACGACTATGGCTGCTTGCAGAGAGAAAACAGAGTTCAGTATAAAGTTTACATGAGCACGTCTACCATGCGTCATAATTCCTTGTAAGTGGCTAATGAGTGTGTAGATAAACATAAATAGTTAATAATATTTAATCAAACATTTGCAAACATTCTTTTCTCACGTTTACAAATTGTCTGTGTTACAAACTCTTCGAAAATTATTAACAAATGGTAATGTAATAGGGTGCGCCTATGGTGTCTTATAAGTCATCGTAACTTACATAATTCGGTCGACCTATTTCTAAGTGCGATCGACCGAATCCTCCTAAAGTGGTCACTCTAATTTTGTACAAATGACCAACAACAGAGAAGTGGTTGACCTGAAATATTATTAGGTCGACCTTAAAGATGTAAGTTGTCATTACCAAAACCAATTTATCAAAAAAAAAAAAAAAAACATGTGTAATACTACCACGAACAATTAATAGGTCGCCCAGACACATTGACCAGCCGACCTTTTAAGCACAACATAGTCTTACAAACAAAGCCAAAGTCGACATTCTGGATAAACAAGCAAAACAAACATGAATGGTCGACCATGATAAGAATTAGATCGACCTATTGGGTTTGATCTTCCTTACCTCGCAAGTACAGAAGTCCGAGTGTTGTGCCTTGAATTCAATTTCTTGCAATTTTCAAAGATAGGCCGACCTAATTGAAATAAGGGTCAACCGATTGCTCTTCTGCACGCAACAAAACATCAAATTAAACGGTTGCAAATTACGAATTAGACAAGATGACAACAATAGCTAAAATAGGTCGACCTCTTGAAACACGTACAACAACAACTGCAAAGGATCTTCTTCTTCTTCTTCACAAAAGCTCTAACCGTACAAAAAAATAAAATTCAGAGTTACGGTGGCGGTGAAGGTGACATATATTCATATTTATAGATATTTAGGACGAGATTGGGTCGAATTAAGCGGTAGACAAGTTAGGGTTACATTTTTTGTGTTGGAATCTTTATCAAATACATATATGTTGTGCACACGGTCGACCTCGTACTTGTCATGTCGACCGTCTATTCTATTTTTCTAAATAATCCCTAATTTGATGTTGATCAGTTAATGAAACAAAGGATGACCTTTTAATAGCAAAATGATCGACCTTTGAGATATTTGGGTCGACCTTTATATTATTCGCTTCCCAAAGATGTCGACCACTTGCGGTAAAAGGTCAACCGCGTCGTTGAGCCTCACAAAACTGAAACAGTAGATTAGGTCGACCTAATCCTATTTAAAATTGACCGAAAAGTGCAAGTTACGGTGACTTCCAAATCACCGTTACAAAGTCCAATGTAATATAGTAGGAAAAATAAATAAAAATTTGCTCATTTTTATATTACCAGACAAGTTGTAATTTATTGTACAACAATACACAAACTAGAGAGGGACACTCACCTAGTTGTAATTTATGGGTACGGATCTACTCACCATAACTCCCAATCCACTCGTTTCATTATCCTAACCTTCATTACGAACACAATTTTCCTCTGTCATCTCCGCCGTCCTCAATCAAATTCCATTATTCTCGAGCAAAATCATAATCATATACATTCATAAGCTAATTCTAAAGTTTATAGACTCAGCCAAATATTATAGCTTGTATTCACAATTCTTTTTACCAAAAGCTCAAGTAAAAGTCCTCAAACCTAGTCAGAGTCTAGATAGCTTTTAAATTACTTTTTTTTTAGATTTTTAATATCCGGTTATCAAGACAATATTGTAGGAGTATGCAATGGTCAACTCGAATAAGTCTGGACCAAAACTTGAGAACCATGGTCTAAAAATACAAAGGGCAATGACTAGTTATTAGCCAAACCTTTTTTGGATTATTTGTTATTAGCCAAATGTTAACTTTCAGTTAGCAATTTTGTTAGTAATATTGACTTGACAATATGATATTGACATGATAGAGACACATGAATGTCAACGTCCTTTCCCATCCTTGCAACTCCCACCCCTGTGACTACGTTGTCGTCGAAGCTCATCTCATTCAGCCTCTCATTTGCTGCCACTTTCATTTATCAGTGAAGCTTGCCTATAGCCCTTGTAGCTTCATCATTTGTAGATGATTTATCTTATCATATTTTTTTCTCCCAAAGCAGGAGGAGGACAGTAAATGCTTGTTTAAAAGTCTATTAGTTTAATTTATGCTTGTTAAAGTGATTTAATATATGAGCTAGTTCACTTATTTGTTTATTTTAAGAAAAATAAAAGTTATAGGTAGGAGCTTACGCTTTTACATTTCGTTTTTGCGCTTCCACTTTTGCCCATTATTCCGCTTTTCTTAAAAGTTAGACTTTGACTGCATTGCCTCCATGCATCCAATTTTTTCTGAAAGAAATCTTGTGAGTTCTTTGATTATCAATATTTATTTCCAACTTCAAGTTTCTTTCCTAACTAATCCTCAATTGAATTACGATTGTACCACTAAGTACATTCCACTTGACATGTACGGTCCAATTTTTCACTTGAACAAACCATGTGAGTAATTCGTAGTTTGTACCTGTTACTGTGGAAGTATGGAAAGGTTTGTATCTGTGCACTGGTACAAGTTTGCATGTGGCCTGCATATAATGCGGTTTGGGTATGGAGAAGGGAAAGGAGATGAAGATCAATGCTGTTCTTAAATACCTTGGGTAATTAGCATAAATGGTAACAAACCTTTGCACTTAGTACAAAACAGTCACAAACCTTTAATTTATAACTATTTGATAACAAAACTTTTTTACTTAGAACAAAACGGTCACAAATTAAACAGTGTGACCATTTCATACCAGTTCAAACTTTTGTTACCGTGTCGTTGCAAAGTAGACTTTTGGTGACCATTTTGTACAAATTAAGTTCAAAAGTTTGAACGCTCAATCACCGTTACAATTCACTCTAGTTGTATGGTGGTTTTGTTAATGTATGTGAATGATATTGTGTTGTTTAGGATGACAATGAGAGAATTCAATGGCTCACAAACGGGTTCTAGACTGCTTTTTAGTTGAAAAAACTATGTCTACTTTCTTACTTTCTTGGTATCGAAATTGAAAGGTCAACTGAGGGCATTCTTATTCGGCAAAGCAAATATGTCGATGAACACATGACCTGACATCTTATATGTCGTTCAAGTGGTTAGTGTCATATACTTAACGAACAAACTACCCGACCTCAAAACATGACCAACATTTAATTTGTAACGATTCGGTAACAAGCCTTTGCACTTAAAACAAAACGGTCATAAATTAAATAGCGGTGACCATTTTATACAATTTCAAAATTTTTGTGACCGTATTGATACAAATTAAAGGTTTGTGACCATTTTGTACTAAGTGCAAAGATTTGTTACCATTGATACTAATTACCCTAAATACCTTCAGGCTTCAACTACTCGCCTCCTGTTTATTGTGTCGTATGAAACTTCACAGATGGAGGGAAGTATTTCAAGTAATTTATTGCAGTCATGCATGATACAGTATTTTGAGTACTAGACAAAGCCTTTCAATTTTTAAAGGAGGGATGAAAAAAAGGGTAGGATTTCTCCAAAGCCGAAATTTCAGTAGGTGTATTTTGAAATATGGAAAAAAATATATTATTTGGGCGTTGCATGGGAATTTACAGGTACGGTAAAATAATCGTATGTTATATCCTTCAGATATCCGCATTATTATGTTATCGAAATACTCAATTGGGAGCGCGATGATTAGATGTCATGTTTTTTCCCCTTATTGGCGAAGTCTTAGAAGATCAAGGGTCGTTTGTTTGGTATACTTACAAAAGGAATCATTTGGCCAAATATAGGCATTTGACAATGTAGACATTTTCAAATGTGTTGTTTATTTACAAATTTTTATATGAGTTATTTGTATAATGTTATAATTTGCTCTTACATATGTTTCATTTGCTTGTTAGCTATCCTAATAAAGTCAACAACAAAAATAAAATTTATTTTTCAACCAATATGTAACGTATTATTTGGGGATTTGCCATATATAATACTATTTTTTTATTTTTAGATATTTTTTTTAATTTTCTGTACAAATTGTAATGGTGCTAAAGTATATTTCTTTACTATCAAATATAACCTATATTTGAAACCGATTTCCTAAATAGTAAAGAATATATATATTTCTAGAAAATAATTAAAAGTATTCTTGAAAAGTATTGGGTTAAATGAAGAAAAAAAATAGTATTGGGTTTATAAAGGGAGATTTAAAATTGAAAGTAGTGACGAAAAAATGAATTATTTGAAAGTGATTGGAGGGAGGACATCCATTTACAAATAACTCGATTTTATTTATTGGGGAACCTTGGACGATTGAGGTTGTGTGCTAGCCTGCTAGGTTCTTGACGAGCAATCACGAATTTGGCTTATTGATCGACCCATTCTTGTTAGAGAGGCCAATCGGAGCAAGGATATGTGTACATTGTCACATTCCTACGATAGGATAACACATAAATCATCAATAAATAATTCTTTTTTATTTTTCGCTTACTTCGTTGTAGCTTCCGACCACAACCACAATCTGAAACAACAAATATTACAACCAGTAGAAAATAAAGACAGAGCCTTTCTAACCAGCATATGAGTTACCTTATTGTTCTGCCTACTCGGATTCCTGGCGAAGATGAGAACAACTGTTGAATTTTTTCAAGAAGAGCACCCCCAATCGCATCCCTGTTGGAGCAAGCCTTGATCTTATCAATGAAAATCTCGAAAAAGCATATGAGAATGAGCTCGAGCGAGTGGGTAATTCGAACTTATATTTGTGCCTGTGACCACCTATGAATTTTTAGTTTTTTACCCAAAACAATAAACCGTAAAAATTGAGCAACAAACACACCTCACGGCCGCCTTTATGTATTTGCATTTGCTTTTTATTTGCATATATTTTTTTTTGCTTCGATTCACGGTTTCGTTGAAATCCATCCCAACACTAGGCTAAAGCCCGAGGAGGCAATCGGCTTTGAATATTGTCGGTTATTCAAGAGAAAAGAACCCCGTAGTCTGAGTCCTTTTATATGATTCCTCGAGTAGTCTATGGTTTTCATTAGAGTGGAAACTTGCTAGTTCTGTTAGTTTTCTTCAATCATGTTTTGTCAAACCCAAAAAGCGGGAATCTTTAATAATTGAGATTCCATGTCCAATATAATGCTTTTTGAAAAAGAAAAAAAAAAATACTGCCCGCCAGGTTCTACACTTTCATGTAGGGCTGCAAATGAGCCAAGCCGTTCGCGAGCAACTCGGCGTTCGAATCGAAAAAAACTCGTTCGACACTCGACTCGTTATTTAACAAGCCGGCTCGCGAGCCAACTCGTTAGTTAACGAGCCAAGCTTGAGCTAGACCATGCTCAGCTTGATAAGCTCGCGAGATTCGGTGGCATGGTGAGCTAAGCTCGCGAGCTGCCTTGTTTAGAGCTTGTGGAAGGATGAATTACTCTTTTAAACATGAACATTGTCTTGTTAATACAAATGTGTATGAAATTTAGATGTTATTTATAGTTTTTAGTGTTCTTTCTATCATTTAAATTCTTATGTTTACACATTTTTCAAGCAAGAATGATTTTAAATCAAGCTCATCTTTAGCCGAGCTTGTACTTAGCTTGACAAGCTATGTTAATGAGCATTTATCGAGCTCTACCGAGTCGAGCTCGAGCTAGATTATTTTTATTCAAGCCGAGCTCGAGCTCGAGCTAGATTATTAAAATTCGAGTTCGAGCCGAGCTCGAGCTAAAAAATTAATAAACGAGCCGAGTTCAAACTAAGCAAAAACTCGACTCGGCTCGTTTGCAGCCCTACTTTCATGCATTTTCAATAATGAATATATCTTACTTGGCCATAATCGATCCATATTTTTATATGTATTGCTAAATTTAATACGTAAATTATCGAATCATTTATTTTAAATTTCAAATTGCAACACACTAAAAATGGTCGGCGGTCTCGCGGAACTTTCAGAGAAGGGTAGCCTAGTGTGTGCAAAAACAACTCTCTAACTCTTCCTCCTATTCTCTCTATTGAAATCGACTATCAAGACCAACTCTCCGCCTAGGTTCTCTCCTTCTGCTACTGCCTCTCACGCTGCCTTTGCTCTCTCCAACCCATCGTGCCTTTCTTTGCAAACTGCAATCTAGACTCCTAGCCGGAGAAGAGAAGAAGAGCGCATGTTCCCGCCCGCCTCTATTATAGAGTCGAACCCGTTGCCACCCTTGTATAGCAGAAGAAGGAAATTAGAGGAAGACCCAATGAGTGGTGTAGCCACAATATTTATCTTGGGTGTGCATTAAAATAAATTTTGAACAATGACACATGATGCAATCTCATGTTTTATTGCAAAAAAAAAAAAAAAAAAAAATTATAAGAACATGTTTATTGCCAGAAAGTAATAGCAAACTAAACGTAATTGCACAAGCAAATACATCGATAAGAGCCAATTTTCTCTTCCGAATATCATTATCATAAAAAGTTAGTGATTTTCTCTAATAATATGCACCATCTTATCCTGTTTGATAAACTAGACTGTATTAATGTAGAAATTAGTAGGTAAAATTAACTTATATAATTGATTGTAGTTGAATTGTAAAAATATGGCAATTAACAATACAAATTGGGGTTCATATTTCATTATTGACATATTAATATTACTAAGTTTTGGTGTGTTTCATCAAATCAAGGGGTGCCATGGAACCCCCCTTCGTAGTTCGTACTCTTTAGCTCCGCCCCTGGACACAGCCCCATCGCGCCTCGATTTCACCAAAGATGGAAGTGGGAATTGCCTCATAAAATGGTTTGACCAAAACTCTTTTTTTTTCTTTCTGTCAGTGCACCGAGTGTTGATCTTGTCTTACTGCTTTCTAAGACTATCTCCAACCCAAGCATGCAAATTTGGAGAAAGGGAGGTTTTTGGCTTTTTTCATCTCCAACCCACCAATTATTTGGCTTGCAAATTTGGAGAAGTGGGCTTGGGGGTGGATAGATATAAGCTCATATGGAGATATGCAAGGAGAAGGTGGGGGACCAACCATGGAACACAAGCCCACACGCTGGGCCCCTCCACTTTCCAACATCTTCTTTTTCTTTTTCTTTTTTAACTTTCTTAATTTTTGATTGGTTGGTTATGAGTTGGGAAGGCAAATTTAGAAGGTTTAGGGTTGGAGCAAAAAAGTGTTTTGGGGAGGCAAATATGCACATTTGAGAGCTTGGGAGGCTAAATATAGCTTTTTGGGTTGGAGTTAGTCTAAGACTGTCTCCAACCCAAGCATGCAAATTTGGAGAAAGGGAGGTTTTTGGCTTTTTTCATCTCCAACCCACCAATTATTTGGCTTGCAAATTTGGAGAAGTGGGTTTGGGGGTGGATAGATAGAATCTCATATGGAAAAATGCAAGGAGAAGTGGGGGACCAACCATGGAACCCAAGCCCACACACTGGGGCCCTCCACTTTAAAGCATCTTCTTTTTTCTTTTTTCTTTACTTTCTTAATTTTTGATTGGTTGGTTATGAGTTGGGAAGGCAAATTTAGAAGGTTTAGGGTTGGAGCAAAAAAGTGTTTTTGGAAGGTAAAAATGCACATTTGAGAGCTTGAGAGGCTAAATATAACATTTTGGGTTGGAGTTAGTCTAAACCCCAACACAATTTCGTTTTAGCCTCCCATTGACCTAACTTTATGTCTTCTCCTCCAACGATTATCTTGATCCTTCGATCACACTGTATTGGGATAGTTATTGATACATGCAATTAGATAATGCAGATAGCAAACCCGAGACCATATAACGAGGGTCCATCAATTTTAAGTCCAACGTCCTGGACCTGGACTCTAATACCACTTGTTTTAACGGATGCAAACAATTAACCATGCAAGAAAGTAACAAAAACACAATTGTCCGTCAATTAGCTAAAACACGCTATGTTAGTGAACCATGTTAAAGCCGTGTAACCATTTCTTTCCTTGCATTGTTGATTGCTCGCATATTTTTTTATAAGGGTGATATAGGTTTATTTTTGTTATTATGTACTACTTAAGAGAGGTTCAAAACTAGTGTACTACTACTAGACCAAGCATTGGTTCGTGATAACCCGCATATGTTATAACAATAAAAATAGAGTTCACAAAATGAGGGTCCACACTCCACGGTCACGGTTCTGTACTCTGGTACCACTTGTTGATAACAGACACTCCACATTAGTACGATATTACTATTACCACTAGACCAATCCCTTGTTTGTGATTGTCCGTATATGTTATAACAAAAAAATCCGAGTTCACAAAATGAGGCTCCACATTATTCACGGTTCTCGACTCTGGTCCACTTGTTGATATCCGCACAAATTTGATCATGCGCACCGTCAAAAAGCCTCAAACTAATGGAGCTTGGTTGACATTTCAAACTTATATACAAAGATCATTTTCCTTATATATTTTTATGTGGTATTTGCATTGCCCTCCCCTTGAGGGATTATCAGCCAACCACCCTTTAAAACAGTTTTAGGCACAAAGTATAAACAAATGCAAATTTCAAATCCGATGTCACAAAATGAGGGCCCACCAAACTGAATTCACCTCTCAAACCATACTCTCATACTACTTTATAACGGATGCACGCAATCGACAATGTAATGAAATAAACATAAACATAGTTGTTTGTGGTTTAACCAGCAATCCAACATATACATCATATTAGTAAACCACATTAAAGTTGCGTTCCTATTCATTATTCTTGCATTATCGATTGCCTGCTTTTTGACGAACGTGAACATTGTTAGTAAATGGTATAAGATCAATAAATGAACCTCTCCCAACAGCCTACGTGAACATTTATATTAGAGCTTATTCTCTTACACATCTGGTGTACTTTTCCTGCAATAAAATTTCGCCGTCATAAAAAAACCATTGATATTTGAGCTTCCATGGGCCGAGATATCTTGTGTTTGAATCTCAATGACCCCGCGATTTGTTAAGCACATGTATTTGAACCTGTGCAAATTAACTCCAACCTCTTATAAATTGACTTTTATTTGAGGGACGTGTTAATAAATAATAAAAGAACCATAAACGAAGCTTTCCAACAACTCGAATTATTGGAAATCATATCAATAGGTCATATGGACAAATAAAGTCTAACTCAAATACAAACGGTTGTTCATTTTGTGAGCAAGCTGGATTGCCTAAATCATGCATCCACATGCAAGGGAAAACAACTTTGCATATAAATTGTAAAACATGGAGGCGTGAATGAATCAGCCATCCAGTCAGTCAGCAGTCGACTTTCTATTGCTAGCTTGCTACCATTTTAGGGAATCTACTAATGAACTTTGTCCAACCCAAAATATAGAGTTGGCTAGCTAAGCTACGGACCAATGACGACGACCCATTTAAAGGAGAGCATCAACTCAATAATTAGTGTATGGAGTTGGCCAAACGTTATAGCAAATCATTTTCAACAAGATATTCCTTCCAATATTGGCGGCCAATAACTTTTGAATGGAAATATATATTCGCATATATAGATAATGAGCTTAAAAGCCCAACTCAGAATTTGACTCTTCAAAATGAGTGAACTTTTTACAAAATTGGTTAGAACCCTAACAAGTTCGTAACGTCCATTATACGTACTTTGTGTTGGTATTATTTATAATATGGTATAATTAAGCACATGGTAACTTAGATGGTATGAATTAGTATATGATAGGGTGTATAACTCTTGGTTATACATAAATACATAATCAGATATGGATCATTGATTTTAGGTGACGTAAGATCTAAAGGTTAAGGTTCAATGACTTTTATTTACCCTATTTTTAACCGACTTTCATCTTCTTTGTAATTGGTGCTAGCAAGATCGATGCCGGAAATCCTACGGTCGAACCAGAAGGAGACATGGGTTCCTCCCCCAGGGTCAATATGAGCGTATTTCCAGAAAATCTCAAGTTCACGAGTGATATTTGCCCAAACCGAGGTAGAACGGTTCATTCTAACTCTGCCAGCAGTATGCCAAATAAAAGTCTCATTCGGGTACTTACAGTCAATCAAGGAGCACCACCAACTATTACCGTTTTATAGCGTATTTCCACAACCACTCAGTTGTGTTCATAACACCATGATATTATTCCATACCACGTACTAGTTCAATAGCCTGCACAGAACCCACACACACCCCAATTGGCTATAGCGTGAAGCCTTCAACTAAAACCTCAGCCATGAATTCCTCCTCCCCTCAACGTGGCAGTTTAGGTTTGCCCGTAACCGCCACCACGATTCGGCGGCGCGTGAGCCAAACGTGACACGCCAACTTAACCCCCCCTTTCCCCACCATGTAAAATCTCAACAAATTCGGCTACCGATCACCATTCTGCGGTGTCATCTTCATCTTCTTCCTCCTTCCTCTGCTCCCCCACCTAGCTACCGTCCACGGATCCCCCAAGTCAAAAAAGCAACCTTTCCATCAAAATTTGCTTGCTTAAAAAACAAGTCTTTTAATTTCCCCCCTTTCTATAAGTAGTTAGAGACGTCTATTCCCCATGCAAGAAAACAACAATTAATCAAAGTATTAATTAAACCCCACTCCAACAAATCTTAGCAAAGGAATTGAACAAACAGTTCCCTAATTAGCTTCCTTCCATCTCCAAATGGCTGGTTCAAGATTGAAGGCGGCGCCGGTGGCGATCATAAGCAAGCAGTACTGCTCCCCGGAGCAGGTGGTGCTGACGGTGAGGCAGAGGCCCCAGACGGTCACCGGCGGCGGTTTCGTGGTGACGGAGGATCCGACCCAGAAGGTGGTTTTCCGGGTGGAAGGCTGCGGCGTGCTCGGCTCGCAAGGGGAGCTCATGGTCCGCGACGGAGACGGAGACGCCTTGCTCCTCATCCGCCGCAAGGGAGGCGTGGTGCAGGCGCTGCTGAGCATTAACCGGAAGTGGAAAGGCTACAGCTTCGATTACGAAGGGATCAAGAAGCTGGTGTTCAAACTGAAGGAGCCCAACTCGTGCTTGGGCCGGACCAGCGCGATCCGGATCTCGACGGAGCCCAGGAGGTCCGGCGGCGGGGATTGGGATTTCGAGGTCCGGGGCCGGTTTTCGGATAAGTCATGCTCCATTGTGGATCATTTGGGCCGGATCGTGGCCCAGGTAATATTAATTCATCAACTTTTGTGTTTTGTTTCAATTGTGGGAATTGAATGAAGAACGATCGATTGATTTAATTTTGGTGATTTCTTTTTTTTTTTTGGATCAGATTGGGGTGGAGAAAGGGATGAGGAGTTTGGATGTGTACTACGTGGTGGTGAAGCCTGGAGTGGATCAGGCTTTCGTGTTCGGAGTGATTGCGGTGCTTGATAATATTTACGGCGAATCCACGACTTGCTAGAAGTTTCTGATTTGTGTTTTATTATTATTTGTGTAAAAGCTATGTGTTGATTTATCTCGACTAAGGAATCTCACCGGAAAGGAAAGACACGGAATTCCATAATCCACTGAGCAAAGGAATTCTATTCTATTCGGAAATCTACCTACGGTTTAGTTCCTTTTGTCAAGCAAGCAAGCTAGTGGCTAGTAAATTGACTGCTGCTTTTGCTTTTGTTCTTTGATTGAATTGAATGTATCTTCTTGTTTGGTATTGTGGTGAACACTTTGCAAGTTATATATAAGGATGTTTGGATATTAAGATTGCGTTTTTGTAATGCAAATCTCAAAATAGAAACAAAAGTTAATATTAAATATTTATAGGATCCGCATGAATTTCAAATATCATTTTTTTTAGTTTATGGGTCGGTTGAGGATTCCAAATTTTTACTGATATTCAATAATTATAAATTTATCAGATAATTTGAGTTAGCATGTATGTTGTGATCAAAGTTCTACAGAGATATGAAATTGATGATAAAACTGTAAAGAAATGTAATTTTCATTAACCGACGCCGTAAGTTTCATCAGAACCCAATGAATTTCAGTAAATTCTATGAATTAGAGTGGATTGAATTTTAGTAAACACTAACAAGCAGTAAAATGAACTATGGTAACCAATATACCTAGAAATCTTAGTGGTGTTCAGTAAACTCCCAAGACACCTTTCTTTAGGAAAGTTGCAGCAAATAATCCAAGTACTTTACTCTCGATTAAAGTTTAGCAGTGAGTTAGAAATCAAGATAACTTTTTTTTTTTTTTGGGTAGCAGGAATCAAGATGACTTTTGTTTTGTCGAAGAAATCAAGATGATTTTGATACCAGCCACTAAGTTCCAATATGCTTTAGAAATTCCCTTAAAAAATAATTTAGAAATTTTTTTCCAGTAAATTCCAGTCACTTTAGTATATACCCTAGTGACTTCATGTAAACTATGCTATCCATTATAATGAATTTGAATAGACTAAGGCCCTGATAGTATAATTTGCAAGCCGTTGTGTTGTACTGTTGTAATAGGATTGCGTGAACAAAGAAGCACAAGACCTTTCAAGTTATTGGAAGTGGTTCCATAATGACTCATATATCATTTACCAACACGATAAGCAATCCATTTGACGACCTAACTTTAATAACATAACCCAAAACCTTTCGACCTCTCCCCATGAGTCCCTACGTCTTGCCAACCTTATCCTCTTCGAGTCCTCCCAAGTCCCAATTGTAACCTAAACCTAATCCCCGTATCCATCCACTGAAGAAGAAGAAGAAGAATGACGAAGAGAAGGCGAACCCTAATCCCCTGGCCATCAACATCAAATAATTTGTGATACTAAAATACTAGTAATCATCCTAACTCATCTCGTGGAAGTGTATTTGGGTTGGCTCTTTGTCTGTCAAGAGATGGTTGATCATGTGATCTAAATCTTGCGAATTCCATGTCAAATTGTGGAAGGATCATTCTAGGACTAAAATTTGGTTTTTTTTAAGAATTTTTAAAAATGAGGGATTTAGGGAAAATTCTAAATTTTGGGATTGAAGAATTATATTGGACTTTGCTATTTTGGATTTGTGTTTGATTTATAAATGATTTGTTTGCTTTTTGGATTTTAAAATGGATTTGTCTCCCTTAGATTTATTGGTTAAATGAGAAATTTGGAAGTGTTAATTATGTTGTACATATATAATTGGTTGATAAGGAATTCATACAACATTGCCACATGTGAGTAGAACTCTTCTCTATCTTTGAAAAATAATTAGTATTGCATAATTTATCCAATGAAATAGATCAAAAAGTCGTATAGAGTAACGACCATGCAAAACAATCAAGTTGTGAGTGTTGGAGGTAAAAAAAAATTACAAATATATAACAATATATACACGAGAACAAAAAGGGAATATTAAAAATTGATGAGGTTATTTTGGCCATTTTATCTCATTAATTTTTGCCACTCTCGAAAATCCCACCTCATGATGTAGTATTTTATAATCCATGGGATGCATGGATTTTGCACAAAAAAAGTTCCATATGTGCGAACCTCACTAACATCAAGCAAATCTTATGTCATAGTCACAATACTTGAATCATGATTCAATATAAGTGGGATTTTAAAGCAAAATTCCATCCAAAATCCTCCCAAGAATTATTTGGTATTTGTGTTTTGGTACTTTCCTCATCTATCAATTTGAAAGAAATTTGACTTTCATACAAATTTTTTTTTATTGATATTTTCTACCGATGATTCACATGGTCACTGAAATATGAATGTAACTAAAGACATGAAACATGATCATTAAGGTTCCGATATTACTAACGAAATAGTCACTAGCTACCATAATCATATAAATAATTGATACTTTATATGTGACTAATTTGAATGAGAAATGGATGGAAAGTCCGTAAATACATATATTTCAATTCACATATTTAACCATAAACATATTATTAAAAGAACCATAATCCTAGTTATATATAAAAAAACATAATCTAATAAATCATTTCAAAATTAAAGCAAACCCAAAAAGCCTATGGAAACCGAGTTCCCCCAGGTAAACCCAACAAATCTCCGAATCTCCACAAAATCTAACGGCCCGTTCTTTCCCCGCTTAGTAGGAATAGGTATATTTTTCCTCTCCGAATCCCAACAGGAAACTCCTCCTAGCTTAGTTACTTCGGCCCCAAGCAACTCCCTTCCTTCCTTCCCTCTATAAAAACCCTCACCCACGTCCACGTACATCTATTTCTTGCCATTCTACATCTCAACCGCGCATCAATGGCGATCCCTTCAGAACACGGCGACGACGATCATCATGACGATCATAAACTCTCCTCCGGTCCTCCTCCTCCGCCGTCGATCTTCCTCTCGACGTCTCCTTCGAGATCCTGTCCCGCTGCTCCCTCCAAACCGTTGCCAAGTTCCGAACCCTCTCCCGTCAACTCAACTCGCTCACCTACGAGTCCAGCTTCAACCAACTCCTCCACCGCCGAACCCCAACCATCTCCGGCTTCTTCCTCCACCGCCGATCCCATTCCACCTTCGCCTCCGCCGCCACAAGCAACAACAACAACAACCAAAAGATCTCCCTCGACTTCCTCCCTTCCCCAGCCCGCATCGTGGCGTCCACGCCACAAGGATACATGACCTGCGTCACCAACGAACCACGCGGCCTCCACCGATACTACGTCGTTAAACCCGCGACGAAACAGTTTTTCCCACTACCCAACCCGAAGACCAAGCACTTCACCCGACACCCCGTCGGGATGATCGTCCTGCGGTCCCACCCTCTCCGCTTCAAGCTCGTCCGGCTCTCCAACTCTACACACTCGCACCGCAACAACACGTTGTTATTGCGGTGCGAGGTGTTCGATTCTGAATGCTGGAGTTGGAAGAAGCAGCGGCAGCTGGACATCATTGACCATAATGTCCAGCCTTTGCCGCTGCAAAGGGACGAGGAGAAATATTTAGAGCCGGAGTCGCCAGTCGCGGCTCGCGGCTCGCTGCACTGGCTGACGTTCCACGGCCGTGTCTCCGCGTTCCACGGAGACACGAGCGACACGTGGGAGTGTTTTCCGCTGCCGCGGGAAATACGGGAGAAGGACAGGTACGAGGGGGCCATGCAGCTGGCGGAGTACGAGGGGAAGCTAGGGGCGATGTTCACGGGGTGGGAGAGCGGCGTGATGGAGTTGTGGGTGTTGGAGCGTTACTGTGGTGATGAGAAACGTTGGGAGGAGAGGTTGAGGTTGGATTTGAAGGAGCGGGCTGCGGTGCGGGTGCTAGGGTTCTGCGACGCGGACACGGTGGTGCTGGAGCGGCGCGACGGAGGTGTGGCGGTGTGTGAGTTTAGGGTTGGGAGGATGACGGTGGTGGAAGGGCTGAGGTGCACGTCGTGGTTGGATGGGATCTTCGTGGTGCGGTCGGATTTGGAGAGGACGGAGTTTGGACGGCCGGATGGAAAGAAAGATGTTGGTTTTGAGAGGAAGAGGAAGAGGAGGAGGAAGAAGAAGAAGAAGGTGGATTCGTGTTTGGAAAGGGAGTTGGATATGTGTTAGATAGAGGGAGAGGTATGCTTGTTTGAGTTGAGGGATTTGGGGGGGATTTTAATCTAAGCTATTGTCCACCTTCTGATTTGAGGGATATAACTATAAGATTATCATTTTTGACAAAATTGTTAAGACATTGTTACTGCTTTCTTTCTAGCATAGTTGAATGTGGTGGGTTTAGGGCAAAATCATGTTTGTACATGGAAAATATGAAATAAACATATACTTAATTATGGATAATAGAATTCTGATATGTGTCGTCTTATCCTATTTGTTTGACCTATTTTGGGCGGGTACCATAAGTAGGACAAACATGGGTACTCTCCTTGATCTAACCTGCCATAACCCACCCACATGCTTATCCTATTTTTGTCTAGTCGCCCCATTCTCAACCTATTTTTGCATAACTTACATGTATTTTACTTAAAGTACTTGGAAGTTTACTTCTATTACCTCATATTTTTAACAATATTGAAGTTGTAAATAGGCAAGAACCTCAATTTCTTAATTTAACTACATTTGTCATATTATAGTTTGTTTCTTAGTTGTTTGATAAAAGTAAAAAGCTAATTCCACTAGGAAGTTCAAACTATCCAAACTATCCAAAAAGGGTCGTTTATGTTCTAAACTATTCAATATGATAGAAATGCTCTAAACTATAAAGTTTTAGATCATTTGTAGTCCAACTATTTTGTCGACCTTTCAAGTTTAACAATTGACTTACTGGTGGTCAAATGTGTGTTTGGCTATAATGACGTGGCCCTACATGTATGCCACATAAGTTGTCACATCATCGACACATCATAGTTTTATTTGGAATTAAATTAAAAAGAAAAACTACAAAAAGAAAAAGCAAATTAAAAGAAAACTGGGATCTTGCTCTTTCCCCAAACACGATCGAGAACCTCTCCTATCGTTAATCGTTCTCATCGATTGCCAGAGGCTCTTGCTTGCTGGAGGGCCTAACAAAACTCACGCCACCCCTCTACTTCCTTGCCCCTGTCTCACAACTGCTGAAACCCACCGCCATCCGAGCCCCACCGACCTCCCAGAAACCCACCCCCGAATTAATACAACATCCTAACTGCCAACGCAGTTAACATTAACGGGAAAATACTTTGTGCCAGATTTGTCATATTGAATAGTTTAGAACACAAATGACAATTTTTGGATAGTTTGGGCTTCCTAGTGAAATTAGCCCAAATAAAAATAAATGTTTCTAATAGTTTTCTTTTGAATTCAATACTCATATGGGTAGAAGGAGTGGACAGACCAAATTTTGGGATAGTTTGGGCTCTCCCATTCTGGACCAGGCGGAAATACTTTCTACCCATCATCCCGTCCGAAGGCCGAACTGGATTACTATACAAACACAAAAACAATGTGACCGTTTGCAGATTCTGCCTCGCTGAGTGGTTTTGTATCACAGTATTCTAGCCCCGATGCCTATCCTCAAAGGAATAAGGCAGGCCGAAGGTAGTTGACTTGCTTTCTTTTTCCCAACGATTCTTAATCAGGCAAGCTCTTTCCTATTGTTATTGATAGAGATTCAAGTGCGTAAAACACCTCTTCAAGAGAAGACCCTAAGTAGCTGCTGGATTCTCTCAGAAGCTATTTACGCGCTTTCAGACCTTCGCTATAGAATAAATCTGGGCGAGACCTTTGGCATGGAAGGGTTTGATCCTTTTGTTCCAGGAGGAATGGCTGTCAGGAGCGATAGCAGCTCGAACGAATGTGAGAGGATCTAACTAGTGCTTTATATAGCATTCCTGTAGTCTCTGTCCTCCGTCACTCTATCATTAGCCTCGCTCCACTAGCTATTAAGAAGTTTCAATAGGCACTAGTCTGTGCGTATGATGCGCCTACATTGGAAGATGAGATCCTACTTTTGATGATCATAATGACCTCCTCACTAGGAACCTCAGACAGACCAAATGCTCATATTTCCCGCTTCTGACCTGGAGAGCACCTGTACAAGACACAACATCAGGAGACTTCGTCCTGAGCACTCAGGGGTGCCTCCGGAAACACTCAAGCGGTACTGCTGGGGATCGAACTCGGAACCTCCCACATCCCCAACCAATCAAACCAACGATTTCACCTCTACATCTTTGACTATACTAATCTTCTCTGTATCGTTCCAAAGCATGACTCTTGTCTCGTCTCCCTAGTCTCAACAAATATTTTAAGGCTATAAAAGAACTACAAGGCATAGAAATATCAAATACTTTGACCATCGCGGTGCCCCGGACCTACTCCATTACGGAATGCTGATTTTTGGGGGACTCATAAAACCTATTAAAAAAAACTGCATGTTTACAGGTAGGCAGCTACTTGCTACTGTTTTATGCTCAGTTCTTACGTTTCCCAGAAGAAACAAAATCGGACAACTGCCCGCACGCATTCAGTATTTCAGTTCTTACGATTCCCAGAAGAAACAAAATCGGGCATGCAGCCTCCAGTCTTCCAGCCTGCCTTCTTCCAATTGCCATGTTGATTGATAGATGCAGGCAGCAGCAGCCTCTTCCCTTGTCGGTTGCCGGTGGCCCAACTTTCCTTTGCTTTTTCTCCTTTGGAACAGAATTTTCCACCATAATTAATCCCTCAGTTGAAACGTCTTCCTTCCTTGCCCACTTGCTAATCTTTTAGCAATGACGATCTCCAGTCAAATCTCAACCATATACTTTTCCCCACCATTCCCCATCATTTCTTCAAGGCTCTGTTTCCCCGCCTCCCCAAATCCATTCGCGCCCGCCGCCGGCGACCAATGGAAGCCGGTGGGAAATCAGATGACAAAGCGATTCGAACCCATGATGTTGTTCTCCAAATCAGAAGCCCAGACTCCCGCCAGCCGCAGCAACTGTTCTTCCCCAGTCCCGAAAACAGAGATCTTCTCCCTCCAACCAGCCCGCCGCAAGTAGCTTCGTTTCCTCCCACTCCCAGGAACAGCAACAAACCCAATGCCGAGCTGAATACACCGGAGTCGGAGGCTCCCACTCCCAGGCTCAGAGTCCCCCACGCCTCCACTTTCCCCAATTCTCCGGGGACGCCACCATGGTCGACGGCGATTCCCTCCCCTGTTTCGAACCCAGCTCCGGCCAGTTCAATCACAAGACGGAAGTCCCGGATATGGCAATCGGAGTTCAGCAGGCCGAAATCAAGGCTCGTCGAGCCGCAGCCGCCGTTCGCGAGCGACGCGATTCTCAAGGAAGCCAAGACGGGGGAGGCGGCGGCGAGCTCCGGTGGCTCGCCTTACAACAAGAAGTCCCCCCACCGCTCCAATTACAATAACAGCAGCGCGATTTCTAGTGGGAATGGGAGTTTGTCAAGAGGTACGGCGAAGCTGGCGACTCCGATTACTCCCAGAACGCCGTTGATTGGATCTCCAGAGCGAGATGAAGAGGATGACGGCAATGGGGTTTGCAAGACCGCGAACGTCGTCCAGGTGAAGAGCAGCAAGATGGGTAACAAGTGGAAGGTAATGGCGTTGCTTGAGACCACGGCGTTTTTTGCTATAGTGGGGCTGTTGATTGCTAGCTTGACAATTCACAGGCTGCAGAATTCCTACATCTGGGGTTTGCAACTCTGGAAATGGTTCGTTCTTGTTTTGGTAATTCTCTGCGGTAGATTGGTTACGGAATGCTCGGTGAATGTGTTGGTGTTCTTGGTGGAAAGGAATTTCTTGCTCAAGAAGAAGGTTCTTTATTTTGTGTATGGTTTGAAGAACAGTTTCCAGGTGTTGGTTTGGCTAGGGTTAGTGCTTTTAGCTTGGGAGCTCTTGTTCACTCATGGTGTTGAGAGATCTCCAAGGACTGCAAGGGCTCTCAGTCGAATGACTAGAGCCATTGCCGGGTTTCTAGCCGCGGCTGGGATTTGGCTGCTCAAGACTCTGTTGATCAAGTTGGTGGCTTCCTCGTACCATGTCAATAGATTCTTCGACAGAATCCAGGAATCCATCTTCCATCAGTATGTTCTGAGGGCTCTCTCGGGTCCTCCGGTGATGGAAATGGCTGAGGCGATTGGAAGCGGAGTTGGGACGCCAGGGCGGCTGAGCTTCAGGAGCATAGACAAGGAGAAGGAAGAGAAGAAAGAGGAAGTGATTGATGTGGATAAGCTGAAGAAACTGAAGCATGAGAAGGTCTCTGCTTGGACCATGAAAGGGTTGATTGATGTGGTTCTTGGCACTGGGTTGTCAACTCTTTCAAGCATACTTGAAGACACTGAAGAAACTGAGGAGGAGTATCAGCAGAAAGACTATGAGATTACCAGTGAGTGGGAAGCCAAACTCGCAGCGCATAAGGTCTTCAGGAATGTAGCCAAAACTGGCAGCAAGTAACATTCATCAATCCTTATGCCTTCTCATCTGTCTAGGAGTTGGATTGAAAAGATTATTGTTTTAGCTTTGCAGTCCATGTCGAAACAAACGTAGTTATGTTTTTTTCCTTGATGTAACTCAGGTACATTGATGAAGAAGACCTGCTCCGATTCTTGAAGAAGGAAGAGGTGGACAATTTCATTCTCCTGTTCGAAGGAGCTTCAGCAACTGGCAAGATCAAGAGATCTGTTTTCTGGAAGTGGCTGGTTAGTTATTTGGTCAGCCTTTATGGTTCACTTGCTGAACTATAACTTTCAGTGGGATCTCACTCAGATTTTCGTTCGCATTGTTGATTGTGGTAAATTTTGCAGGTCAAGGTGTACAAGGAGCGAAAATCGTTGGCACATTCGTTACATGATACCAAAACTGCAATCGAGGAGCTGAACAAGCTGGTTTCAACTATTCTGGTTCTCTTAATGATTGTTGCGTGGCTACTAGTAATGGGATTCCTTTCAACGCAAGCTCTGCTCTTCATTTCCTCGCAAATCTTGCTAGTTGCATTCATGTTTGGAAACACCGCCAAGACAGTGTTTGAAGCCATCGTGTTCGTGTTTGTGATGCACCCCTTCGACGTGGGGGATCGTTGTGTCGTCGATGGAGTCCAGGCAAGAGCACTACAAAAATACAAAACACACCTTAACCCCCTCCACGAAAATTTAGTGCTGTTTTGCTATACCCTCTAAGCAACATAACTCTCGTTTCCCTTCCCATTGTTCTGCAGATGGTCGTCGAAGAGATGAACCTACTGACGACGGTGTTCCTGAGGTACGACAACGAGAAGATATTCTACCCCAACTCGGTCCTGGCAGGCAAACCCATCAGCAACTTCTGCAGGAGCCCCGAGATGAGCGATGGGGTCGAGTTCGCTGTGGACGTTTCGACTTCGATGGACGAGATCGGGGCCATGAAAGTGAGGATCAAGGGTTACTTGGAGGGCAAGCCACAGCACTGGCGACCGGCACACAGCGTGCTGGTGTTGGGGATTGAAAACATGAACAAGATGCGTATGGGTTTGTACGTGAATCACACCATGAACTTCCAGAGCGGGGAGAGAGGGGGCAGGATTTCCGATCTGATGGTGGAGATGAAGAAGATTTTCGAGGAGGTCGGGATCAAATACCATCTGCCGCCGCAGGAAGTTCATGTCAGATACGTGGGAGGATTAACAGCTAACGCTGCTGGTGCAGGGCCTTTGCCGCCGCCTCCAAGGTGACTGAGGACCTCCCTCTGCAGCTCTCTCCATGGTCTGTTCATATGGGTTTCTTCTTCTTATGCTTTTTTTTCTTTTCTTCTTCCTTCTGTATCATAGTCACAGGTTCCAGAGCTTTTGGCTTTTTAGTTTTTGATTATACATCACGCAAGTGGTACATGTATTTTTCTTTTTACAAAGAATTGCTTACAATGTATAGTTCTTGGCTTCCTGCACAGTTCTGTGTAGTAAGCTAATGAATTTATTCTTTCTTCGGCAAAACAAATAAAAGCAATGTATGGTATGCTTCCTGCACAGTTCTGTGTAGTAAGCTAATGAATTTATTCTTTTATCGGCAAAACAAATAAAAACAATGTATGGTATTTGTGCAGAGGGGTCGAACCACTAATCCAATGGTTGGCATTGAGAAATCTTACCATTTCGACTAGGGGTTTTCCATTTATAATACAAACATGTTTAAATATATCAATGCTAATTATCTGCCTAATATCAAAACACAAAACTCTAATCGTCAATCCCTGTAATCCCTAGTTACAATTTCGTTCTTCCTCCACCTAGCAGTAGCAGAGGTACTGCGAGTTGCACGCTGAGATCGCCATACCTCCAAGCTTTCCATCCTCCAGCCTCCAAGCTCGCCGAACCTCCACCTCCCACCCATATTTTCGGCTCCTACCCAACAAATCCAAACTATCTCCAGCCTCCATAAACCCTTCTCATTTCAATCGCGAGCAGGGCTGGGGAGCAACAAGCCAGCAGCACAAAAATTACTTTGTTTGACATCTTCAAATCTTTAACAACAAAGTAAAATCTAAGTTTTAATATCAATTACTTGAAAGTTTTGTTATTTGTGTTAATTTAGGGTTAGGTTTGTGTGTTTGTTATACTCAATTTCATCTCCAAATTAAGTACATGGACTGAATTAGTCATATAATGAAGTTGATTTTCATATTTTCGTTTAGAGTTGACTTTTTCATGACATGAAAAAGCACCCCTTGGTCAATTTTTTTTTGGCTCCGCCACTGATAGAGACTATCTATTATTCTATTTTAAATAGTTTGAATTTCATCAATATTAATATTTACCAGATTCGGGTACTAAATTAAAATCTTGTTTATAACTCAATTGAGTTTTGGGTATTCACAGGTAATACTTATCTTTTCAATTATTATGTTACATAAGTATAATAAAAATATATAAATAACAAATCACAATAGTTCTTGAGATGCCACGTAGCAACTAGGAATACCAAATATGTTGAAATAAAAAGTAATATTTTATTCAAAATATTGTATATACATGTATAAGCAAACAAGTTCGAGTTGGATAGTGAGAGAACCATATTCGTATGTTATATCCAGACCATGATATTCAACTTCATATTTTACTCGTACTATAAACTATTTTATTTAGTTCAAGTTTTACACTACCTAATCTAGTCGAATTCGAGCCAATATCAAAGATATTATTTTCATCCCTACTTTTATGTTTTTATTCTCCTTTTATCTCAACTCTTGGATCAAGCATGAAAAAGATTTTTTTTTTTTTGGGCCATTAGATTCCTCTGGAGAAGAGGTAGAACAAAGTTCACCGATACAAAGACACTACCGACTACCTAACCAAGCAACAAAGTCGAACCTCTGAAGAACCCGAGGCGACAAAACCAGAGCATGACGAGCTACCGAATGAATTGTTCTATTATTAGTTCTACCTACGAAACATAGTGAAACCGAAGGGGAAAAAACTTGAAGCAGAAGAGCAATCTCTTGAAGAAGAATCACAATCTTCGAATCACTAGTTTCGCCTGCTCGACATTTATCAATCAGATTTTTAGCATCACCTTGAACGCAAAGATTCAGCAATCTGTGCTGAGTACAGTGTCGAAGGCAGTCTCGAAGAGCCAAAGCTTCAAGCACATACCGATCAGACACATCCATCATAACGAGAATGGGGTTGGCTCGAGAAGATCCGGACAAACCAGCCCAATTATTTTTTTTTTAAAGAGCCCACGCTGTACATGGGCGCTGAGCCGTGCTTGGGCCGGCACGGGCACGTTTCGGGCCCATTTATTTCGTGGCGTGCCATGCAAGCCCATTTGTTAACTTTGCTAGGCCCAGCCCAGGCCCCGGCACGGTTCGAATCGTGTCGTGCCTATTCGTGCTCATGTCGTACTCGTATTCGTGTTTAATGAAAAGGACGAAAACAAAAGAGAGAATGAAAACGAAGGTGAAAATTGGACGGGGGAAGATAGTATTAACCTATAATGTTTGAGAAAAGTAACAGATAAGGGGGAAAAGAAAATTGAAAGTATAGGGAATGTGATTGGGCTTTGTATAATTCTTTGTCAATTTCTACTTATGTTAGTAATTACGTATATATCTTTATGACACTTCTAACAACAACAAATAATTATTTTTCTACTTGTGTTTTGTAATATTTGAACCTGTAATTCTTTTTATATTTATTTTCTATCAAATAAATAATATTTTCGTGCCATGTATGTTCTTATATTATATAAAATATCAAAAATATTAGGTTCGACACGACTCACTAATATACCGTGTCGTACCCGTACTCATTCTGGTGCCCATGAAGTTTAGACCCGGCACGATCTACAAATTATTCGTGCGGGCTTCATTTATTCCGTTCTCGTGCTGTCGTGGCCACGTACAGCCCACGCCCAGCCGTACTAGAGAAAAGTTCGCCCTCCTACGAATCCGACGGTGACTAGGCCAAGGAACGAAGATAACGTTATCCATCACTCCCCACCGGAGACGTCGCCACGTAGGACACACAATCGAGATCACCTACTCCCCCATTTTTCATATCTCAATTCCTCACCTCTCATTTCCCCGCATCCTAAACAAATACCCTAAAACCTCCCTCCTTACTAATCGTCTTTGTTTCTCGGCGAGAAAAGTCACGAACCAAAACCTCCAGTCCAGAGAGCGCTAAGAAGACAACTCACAAACCCTCTCAGAGAAGAAATGGCCGCTTCCACTTCAGCCGTGTCGATGTCCATGCCCCTGACTTACGCCAGCCAGAACAAGATTGCGGCGCCGCAGGGGGGCTTCATGTCGTTCAAGCCACTGCCGCCGGCAACCCCGTCGTCGTCGTCGTCGTCCAACGCCGGAAGGGCCAGATCCCAAGTCGTCAGGGCTTCCCTCAGGGAGAAGGCCGTCACCGGATTGACCGCCGCCGCGCTCACGGCTTCCATGGTCATCCCCGACGTGGCGGAGGCCGCCGAGGTCAGCCCTTCGCTCAAGAACTTCTTGCTCAGCATCATCGCCGGCGGCGTCGTGCTCACCGCCATCATCGGCGCCATAGTTGGCGTGTCCAACTTCGACCCTGTCAAGCGGACCTAAGGCACGCACAAGAAGTGGGGTCGCAGTTTGTTTGTAATACTTTTAATGAAGAAACGCTGAAGGGATGGATTCCTAATTTCTCTACCTCTTATGTTCTTTCTACTGTTAATTGCTCTCAGTGTAATCTGTTCGGCTCTCCTTTCTCAGTGAAAAAATCTATCATCTTCTCTGCCGCGGAAGGTTATATGATAATCTAATTATGGTCTCTAGAACTAGAAGCGAAATATGTAAACTTGCTTACTTTGGTAAAGGCAATGATCCCAACCTGTCGAGAATTCAATGCCTGATTGATGGCAGTGTTTCATTAGCATGGTTTGTCCAGCCCAAATTAGATTGTTAAGCTACAAAAGGGACCAATCTGGGACTGGGAGAGTTGGTTGGCCGGCGAAGATGGCCAATGTCGTCGGGTTAATGGAGGAGCATGTCGGAGAGGTGAAATCGGCATCCTAGCACGTTTATTAACATTTCTGCAGGCTGCAGCATCGCCTTTCCAGGAACAGAGGAACTTCACAAGCATATAACAGAACAGCAAGAACTGTAAACAGGTAGTAACTTAGCAAAGCTTAAAACACATGCCATGGAGTTTACTTGAGATACCATATATCCGGTTGCTATCAAAACAAAATTTGTCACAAGAAATGTCAAAAACAAGTACTAAGTAGACAACAGACCTAAAATTAACTCCTCGACATGGAAACTTTTTAATTGTTGTCTAGGCAGCATTGAGCTGAAGACTCAAAAAGGCATGATACGAGCATCTTCAAGCAACTGCAACAGCAACAGGAGGAGGAATCTCGGCCTCGACTGCTGGAGCAGGCATAGAAGCAGCCCTCATATACTCCTCCTCGTCCTTGGGTGGGTGAATGGTGACAAGATCAGGGAGAGGAGTTGTAGGGCCAAGTTTACCCTTGGGATCCCAATCGAGCATGATCTTGACCTTGATACCAAGAACACCCTGTGCATAATTGCAGTACGGGATGTTACAAGACGTGGGAGAACATCAGATTGAAAGCAGACTTGAAGGTTAAGAGTAAATCGAGACGAACCTGTCTCAAGAGGACATGTCTCACAGCAGAGTCAATGTATTCGTTGACTGGGTGCCCAGAAGAGATCATGTAACCATCCATGAACTTCATGGATTTAGCACGCTGTGCCCTTAGCTTTCCACTAACAATCACCTGTTAAACCATCAGTATTATTAGTGACATTAACAAACAGCCCACGGCCAATGTGTATCCACGATGCTCACAAGACGGGAAAGATCAGAGACGGACCTCGCATCCCTTGGCGCCACTTTCCATGACAAACCTCAACACACCATAACACGCCCTGATGCAACACAGCAGAACAGCAGGCAAGTAAGAATCGAGAGATAGTGTGATGAAAGGAGTAAAGGCTATGACATGTTGGGCTATGGTACCAAATAGAAAAATGAATATAGTAGAGACAACTAATGCTAGTAAAAACGAAACAGATCTAAATCAAAAGAGAATGTATACTATTCTGATACTACAGGAAAGCAACAGTTTTATTTCTTGATGATTACAGAACAGATGAATCATATTCATTTAGTCATCTTCAGACACAAGTTTGCCAGAAAATGGCAAATCTGCTGTGTTAATGAGAGCTTACTGCAACCTAACCTTAAGAACTATGTTGTATAAATGAATTTGGTATCTAATACAACGCTGAACCAGCAGAAAAAAATAAACCTAAGGAGTATAACTGATAAGTTGAATATGCAATATTTCCTCTAGAACTAGCTGCATGAGCTTGGAAGCTCTTCATGAAGACAATGTGTACCAGAGGAACATTAATCCCTATAGTCATCTTCCGACACAAAATTTGTCAAGAGTTAGGCAAATCTGCTTTATAGATGACTAAACCAGCTGTAATAATAAACCTATGGAGTATGGCTGACAATTAAGTCATAAATTGAAAGCTATTTTTCCTCTAGAACTAGCTGCATCAGCTTTAAAGCTCTTCATGAAGACAATATGTACCAGAGGAATATTAATTGCCTTTCGTCATCTTCCGACACAAAATTTGTCAAGGGTTAGGCAAATCTGCTTTATAGATGACAATCAAAGCAGACTACACGGACAATAAAAATGAAGAGAAGCAAACTACCATTTCCAGAAACAAGTGGGATAATCAAGGCACACACACAACCACGTCGAAGTTCTAGACCAATTTTAACATCCATCCATATTCACATACAGCAGACGACAATCTAACAGACCAACGACAATCTAACAGACCAAAACAGCAATTAAATATTGAACGAGATGGGAAAGGATATAAACCTTCTAACAGCAAGACCACCAAGGAGCTTGTAGCGAAGAGACTCAGCCTGGGCGATAGCACAAAGCCCTCTGCTGTTCACCTTCTCAGCATACAGCTCAACGCTGTTCTCAGGGAACTTAAATCTCTTCTGAACAACCGAAGTCAGCTCTCTAATACGTCTTCCCTTCTCCCCTATATCCAAGAAAAATAACCCAGATCCGTAAACCTCAGATCAACAGAAAAACATAAACAAAATCCCAAAACTCGCTCAATTGAGTGATTCACCATTCAAACAGATCGAAATAAATAAAATAAAAACTGAAAATGGAAGCGAGAAACGTACCCAAGACGTTCTGGGTGCGGGTGGCCCTGATAATGATCTCAGTCCGCATAGGTGTAACCCTAACCTCAACGCCGGAGTAGCCATCCTCGGCGAGCTCCCTGGTCAAAACCTCGTTAAGCTCGGCAAAGAACACTCCGTCAGCGACAAACTGCAAAGCACCCAAAAATCAGAACCGGTCTGTACAACCCTAATTGCATGATAGATGGAAAGGAAGAGGACGCGAAGAAAAACCTTTCGCTTCTTGCTCATTTGGGTCGCCATCTTGTTGCCGGAAGCAGTATGAATAGGCCGGGAGGAGCTTTATCAGATATATAAGCCGCAGAGGCGATGGATTCCGTTTGTGCAAAGTGCAGGCAGCCAAAACCCTAGTTCCGAAGGGGAGGATTATATTCGCGCAGAGGGTGGCAATCGACGGTTGTCAATTAATCGTAGTTTAGGGTTTTGCTGGGCCTGATGATGGGTTGTCAGCCCTGGATAGTGATGTTGGACCCTGAGCCCTTACCATTGGGCTTAACGGAGATTCTCCGTGGAAATATGTATGTTCTTGTTTAGTTGTTTTTTAGGGGGCAATTAACTTATATCTTATTAATTAGCCGCACTAAAAAGTGCGGCACCGATGACGCCGTTTTTTATCGGGCCACGTGGTGTTGATGTGCCGGTGACTGGTTTACTTAGTTCAAGCCTATGATCCATAAAAATTTGGAATTGTCCAAACCGAAGCCCAAGTCAGAGACGGGAGTTCCACCTGTTGTTACCCTTTTTTTAGTAATTAATATGAAATTGATTTAAGTTTTATATGCATTTATTTTCATTTTGAAAAAAAAACCCGAAGGAAAAACGATTGGTGGTCGTCTTCCTCGTTCTCTCGCTTGTTAGAATCGGAAAAGAGCCAACTACTCTGCTGAGCTCCAACGTCGCCATCCAAACTTCACACCCTCCACCAAATTCAGCAGCCGTATTCCTCGTCCATTAATCCAATTCGTTTGGGTTTCCAAGATTGAAAAAAAAATCAACAACAAGGGATGACGCCGAGGGCCGAACCAAAAGGGAATCCTCGATCTCCTTTGCCGGCGTGCTCCAAAAGCAGTCCACGCATAAGGTTGATCTTAGAGATGGGATCGAGCACGAACTAGTGACCGTAGTGATTTTGGCGGCGGCGCTCTTCGATGGTCACAGAGGCCCCGAAGATACAATTTCTTCGCCTTTGAACAAGCCACCGAGATGATTTTGGAGATGGGTATTGGCCGCGACCAAGTCACCGAATCGATTTCGGGAGAACGTCGGAGAAGAGATCGAGGAACAGCTTTTCGTTCGTCCGTCGTCGTCCCCTACTTACCCGTTTTCTCAATCGTACGAAATAAAAAACTAATTCAATTTTTAATTAATAAAAATATAAATACAGTTTGGCAAAAAAAAAAAAAGAGGAATAAGCGTTTAAGTTGGACGGAGAGGGAGTCTCCGTTAGTGTGGGAGAGCCGGGTTGGTTTCAGTTCTAGTTACTCATGGGCTTTGGGTCGCGCTAATTAAACCAGTCACTGCCACATCAGCGCCACGTGGCCCAATCAAAAACGGCGTCACCGGTGCCGCACTTTTTAGTGCGGCACCGTAGCATTTCCCTACTAATTATTGCCTACTGCTTTTCATTTGTGACTGTGTGATTTTTTTTAATAATGGTGATATAGGTTTACTTTTTTATGATTAAAATATTACTTAAGATATTTGAACTTGAGACCTCTATTTTCTAGGGTAGTGGCATTACCATTATACCAAACGCTTGTTCATTGTGGGTATTTTAATGACATTTTGCAATCCTATGAAAAGATGGGGCCGATATTTTGATGTTCACTTAACACAATCTTTCCGTATGTTTGTTGATGACTTAGACTTGCTAGATATTGGTTTCTCGGGTCCTAGATTCACATGGTTGAATAGACATAGCTTGTCTGCCACTTTCATTTAAAGTAGACTAGATATATTTCATTTTTCAGCACATTAGCTAGATTTTTGGCCAACGAGTAATGCTCCCCGGCGATCGGCGGCAGCTCTCCTTTCCAATTTTTCGTCCTTTCCTTTTTCCTTTTCGTGCGCTTGTTTTCCCTTCCAACTTTGTGCTTGTTTCTGCCTTCCATGGCTTTTTCTTTCACGTTGGTGGATCTTTCTTCCTCCCCCCCTGATGGGTTGAGCTTTTGCCCTCCGATCTGGTCACTCGGATCTGAGATGATGGTTCGTTTATAAGGTGCGATGGAGGCCAAATCTGGTTCAGATCTGGCTTGTTTTCTCCTTTTCTCTCCCTGGTCTACCTCCATGACTCGCCTTGCAGATTTAGGTGCATCGGAGATGCAGCCCTTGGCGTCAGACTCAGAGTTAAAAGCTTGAAGACAAAGGTCCCCTTCCCTCTGGATCCTTCATCGGCGATGGTCGTTTGCTGCTATCCCTGGGTTCCGATTGGGGGAGGCTGAAGCCAACTGGCTCGGGAAGGAAAGGCGGGAGGTTCTCTTACCCTCCCCTTCGTATGAGTTTGGCAAGATTCGAACGACAGTACTAGCACTTTGCGGCGGTGGCAACGCCAGGTGGTTGTTCACACGACGGTGGTGGGTCTCGGTAGCGGCGATGGGGAACAAGAGGGGACAAAGTTTCGATTTACGGTTTTGAAACCCTTTCTTGTTTTGGCCCGGGTCCGGACCCTATTGGGTTTCCGGACCACATGTTTGGGCCTTTTTTCTTTGGTTTATGATCCATTTTCGTTTTCTCTGCTTGTACCTTTTCATTTGGGCTTTGGCCCGGTCGCATTCTTAATGACATTTCACTTAAAAAAAGGGTAATGCTCACCATCTCACTAACCAATAAATTTTTATTTGTTATATGTTCATCGGTCTATGAAAATGATCCTTAATAAGAAAGTTTTCATGTTTGATGCTAGATGGAGTAAGAACCAAGAAGCGGCAAATATTGTTGATCATATATGGCACAGAGTCCCCCAGTAATGTTTAGACCATAGAGCGATTCTATATCATTGGTCTACTAAAGGGATCCCTAGTAAGAAAGTTTCCATGTTTGATGCCAGATGGAGTAAGAACCAAGAAGTGGACAATATTATAGCTCAGACATGGCAAGAACCAACCCATGGCTCTCCAAGTTTCCGACTTTGGACTTGCATGAAACAAGCTCGGCATAGGTTGTTCACTTGGGTGAAATCTGGTTCAATGAATTCGGCTCATCACATTAGACATCTTCGCAATGGAACCACCCATAATATGGTTGATTGGATCAATGTAGTCAACACTTTACAACTTAAAAGTTTATGATTTTAAACTTTTAGGTCACCAAAATGATTCTAAGTAGAAAGTTTTTCACTAATAATTGTAGTCAAAATCTAGGCTTTAGAGTTTAAAAACTTGCATTTTTTACGCTTCTACATAGATTCGTGATTTTTAGATTCGTGATTTTGACTGCATTGGATTGGATTAAACTCACTTGGCTGACCCAGAATTTGCTACAACTTGGCTGCTGAGGAATTGTATTATTGGAAGCAAAAGTCACGCATAAAAATGGTCATAAGAGGGGGAATCGAAACAGGAGGTATTTTCATTCGGTGAATCAAGTGTGTAGAAGAAGAAATCAAATCCAAGAGCTTTTTACCCAGAGGACTATTGGGTGACGCAGGAAGCTCATAAACAACTTGTGGTCACTAATCTCTATTCTCGTTTATTCACCTCAAAAGGAGAAGTCGTGGGCATAAGAGAGAGTGGCAGTTGGAGTTTCACGACTCCCTCTGGCGAAAAATGGTCACTTCAAAAATGAATCACATTTTAAGTTTTTAACCGATGATGTTTCACCGGAGGTAGTTCGTGGTACGATTTTTCATATGACTAACATGTTGACATGCAAATGCCCTATGATTGTGTTGAATGGTCTTTCCATTTTTCAATTCTTTAGAAGATGCAATTTTCTCTACTTTCGATAAATTAGGTGAAGAAATGTGTTACTACTATTTTTTTTTCTTCCTATTATGGTTAATGACACAGCTTTAGGATAATTCTCTGCTACTCGAGATTGAAGCAAGGGGATTAATTGTCTCCACTATATGATGTAGTATACAAGAGAAAAATTCCTAGAGGTGTCTAGGGTCATATTTCACATGGACTTTCGATAGTAACTACTCACACATAACCAATTGTAATCAATGTATACAGTCGGCATACGGGGATGATAAATTGATACAAATTGCGTTTCCTATACTTCAAATTCTCGGCACAACTCTTGTTTATCCTCTTCTCCTTCCTTTCACACTCCACCCCCATAAGAAATCAGTCTGAGATATCCTGGAGAATTGTGAAATAAAAAGCGGTAGTTTTTGTCTTTTTGAAGGAGAAAACATACTCATACCCGGCAATTGGATCCCTGAATGCAAAGAAGACTGTCCAAGCTTCCCGCGAGATCCTGACATATTCGTGGAAGGTGATGGGCGAATCTTCCTATGAATCGTTGTCAACATGTGGCTTCCTGCGACTGTGGAGACAGTGTTGTCGGTGGAACGATGGTGATGGGCGAGGGCAGTGGCGTGGTTGCGGACAACATTGTGCTAGCTCTATCACAGGCAGCGATGATCCTTTCGCTGGTAGCTAGGACACATTCTGTCAGCTAGATCAAATCATTGATATCATCCCTAGATGGCCATACTGAGCTCATCGTATCATAATCAGACTCTGATACCAATTAATGCATTAACGATTAAATGCATCGATAGAACGACTGCTACTCCTAAAAACACAAAAGAACACTATTAAAACTACTTTATTCTTCTTCACTAGTTATTAAAAACTGAACCACGAAGTGAAAATATATAGGAAAAACTCAAAACCCTAAAAATTTATCCTAATCCCGCCCCTTTACTAGTCCTAGACGGCCAATAAAACCATAACCTATTATAATTCTAACAATCATCAATAATAAACCCATACCCTCCTTTAACAGCCGAATAACATAACTAATAAATAATATTTTAATAAGTCTCTCACAAAATAATAATAATAATAATAATAAGTCACCATCCATCGAGTTACCACTCATATGCTTCCTCAAAAACCGGCGAGGATAGCATAACAACACCATTATTGTTGTTATTATAACAACATAACTAGTGTGGGCCCCGGCCAGTTGGCCGGAGGAAGGTAGGATGGCAATGGGTCGGGTTGAGTTGGGTTTTGCCAAATTCAAATCCAAATTCATGGGTTTATCCGTGAAAAAAATTCGGGGTAAAATCCACTGGGTTTGAAAAACTCAAACCCAACTCAACCCCCTGGATATCCGCGGGTTCATGGGTACCCACAGGTTTTTGTCTTAAAAAATTTACAATAACAAGTTGCTATCAAAATTAAAGTCAAATATCAATCTCTCAATACAAATTATCCATATATAAAATATCATTCTAGAAAATTCAAGCAAATAACAAATTATCCATAAATAACATGATTAATTGAAAGCTTCTTCCTTTCAATTAAGTTTCTTCACTCTCCACTCGATAACATCAACTTCATTCTACACAATTAGAAAGAAAAAATTAGACATGTCTCCACAAACATAAATAAGATAAGTTGTTTAGAATATTAAATATATCGAGAAAATTAATTATATGGGTGTGGGCGGGTACCCATGGGTCGGGTTTACCTAAACCCAAACCCAACCCGATGAATATTGAACGGGTTTAAACCCAAACCCGGCCCAAAACCCGTCAACACGGATTTTACCCGCGTTGACCGAGTTGGGTAGGGTGGGTACCCGTGGGTTCGGATTTTGTTTTCATCCCTAGAGGAAGGTGAGGTATGAAATTTGATAATGTAATGGGGTGTATAACTTATTGTTGTATAGTTTTTTTGGGAAACACGTGATAAAAATAGTGAATTTTAGCAGGAAAGAGACATTAATGATGCAACAAATCAAAAATCGGCCTTATGAACCAAAATCAAGTACCTGTTACCTTGTGAAACAATATTGTTTCTGGTAATATGATGAGGTGGAGTAAGTTTTATAGAAACTGAATTCTAGAAAATCGAATAAAAAATCGCCTATCCCGTCGGTTTTCGGGAAATGAGCATCTCACAATCGTTGCTAGCTTTTACTCGGCCCGTTGGCCGATTAATTTGGTTTATAAAACTTTCATCTTGTCGTCATTGTGCTTTCTGGTTTTTTTCAGGCTATGATAAAATCTAAGGAAATAAAGAACGAACAACACGATTTGGGATAGGAACCGTCGTTGTCGTATCCCTAGAAAATGGTGGTAAACACGGACTCACCTGCCAAACTGGTTTGGATTGAGATTTTTATCGGGTATCAGGGAACCATGTGATTATAAATTAGACTTGATCAAAAGGGGCCAAAACTTGAAATGCAGCCTGTTTGACCGACCCATGCCAAATTCTAATTATTCTTTACTTTTAAACTTTTTATTTGAAAATAAAAAATAGTGAAAGAAAAGAGATGACTGCCATTTGCACATCACTTATTCGGGAATAAAACCATAGAAATTCAAAAGGAACTGAAAATGTTAGGATCGTTTTAATGTTTAAAATAACCAAATAGATCTTTCTGTTTAGTTTTTTACTAACAAATACCAAACGATTCCCTATAAAATACACTATGATTTGATCATTATGATATCAAATAATTATATAATATATATTTGAAATGATAAAAATTAGACTAATTGGGTTGGTCGAGGTTGAATGAATAACTTTAAAATACATTATATTTTAGCCACTAAGATATAAAATAATAGCATAATATATTATGCCAGAGAAAATAGCTTGTTTTAGAATGTCAAACCAATGATGTTCATTTGTTTTACTTGATGGCCAAATCCCGTGTAGGTCAAACCAATTCAACTCTTTTATTTTATGGTTAGCGGTTAGCCCATTAGATACCATGCATTAGTTTATTGTTAAATTTTTTATTTTTAGAAATAAAAAGAAGTATTGTTTTTGCCTCTTCATATATATTTTATCACCACGGAGAAATAAAAGGGCTTAATGAAAAAATTGACACTCTTGAACCCGTTTAAATCCGCATGTGTACGGTAAGTTGGCTCGTTCCACAGAGGAAAGAGGAAAAAATTGACACTCCCTATTCTTTTTTTTTGGTAAGGAAATTTGAAATGGGGGAAGGGTTTTTTCCTCTCTGCTATTATATCTTTTTAATTTAAAAAGATGCAACAAATGTACTTAGTGTGATTGGTTATGATCCTTACTTTTCTTTAAAATGGTCATGGTTCGAATCCCACTACGTGTCTTTTTAATGAATTAAAAAAAGTAAGTGTGAAGACCAAAATGTCCTTCCTACTTTCACTCTCGTTGCAGGAAATTTGAAATGGGGCTCCCGTTTTTCCCTTCGGTGTATTATATTATGTGTAGATTCATTAAGGATAAATAAGTAAATTAACAAAAAAATATCAAATTAAAATTAAACAAATAATCCCCAAACCCTAATCCGCTCCTCGTATCCAATTTCTTCCGTTCCTCCCATCTCCCGCTGTTCCTTCTTTCTTCCACCGTCGGCGTCGCAAATCCTGTAATCCTTCTATGTTCCGGCGCCGATCAAAAACTCTGACAATCCATTCAGACTCCGGCATCGCAAATCCTGTATACTTACCAGGTTCCGGCGCCTTGGTCATCCCCGCCGACGCCCTGCTCACAACGACCCACCCTTGCTCGCTGCCGTCGAAGCTCAGCATCGTCACTATCGCCTGCATGATCGCGTCGTTCTCCACGGTCTTGTTGTACTGGACCTTGGAGTGCCACATGCTCTCGAGCCTCACCAAGAAGAACCAGATGAGGGTGAAGTCAGGGACACATGGCTCAGGCTCTCGGACTGGACCATGACGTTGTTCTTCCTCACTTTCTCCTTCGGGCTGCTCTTCCCGACGTACAGTATTTCCATGGTGATTCATGCTGCTCCAGCTACTGCTTGTGTTGTTGTGGTGAATTTCCTGATCCAGTCCATGTCCTCACCTCTGTACAAGCAAATGAATTAGAGAGACAGGAATTAATTATGTGTGAAAACATAATTAATTAAGAGAGAACTATGTAATTATTATTTATACAAACCTGGTAAGTATACACATTACTAATTATTGTTACTAATTCCATTCATGTAGTAAGAACGTCGGATAGAATAAAAACCTTACAAAGCATATCAAAATTATTTCGAAAGCATATCGGAAACCTCCTAATGCAAACCACAAATTCGCTAAAACATATCAGAAACCCCACAAAGCAAACCATAAATATTTTGAAAAGCACACCAGAAACCCCCTAATGCAAACCACAAACACGGTAAAGCAAACCAAAAACGTCCTAATGCAGACCACAAATATATTAAAACAAACCAGAAATCTCGCAAAGCACACCACAAAAGTTTTGAAAGCACACCAAAAACCTCCTAATGCAAACCACAAACCTCCTAATGCATACCACAAATCTCCTAAAACAAACCACAAACCTCACAAAGCAAACCATAACATTTGCGAAAGCACACCAGAAACCTCCTAATGCAAATCACAAACACAGTAAATCAAACCCAAAAAAAAAACAAACCATAAACGTCCTAATGCACACCACAAATATATTAAAACAAACCAGAAACCTCACAATGCAAACCACAAAGTTTTTGAAAGCAAACCAGAAACTTCTCAATGCAAACCACAAACACGATAAAGCAAACCACAAAAGGCATACAAAAATATGAGAAACCAAACCATAAATCTCACAATGCTAACCATAACATCCGGTGATCGTTGACCGTTGACCGGTCAACGAAGACCGTGGACCGGTCAACGAAGTTTGTTGACCGAACTCCGATGACCGTCAGTGAGAAGAGTCCGGCGTCGATAGGCATATTCCGGCCCCGATGACTAGATTCCGACGCCGGTAAGCATATTCCAACGTCGGTAAGCATATTCCGACGTCGGTAAGCATATTCCGGCGACAAATAGCATATTCCGGCGACAAAAAAGCATATTCCGGTGACCGGCGACCGGCGACCAGTTTTCGGCGACCGGTGGCAGAATTCCGGCGACCAAATTTTTGGGCAGAAAATAAAAAATATTTTTTTTTTATTTTTTTTATTTTTATTATTTAAACAAATTTTTCACAATGACAATTATACCCCTGCTTTGATTTTACACTAGGTCAACTCATCTAATAAAAAGTCATCACAATCCTAGCTTCCTATTGGTTGGAGACTAGTGTTATTACAATAACAACACAAGGGGTGTTGTCATAGTAACCAGTCCCCTCAAAAACTTGGTGTAGTACTGTCGTCATGATTTGAAGACAGAATATACATATTTGTTTTACTATTTTGGGCTTGTTCTCTAACCTTATTTTTTCTAGGTTGGGTTAGATTAAGCCGAAGGTATTATATATACTTTATCAATTGTAATATGTATTTTCGCAAATATAGTGAAACTTCTCTCTCTTGTCCGCAAACGTAGCTAAGACACATTTTGGGCTTGTTCTCCGCACTCAATTCTTTCCCAATTCTCTCCTCGTCGAACAGTATTCTTCACAAGGCGCCCCGACCCTGCACAGATAAACGCCTAGAGGGCTTGGATTGCCCGTTAGCACTCCGAAGCGCAAGTCAGATCCTGCCTTTTAGAGAGAGAAGTAAACTCAGGAACTTAGTGAGAGAAGCCAACCTGCGTAAATGCTACCTACCGGGTACTATTTATACTGGCCGAGGTCCCAACGGTCTTCTTGGCATTTCAACCCACGTCAGCTCTTCATTTAATGCATGGTACGGTACAGCAGTCAGGCGCCTATACGTGGCCGCTTCAGAACGCCCCGAGGGGGGCGCCCAGCAGGGACCACAGCCGCCATGTGGCTCGTTTCCCTGCTTGCCCTTCCGTACCCTTTGTCCTCATGCCTCCTTTGTCGTCATGCGCCTGTCCTACCTTGAGAGGCCTAACCCATTGTTTGGGCCTTTTCAAACCTAAACTATTCCTTTTTGGGCCCGTTTCACTATTCCCACCTCATGGGCTTGGGCCTATTTATACATCCCCAACAATTGCCCCCCAGTTAGGCGCTCATAGTCGATGGGCGCCTAACTATTGACCGATACCCCTTCTTAGCACGCCTTTCGCCATCATGCCCACTTCTCTTGCACCCACTCAGGCTCTTTCTTTATGCGCTCTTGCCCCCCTGTGTCCCTTCATACCATCCCTCTTCAGCAGGCGCCTCCTCTTCAGCGGGCGCCTAACAGGTTATACCCGCCCCCCTCACCGTGCGGTTCAAAATTCGATTTTTTTTTTTTTTTTGAAATTTGAAATTTGAAACGGACGGCGAGGATCTAATCTCACGAGAGGGCGCGTCTTCCAACACTGGCCGTTGGACTCCCCGCCCATATATATACCTGGGTCGCTTTCCTCTCCATTCATTCTAACGAAATCACTCTCTCTCTAACTTTATCTCTCTAAACGCGGCCGCCTGTGCGCCTGTTGTAATATAAAATAATCAAGGCAACATGTCTCGCCGTGCCGACTCAGGCGCCCCCTCCTCTGACGCAACGAAAGATACTGGTTCGGCGCCTGACGTTCTGTCGGTACTGGAAAAGCATTTTTCTCCGGATCCCCTCCGCGAGTCGGGCGGATGGACGCCTCGCACCAGACATCAGGCGCCTTCAAAGGATGACACGCCCCTTGATCCTGTTACCTCGGAGGCGCCTACTTCAAGAGATCACTCGATCGAGGGAGAGGAGATTCCCCGCCCAAAGGCGCCTACCACGGATGCTGCACCTGACGCAGCGGCGCCGTCACAACCCACCCCAAGTAAGTGATTCTAGCAAACCCTGAACCAAGACAACCTTTTTTTTTTTTTTTAGGCGCCCCAGCCATTAGGACTTAGCATTGACAATGGCCGTTTCCTCAAACCTTTTAGGCGCTGCACCCAGACCCTCCTTATCGGCTTCCTTAGTGCTGTCGCCGATGTCCTCTGATTCAGGCACCCCCGAGGATGGATCCGTCAAGATTAGGAGGTGGGTTGATACGTTTCCCTCGGGGCAGGCGCCAGGTGATACCGGCCACTTGTCAGTGATCGAAGCTGGCCCTAATCGCGTTTCTACCGTCAAGGCGCTTGAGTTAGAAAACTTGGCCGTCTCCATGCAACTTCCCCTTACCTGGTCCTATGCGCCTGCACCCCGCGCGGCCCGAATTGGCATTGTTGGTCCCCGCTGGCTCGGCATCTACCGAGAGTATTTTCGATTTGGCCTTCGCTTTCCCCTGGATCCGATTCTTGAAGGCATATTATCTACATGCAAATGCTCCATTGGGCGCCTCTCCCCCTCCGTTTTTCTTGTCCATATTTTATTCAGACTTAAGTGTAGGCAGCATAACGTCGAGCCGTCATTTAACATTTTCCATCATTTTTTTAAGATGCAATATAGCGATAATTGCCTTTCGATTCAGAGGCGCCTAGACATCCCCGGCCACTTCTTAGTAGAGGCGCCCAAACTTGGCCGAGAGTGGTTTAGGAGCTTCTTTTTTGTAAAACCTCGCCAAGAGTCTTTTTACGAAAGTGGCGCCCCGTTCACGAGAGGATGGGTGATGGGTGACCATGAGGAGTTCAATGTTGAGGTATCCCTGACGAAATCGGAGAAGGAAGGCGCCCGCCTTATTTCCTTGCATCCTGTTTGTCTTAAGTCTACTGAGGCGCGGACGCCTGTCCTACACGAATTTTATCGTGATGGTGGGCTCTTGCTTTGAATGCGCCTGTTTTATACGCTCATTGTTTTGCATGTCATTTTTATATGCTCCCTTTGTACTTGTTTGGCAGGTTCGGACTTCACCTCAGTTGCAACCCTGATGCAGTCCCAGTTCGCAAAGCTGGGCTTGATGCCCAAGAAGGCGCCCAGCTTAAGGAAGGGCGCCAAGAAATCCGACGAGGGTAGTTCTAAATCGAAGAAATCTGCCGCTGCTGCGAAAGAAGCGCCCAAGTCTGCCGAGGGGAAGGACAAGGGGCGCTCAACCAAAAAGAACAAGTCTCCCAAAAAGGTTCAGACGCGGAAAATTCTCAGTCCTGCGGCTTCTGATGCTGCACTGGATACATGGGAGGCGCCCCTCGTCAAGGTGGGCACCGATGGCTCGGCGCCTGTTATTGACTTGCTGCAGGGGGATGACATTGCTGAAGATGAAACACCCTTATCACAGAAACTGAAGAGAAAATTAGAGGGCGCCCAAGTTGAGCTGAGCAAGCGCCCCCGACTTGACGATGATGCGGAATTGCCCGAGTCAATGAAGAAATGGCTTCAACCGCCCAAGCATAAAGTAACCCTGGTCTGTTCTGATCGTGCTGCATTGGAACGGGGCGCCGCCATCCAAATGGCACTGGGCGCTGGCGACGTGCTCCGGGCGCCCCAAGAACTGGCAGCTGCTGACCCTTTGGCCGAAGTGTGCCTACTGAACGCCCAAGTAAGTTGACAGGCGCATTTCTATTGTTTTTGACAGACGCATATCTATTATTTTTGACAGGTGTATATATATTGTTTTTGCAGATGATGCTTGCTGCACAGAAAGCTATCAAAGAGCGTGAGGCCGTGCGCGCCGAAGCCAACAAAGCGATCACCTCACTCGGCGTGTCCCAGGACAACCTCGAGACTGCAAGAAACCGCCAAGAAGAACTCATCAAAATGTGTGAGGATGCCCAACTCGAGGCTGCGAAGAACGCCTCACTTTTGCAGGTCACCGTGGATGAGGAAAAGGCGAAATTGCGCCAAGAGTATGAGGCGCAGATCGAGGATGAAAAGAGGGCGCATGAGGAGACCAAGGTGAAGCTGGAGAAAGAGCTACTTGATTCGGAGAAGGAGTCGGGCGCCTACAGAAGTGAAATCGACATTCTTCGCCAAGAAAGGCGTGCTCTGAAGAAGGACAAGAAGGTGTTGGGGAGAGAGACTGAGAAGCAACAAAAGGAGATTCAGGCGCTCAAGGAGGAGAAGAAGGCACTTGAAGATGAGAAGCAAGCGCTCGAAGCACGGGCGGTGGGTGACAGCTCGTCGGATTCCACTCAGGCGCTTAAGGCCTCGGCGTCCTTGAACGCCATTTTGATTTTGCGCAAAAAATTGTTGGCCGATCATCCCAACATTGATTGGGATGTCAACTCCATGGTGAGTTTCGTAATTTCTTACATGGAAAGTGGACGTCCAATAGCAGACGAGGCGCCTGACGACGATGGTGAAGAAGATGATGATGGTGATGAATCTTCCTCCACCAAGTCCGGCAGTGGTGCGGCCGAGTAGTTGTAGGCGCATAGGCAACATTGTCTGTGTATTATAAATGATCATTTCATTTTCCGCGTTTCCTTGTCTGATGACTCTCTTATGTTTGGTTGACTATCATTTTATTTCGCCCATGTTATTTCCTCTTAGCCTAAGTTATTTTCACGGTCTGTTTTCGTATGCAACTTTACTCACCTTTGTCATACAATGGGCGCCTGGCATGATAATGGCGCAAAGGTGGGCGCTTTACACGAGGAGGGCGCTATAAGGAGGGAGGGGCGCAAATGTGGGCGCTTTAAATGGGGAGGGGCGCATTCACATGGGCGCCTTTGTTGCATCTTTTCTCAAAACTCTACTTCGTATTTAATTAATCCGATTCCTCACAACTATGGGCGCAAAAGAGGGCGCTTTACAAAATATTGGGCGCAATAAGGAAGGGCGCTTTGATTCTACGGCGCGTAAGGGCGCTTTTGGAGATAGATAAAGAAAAACCTACTAACCACTGGTGATTAGCCACTGACCACCTCCTTTCGAGGCGCCTACTCTGATATTTCAGTCATTGTACCCACTTCTTCCTCACCCTCAGCATCCATCATGCTTAATTCCCCGGCCTCATATTTTCTCAAGTTTTGGGCATTCCATGTTCGCTTCACGTTCTTACCCGACAAGGTTTGCAATTTGAATGTACTTGGGCCAACAACCTCCTGAACGCGATACGGACCTTTCCATTTTGGGGCCAATTTTCCCTCGGTGGCCTTAGGACGAAAATCACGCTTTAACACCAGGCTTCCTTTCACAATGCCGTGTGCCCGCATCTTTTTGTTGTAATACCTTGCTACCTGCCCTTTCATCGCTTCCAAACGCAAGGCTGCCACCTCTCGACGCTCATCCAACAAGTCCAGCTCATCAATGCGCTCCTGAACATCCATTGATTCATTGCGGTGGGTCATTCTGTAGGTAGGCACCCTCATTTCCACTGGCAAGACGGCCTCGCTGCCATAAGTCAATGCGAAAGGTGTTTCTCCCGATGCCACCTTGAAGGTAGTCCTGTGCGCCCACAAGACACTCGGCAGCTCCTCAACCCACTTGCCCTTTGCCTCAGCCAACCGTGTGTGCAACCCGTGCAATATGCTCTTGTTAGCCGCCTCAGCTTGCCCATTGGCTTGGGGGTAGGCCACCGACGAGAACCGCAAAATCACTCCATTTTCATCACAGAACTCCACGAACTTCTTGCAATCGAATTGCTTTCCGTGGTCAGTGACAATGGATTCTGGGAGTCCAAACCGTGTGAAGATGTTCTTCTTGGTAAACTTCCGCACCTGCGCTTCCGTGATTGTTGCCAATGGCTCTGCTTCAATCCATTTGGTGAAGTAATCCACTGCGACAATTAAATATTTGAATTGCCCAGGCGCCTTTGGTAACGGTCCCAAGAGATC